CCTACTTTACTACACCATGGACTTTTAAAAACATATCTTGCACTTATTTTCACCTCTCAACATTTTCATTTCGAATCTTGGAGTGAAAGGTTTTAATTTTAAACGTTGTCAGAGTTTGTAAAATAAAATATTCAATTAAAATAAATTATTCTAAAAAAATCTTGGCGAAGGCTCGTTATGTCGCCGGTGCTCGCGACACATCATTACTGGGACGTTGAGTGAGAGCAAGACTCTTAGAACCTCTTGACTTACCAATAAAACTGCATTTAAATGTACATTATTATTTTTGTATTCATTCTAATCTAAACATTTTATTACAACAAGCGACTCAACCTCGCTTCGCTCGTGTTCATTCCTAGGTACGTTTTAACGGTTAATATAAAATAGATAGACTATATAAATAACTAAAATAATAAAAAAATGGAATTGTGTACCTAGTACTTTTATGATCGATGATACAAGGCCATCTATTGACATTAATTTCAATAATTTTTTGGAGAACATTGTATATTTTTTGGAAATTTGCTAAAAGCACACGCTGGAAAATTATTTTTTGACCAAAAAGATCCACCAACTTCAAAATCACTTAAAAGTACTTAAAAATATTTGTTAAACCTTGAAGTAGCACCCTATTTATTAAATTAAAAAAATATTTATCAGGTTGATTCCCCATACAAACTTTCATCTCCATTTTCACCCCCTTAAGGGATGATTTCTGATTTCTTGGATAATCTCGGATTGGATATCCTGGGAAAGATCTTCCCAGGGTCGCAAACTATCTTCTTGCCAAATTTCATCTAAATCGGTTCAGTAGATCCAGAGTTTACCCCCCCCCCCCCCCTCTCTACAACGTCACAAACTCACAATTCACAAACTTTATCTCTTTATAATATTAGTATAGAAGTATAGATAAAATAGCCGAAATGACTACTACTTTTTTACAGTCGGAAAAACGGAACGCAATAAAAAAGCAAGTATGGAAATAAATACGTTATTCATATTTCTTGACTCTAACCGTCGAGCGACTGCAGCCGTTAGCGAGCAGTAACTAGGGAGTGCTTCGACAAATTAAAATTTAACGTTGACACTTGACCTGAGTCGAGTCGAGAACTAGCTACGGCAGATGGGATTGTCTGTTGGTTTGTATAGACCACTTATTTATTCTTATACTAGCATTGCCCGCGGCTCCACCCGCGTATAAATTACCAAAACCCAAATTCTTAGGTTTTACATATTAGTATACTCTTACAATGCAGTTTTTGTACTTTTTCTCAGAAATTAGATGTTTTCCCGCGGTAAAAAGTATTCTATATGTTGACCCGGATAACCAGCTATCACCATACCAAATTTTATGAAAATCCCTCCAGTAGTTTTTCCGTGATGTGGTAACAGACAGACAGCCAAAAATTCTAAAAACTATATATTCGGCCTCTATATATTTAATAATAATAAAAAACCTATGTGCTATTTCAGACTATAATCTATCTCTGTGCCAAATTTCACCCAGATCCGTTCAGCCGTACTGGTGTGAAAGAGTAACAAACATCCATACTCACAAACTTTCACCTTTATAATATTACGAATAGTATAGATAGAATTAGACAGTGCCTATCAAATCAACTAGACAAAAACCATGAACGCTCTTCTAAAATACTCTATTAGTAAAATAATTATTAAAATTAGTTTAATAGTTTCAGAGTTTATCGGCAACAAACAAACAAACAAATCTTTCCTTTTTGTATTATTAGTGAGAAGTATAGCTAGTGTTAACGGAAAGGTCTAGATATTTTGGAAACCACAAAACGTTCAAGAGACTGTTACTTTGCGTTTCAACTTAATTATTTCATAGAATATTCATTGTTCAAAGTGTTTTTCAAACACCAGTTTTTAGGGTTCCGCACTCAAATTAAAATAAAACCTTTATAGTTTCGTCATGTCCGTCTGTCAGTACAGCCATTTAAATCTACGTCTATTGGATTTACATTAATGTTTGGTAGGTAAGTTGTAGATTGGAGGTATTCAGCTCAGCCCTTATTATCGTCCCTATTTTCCCTTCCCTTATTATCAGCCCTTATTATATCGTGCTGGGCGTGGGCCTCCGTTCAATGTGAGGGGCAATAGTCCACCACGGTGGTCAAGTATGGGGTTGGCGGACTTTACATATCTTTTGAAAACTTTCTAGGAAGACCACATAAGCGGGATATATTCCCCCTAATTCTCTATAATAACTTTGAGAAAGTAGTAAGTAGTAGGTTAGTAGATTTTACTAAAAAATCTTAGAAAATGTAAAGGCTACAAATTCGAAATTAACCCATGTCCATCCTCATAAGGAGTAGATATGTTAAATAAGAATTTGTGGAAATTCAACCCCCAAAGAGGTATAAAGGGGGTTGAAAACTTGAAGAAAATTCATTATTTTTAAATAGCATTTACCAAAATTAGAAATAATCTTTCTAATTCAAAGTGTTAACAGTACATCCTCTGAGGATGAAAAATAGGGGATGATGTGATGTGTAAAACAAATTACACGAGCAGAACTGTAGGAAATCACTATTTATAAACCCACTATAAATGAAAACCTACTTTACTACACCATGGACTTTTAAAAACATATCTTGCACTTATTTTCACCTCTCAACATTTTCATTTCGAATCTTGGAGTGAAAGGTTTTAATTTTAAACGTTGTCAGAGTTTGTAAAATAAAATATTCAATTAAAATAAATTATTCTAAAAAAATCTTGGCGAAGGCTCGTTATGTCGCCGGTGCTCGCGACACATCATTACTGGGACGTTGAGTGAGAGCAAGACTCTTAGAACCTCTTGACTTACCAATAAAACTGCATTTAAATGTACATTATTATTTTTGTATTCATTCTAATCTAAACATTTTATTACAACAAGCGACTCAACCTCGCTTCGCTCGTGTTCATTCCTAGGTACGTTTTAACGGTTAATATAAAATAGATAGACTATATAAATAACTAAAATAATAAAATAAAAATAGTTTTTATTTCTTAAATTAAAAATAATTTATAATTATACATATATAAATTACACGTGTGAAGCCGCGGGAAAACGCTAGTACAAAAACAGTCGAATTAGAGCCCCTTGAACCCTGTTAATATCGGTTAATATCTACAAAATGGTTTCAACAAAGTGCCGAATGGGAAATGAAAATTCTTACGAACCCTTCAGTACGTTACTAATAGCTCTTTTACCGGTTATTACAACCCTTGTTTCGAAACGAACTATTTCTTAATTAGAAAAGGGTGTATTTGTTTCTCACTCGTAAGAAATAATTGAAATCCTCAATAGTAACAACTCGGACTATGAATACATAATATACAGGGTCGTTTTTATTTTCTGAAAACCTTTTGGGAATATACTATTTACAACACAACAAGAAACAATAATATTTCTTAAATTTTTATTTTCATACAAAAATAAATATATTTTTATTGCGCCTTCTAAACGGTAAAGTTCTAGCATCTGGCCAAGTTTAAATGAGTAAGGGCCACTTCCTACACCCCTCCACCCCTCCCCCTCCACCGGTCACGCGCTTTCTTTTGCTAATTGCTGGACTATTACCGTTTAGAAGGAGCAATAAAAATACTTTTATTTTAGTAAAATTTAAAAAATATATCTTTTTTTTCTTACAGATGTTGTAAACAGCATATTCCCAAAAGGTTTTCAGTAAATTAAAAACGACCCTGTATACAAAGTGTTATAGAATTAAACATGAAGCCAAATAATGTTTTAAAATAGTATACAAACGACAATTTGTGTTCTGAGTGATAAGTAAATAAAAGTTTTTTTTTTAATTAAATTTTGTGTAATTAAAGTCATGATATAGGTAAGTCATAGTATAGGTACTTCTCGGAGTGAATTGGCTGGAGCAACCCCATGGTTGTTCTGGTCTCCCCCCCAACGTGCGTTCACCTTGTCGTGGTGGGGGGGCTCAGTAGTGCCCGGCAACACAGCCGGGCGTGAAGCCAGGAAACGCACAGGGAGGTGGCCCACTTCGATGGGCGGTGGGAGGTGGCCCTCTTCGGAGGGTGGTGTCCCTCTTCGGAGGGTGGTGTACCATGCGGGTTGCTTCTGGTACTTCTCTGATAGCAGAGTGGACCTTGGAGCAACCCCGTAGTTGTTGTGGTCTGCTTCGCCAGACCTGCCGTCGGGGCGTCGTGGTTCAGTGTGTAACCGACCCATTAAGGAGGTTACGTTGGTTTTTAGTGGGTAGTACTGGCTTTTCTAGTCAGTAAATCCCACGTAACCACCTGTATGTATACAGATGGTATGCGTAAATGCATTTCCCAATATTAAAAAAAAGAAGATCATGGTCTATCTGTATGCTGAATTTCATCCAAATAGATCCAGCCATTTCAACGTGAAGGAATAAACGTACACACATACAAGTTTATGTCATTTAATAGGCCCATTAGTGTCATTCTCCCCACAAAAATCCCACCAAATAAATCTCGCAGTCACAAAGAGATAAAATAATTTATTAGCAACATTTCGCGGTTGAACGAATTGTGCTCACGATTTATGATCTAGCTTCGAATGAAAATATTTCGGATATTCCGGGATTGGTATATATTTATTGATTAGGAAATGGATCCCGGGATTTCTGGGAACGTGAAATCCTGGGATTCAAATGGGATTGAATTTATGTATTGGAAATACTCGATAAGGAGTATTAAGGACTAGCAATTTATACTCGTTTCGCTTGAATACCTATCTACGTGCCTTTTGCGACTTGATAGTAATAAAGATTTTTCTTTATATACATAAAATATAAATAAATATGTATATATGTTAGAACATTAACACACAGGTCCATCTAGTTCCATGGTAAACTACGAGGCCTGTGTTCTGGATACCAGATAGTTGATACACTACACATATATAACTTTAAATACATACATATTATAAATATAAAAATTCATGACTGAAGTACAAACATTTATGCCCCCAGCGGGTCGGGAGATTTGATTTAGCATTGCAAAATTGTCTTTAAATTTATATCCTTACCAGTTGGTTTGTGGAAGCTGCTCTTAAAGTACTGTAAAAACTTTTCTCGGAGTCCAATTTTCACTTCCACCTTCTCTTTCTCGTTCTCCTTCTCTTTCTCCTTTTCTTCTGTCTGTAACAACAACAAAAACAATGAAATAGAGCTCAAAATATTTCTTGCATCTATTAATTAATTAGTATAAAATGAATGAAAATATTTATATAGAAATAAAAACATAATACATATATATGTATTTCTCATTCAATATATTTTTTCAGAAGAAGTTCAATTGTGTGGGAAATACACAATTTCTTTTTCAATAAAACTACATAATATACTGACATCTCATTGATTTTACGTAATTAAAGCAGATTTCACAACAACTTCGGTAAATAAAGGGCTCTTCAAAACTGCAGGTAATTTTCTTTTTATTAACATCGTCATAATAATGACTGCGTATATTTGTTCCACTATCTTTGCTTCGAAATATAATTAATTAATATTGGTATACAAGCCTTTGCATGCTCACCAATATATCTCATTAATAATATAAATGAGAAAGTTTGAATGTTTGGATGTTTGTTACTGTTTCATGCCAGAACGAGTGAACGGATCTGGATGAAATTTGGCACAGAGATAGATTATAGTTTGGAATAGCACATACTTGTATTTTATCCCGGAAAAATATACGGTTCCCGTGGCATAGATTTGTTTTTGTTTTTCACAGAGTCAGGGATCGACTATCTATTCCAAACATTAAAAAAAATATATTTTTTGTACAAAAATTGAAATAATTTCCACTGCTTTTAGGAAAGAAAATGTCTAATTCTTCCACAACTATGATCTTGACAGACAGACATACTGACAGCCAGTCTGTATAACGAAATGATCCTACAAGGGTTCGTTTTTTTTTCTTTTGAGGTACGGAACCTTAAAAAGATCCCAAAAGGTATATTCTCTAAAAAAATACTCCACGTAAAGATAAATTAAGGTACCAAAATATCGTAAAGTTAAAATTGGTCGCGCAAAGTCGGGCGATGCTGTTATTTTAAGTTTTTAGTAAATTATTACTTCCTATATTTCCCCCATCGTTTGAAGTCTCCCTAAGGAATGAACAAAGCCTTTCTCTTCTAACACATAATAACTGAACGAAAGTTCAAAACTAATTGTCATAAGGGCTTTTTCACATGCATTACTTTTACTTAAAAGCTTTTGCCCGCGGTGACTCTCGTTTAGTTAGTCTTACTGTGATGTAGCCTACAACTTTCTTTCAATCTATATCTTATTATATATATAATTCTTCTGTGAGTGTGTATGTCACTGAACTTCTCTCAAACGACTGGACCGATTTTGATGAAATTTTTTGTGTGTGTTCAAGGGGATCTGGGAATGGTTTAGATTCACAATTTGAATAATAATTTTCATAAAAAAATTTATTAAAAAAAGTTTGAAATTTTCAAATTAAAGACGTGTAGACAGGACAACGTCTGTCGGGTCCGCTAGTCTTAATATATATAATTTTTCTATACGTTTGTTTTGTTTGTTTCTCGCCGGCCCTTCTCAGCAGAACTGCCTTCCGAGCCGGTGGTCTCCTCATGAATTCCTCACGGACTTACATACTCACATTTGATGTAAATTTAAACAGTAAACTTGCCGATCCAAAAGTGCTTAAAAAAGTCTATATGAATAAAGTATTTTTTGATTTGATTGTTATTTGTGCGTAAGAGCCCTTATGTTCACATGTCAAAGAAGCTTTATTATTTAAATGCAATTCCTCTCGTCACATGTATACATATAAGTAAGTCTCAGTGGGGTAATGTTGCCAGAAAATAATATGGCAAGGGATGATAGAAGGGTAACAATACTTTTCACTATAATTCAGCCTTTTAACATCCCACTGCTGGGGTGGGCCTCCTAATTCGAGGTGGCAATACTTCACCACGCTGACCAAGTGCGGGCGGACTTCACATATTTTTAAAAAACTTGCTAGGTTCTCTCAGACATGGAGGTTTCCTCACGATGTTCTCCTTCACTGTAAGACAAGTTGTAATCATGTTGAGAAATGATTCGCAAATTAAAACTGACAAGTGCGAGATCCGTTTCACTTGGTTTTTCAAGCTTTTCAAGCAAGTTGCTTAAGCTACCATTGCCTTACTAAACCTACTAATATTTTTAATCTAATATTATAGAGACATTTTGTGGTTTTTTTATTGTCTTTGTGTATTTCAAAATTATGTATAAAACAAATTGTTTTTATATTTCATAAGCTATTTAATTAAGAAAGATATTAACCACCACCCTACGACCCCTAGACATGATGTAACTATAATTATGTAAATTAACTACACGAGTGAATCAGAGGTCCGAAGCATTTAAAACGAAGCGAGAGTTACTAAACACACTCTCGCTTCGATTTAGTTAGCTCCTAGGAAAACAGAAGCATACCTGTGACACTCTCGAGTTCTCCAATGTTAAAACGCTCTTTATTTGTTACCAAAATCATAAATATTAATTGTCATATCCATAAGAAATGCAAGCATTTGTCATTTTCATATATACCCCCTTTAAAGTATTATTTCCGCTATAAAAGGTAGTCTATGTATAAGGTACACTCTATCAAAATTGACTCAGCGATTTAAGCGTGAAAACATAACAAACAAACAAACTTGCACATTTATGATTGTATAGTTGATTAGATTACATCAAACAACTTGTATCGACATTGAAGTCTATAAAATTAGGTAAGGATTTAAAAAAGGAGGATTCCCTGGGCAAACTCGCTAGATCGTAGACCTTATCTGTGCCTTCGAGCTAAGATAAAGGTCAAGAGTGAGCCCATTTCTAATAAAAAAAAAAAAAAAAAAAAGGAGTGCTTATACCTACGAGTATATTACATGAAATCTATACATACATATAATAAAATTGTAACTAAGCCAAATCTGTACATTAAATATTTTTTGGAAAATCTTATTGACATAGACATTATTTTCGATACAGAGGCTGAATCTATTGTTTTTAGAATTTTTGTCTATCTGTCTGTCTGTCTGTTACCGCATCACAGAAAAACCACTTTTTTTTTTTTTTTATTAAAAATAGGCTCACTCTTGACCTTCATCTTACTTTAAATGTATAGATAAGGTCTATGATGTAGCGAGTTTGCCCAGGAGAAGCCTGTTGACACGCACCTTAAAAAGTTTCAAGTTGTACGCTCTCGGAAAAACAGACGCAGGCAGGGCATTCCATTTCTTGGCTGTGCGCAATATAAAAGATGATGAATAGCGCTTAGTGCGAGTGGTCGGAATGTCAACCAAGAAAGGATGGTATCCTGCAGTACGTCTGGTGTTCCGATAAAAGAATGGCGATGGCGGTATGAGACTGTGGAGCTCGTGGGCACACTCCCCGAAGTACAGTCTGTAGAAAACCGACAGACAAGCAACTTGGCGACGGTGTGCTAAGCTGTGAAGCTTAGTTTTCACAAGCTTTTCGTCGCCGATTAGCTTTTTAGCTCTGCGTTCCACCGAGTCAAGAGCGGCAAGTTGGTATTTTGCAGAGCCATCCCAAAGGTGACTGCAATACTCCATGCATGATCGGACTTGAGCTTTGTATAAATTGAGAAGCTGTCCAGGCGTGAAGTATCGCTTACCTTGTTTAGGATACCCAGTTTTTTGGCCGCAGTCTGTGCCTTCGACTCGATGTCATCGCCAAAGTTAAGGTTTGCCTTCAACCTTATACCGAGAAGCTCTAGACTGTCGGATACTTCCACATGTGCACCACGGAAAGTAGGAGTCAGGCTGAATGGACTCCTTTTTGCAGAGAACAAACAGGCCTGCGTTTTGGCGGCGTTGAAGTCAACCAGATTGTCGTCACCCCATTGTGACACAAGACTTAAGGTTGCATTTGTACGCTCCACCATGGCCTCTCTCAAAGTGCATATTGTTACCCCTCCTCCATCCTTGCACCGGACACATAGCTCTCTATGACTGTGCTGTCATCTGCATACGCAACAATACCTGGTGAAAGCAGGTCATTGATGTGCAGCAGGAAGAGAGTCGCAGAGAGAACAGACCCCTGTGGAACTCCGGCTTCGATAGTCATTGAATCAGAAGAGCAACCGTCAACGACTACTCTGATCGACCGTTCGTTTAAGAAGTCGGATACCCAGTTACAGAAGTCGGAGGGGATGCCGTAAGCAGGAAGCTTGCTCAGTAGACTTGCGTGCCAAACCCTATCAAATGCCTTCGAGATATCGAGTGAGACTGCTAGAGCTTCACCACGGTTTTCGATGGCCTCGCCCCAGCAGTGCGTGACATACACAAGAAGGTCCCCAGTAGACCGTCCCCGGCGGAAGCCATATTGACGGTCACTAAGGAGATCATTAGATTCGAGGTATGACAACAACTTACTGTTAAGTACTCTTTCCATAACTTTACAGAGTATGGAGGTGATGGTGATGGGATGGCGATTGGTCGATAGTTGCAGGGATCAGCACGACTACCCTTCTTAGGTACTGGCTGCACATTGGCAAGCTTCCAAGAATTGGGCACTGTACTAGTTTGGAGAGAGAGGCGATACAGGCGAGTCAGTATAGGAGACAACTCAGGCGCACAATTCCTTAGAACCCTTGAAGGTATACCGTCAGGTCCACTGGCCTTATTCACGTCAAGATTTTGTAGTATTTTACGGACCTCTTTCGTGTGTATTGTGATCTTCGGCATCGAAGAATCACAATGAGGCAAAGTTGGCGGATGTTTAGAGCCAGCGTCTAGACGTGAATTGCTTGCGAACAGAGTTGCAAGTAAATTTGCTTTCTCTACCGCGGAGTGAGCCAGTGATCCATCTGGTTTTTGCAAGGGAGGCAAAGACGGACGGCAGAAATTGGACTCAACAGCCTTGGACAGGGACCAGAATTGCTTACTACCAGGAGGGTAGGAAGCAAGTCTGGCTCCTATACGACTGACATGATCAAATCGTGCCCTACGGAGAACCTTATTGCAAAACTTGGTAGCAGAATTAAAAGCTCTTTTCTTCGCGCGAACCCTCCGAGCTCCGACTTTGCGATCGCGAGCCAAAACCCATGACTGGTAGGCGGCCTCTTTTCGCGCCTCCGCACGAGCACAGTCCGCATTATACCAGGGTTTGGCTTTGTGGCCGAGCGGGATGTCGGAGAACGGAATGAAGTATTCCATTCCCTGCCGTATCACATCCGCAACCGCATCAGCACAGCATGAGGGGTCGATCGAAGAAAAGCAGACTTGCCGCCAAGGGTAAGATGCAAAAAAGTGTCGCATCTCATCCCAGTCCGCTGACTCGTATCGCCATACTCTCCTCGTACCCACTGGGCATTCAACCGGAGGAGAGAAGATCGATACGGACTTTACCAAATTGTGATCGGACGATCCCAGCGGGGATGTTACCGATATCGAGTGCCTGTCCGGGTCTGTTGTCAGCAGAAGGTCTAAGCAATTGCGCGTATGTCCGTCCACATCTGGTTCCCGCGTCGCATCATGGACCAGCTGAGTGAGATCTAGAATCACTGGAGGGATTTTGATGAAATTTGGTATGGTGATACCTGGTTTTCCGGGTCGACATATAGGCTACTTTTTACCGCGGGAAAATATCTCAATTTTTAGAAAAAATACAAAAACTGCATTGTAAAAGTATACTAATATGTAAAACCTAAAAATTTGGTATTTGGTAATCTGAGCGCGGGTGGAGCCGCGGGCAATGCTAGTATCTATATATAAATAGGCAAAGGCAAAACAGTTCACTACCCTTTTTACCTCTGTTTGTCAACTGATATTCTTTTATTTTTGTTTAGTTGCAATTGACGAGCTTTAGTGTTGCTAGTAAAAAAAATTAAACTGTTTTTTTTAATAAATAGATTATTATGTAAATTCTATTCATATAGATTTTCGTCTTGGCAATAAGGATTATGTCGAATTTTGACCAGTGGACGAAAACTAGTCAATATTATTTCAAGAGAAGCACATACCGTATAGCAATTTATCATTCACGACCGAAATGGGAGAGCCATTAAACGCAGGGGATAATAAATCGACCAAAGAACTGTTGCCGCTTGACCCTAGCTGTTAAACATATTATATACTAGCATTTACCTGCGGGTCTGTCCGTATAGTTTAGAAAAACCGAAAATCCATACATATATCCAACCCCTTTTGTACCGCTTTAGAGGTTGAATTTCCAAAAACCCTTCTGATATTTCACATTTAATTATGACTAATTGTGAGTTATATTTCGCTTTTACCTGAGTGACTTTCGCTTCGCTCGTCGTAGACGCTCGTCCAGTATTTAGGTTATCAATACCATCCATTGTCGACAATGCAAGTACCACAACTATTTACAAGATGGCGCTGCGTGAGAGTAGATAGAACAAAGCTCTAATAAAAATAAGTTGTAAAAATTGCGTTTTTCAGAAAAAACACCTATATAGATCAACTTTAAAAACAAAACCTTATCTAAATACTAAATTTGATACAAATCGTTAAAGCCGTTTACGAGATACACGAATAAAAATATATAAATATACAAGAATTGCTCGTTTAATATTATAAGATAATATAGGTAAATTATATCACACCGAAAAACACATTAGAATATTATTGTCACTTATTTAGTATTCAAAATGTTAAGAAACCTTTAATTTTCTTCAATAAATAAATAAATATGTTGCTACATTAACACACAGCACCATCTAGTTCCATGGTAAGCTACGAGTCCTGTGTTATGGATACCAGATAGTTGATACACTACACATATATAACTTTAATTACATACATAATATAAATATAAACACCCGTGACTGGAGTACACACATTCGTGCTCATCGCACAAATGAATTCTCCCAGCGCGTCTCGAACCCGCAACCGCTGGCACAGCAAGTAAGGTCGCTACAAACTGAGCCAAACGTGTCGTCGAGTAAAGTTTCATTCGTTTTTGTTTAACCTTTTCAACGAAGTCGTAAAGAGAAAGGAAATAAAGTAAAAATGACTCCCCCGACGACCCTATTATGTGGCTTGTGGATTATTTTATATATTTTGAACTTTACATTTTAGAAGATTCACAGCCTTTTTGTTCTAATGTCTAGCATGCTACATCTGGAGGTCTGGATTCGAGTTCCGAGTGGATCAAAACTGTTATTTGGTTTTTCTGTCAAATTATTCGCAGTAAATATGCAAAATTGAATAAATACCCACCGTAACAGATATACGGTCTAGAGAGCCTTTATTTTATAAATATAATAAATACCTCACCAGTGAGCAGACAGACTTTGTCCCGTACTATCTATTTATCTTTACATATAATAAAACTGTAGAGGTCGAATGTCTGTAGATATAGAATAAAAATGCTAAAAACCGAGTCAGGGCGATGTAAGAAGAGAAATAGAACAAAACCAGTTTTTTTTTTCTTTTTTTTTTTGTTTCTGTTTGTCTGTTTGTACGGGCTAATCTCCGAAACTGTTGGACCAATTTAAATGAAATTTGGCATGGTGGTACCTTATATCTCCGGTGTCATCATTTTAGATACTTAAGAGTTCCCGTGAGATAGTTAAAAAACTTTATAACTATGTAGCTCATACAGCTTAGTATACAAAAACTACTGATTGGATTTTAATGAAACTTTACAATATTATAGTTTATACATCAAAATAACAAATAGGCAAGGTACTTTTTATCCCGGAAAAATATACGGTTCCCGTGGGATAGATTTGTTATTGTTTGTCTAGAGGCGAACCCGAGCGAAGCAAGGGTGAGCCGCTAGTTAGCAATAAGTATTAAAAAAATATATATTGAGAGGTGTTGGGAGGCTGAAGGTACATTGAGACGTCATAAACCTCAATCTCATCCGTCAAGTCGAAAACATAACATCAACATAAAACCGTGATAAAACCCGCAGAAATAGCTTTATTTTAGTAAAATAAAAAAGCTCTGCAGCTTCCGAATCAACACCATTATATATATTCCATATCACTACATAGTATAAAACAAAGTCGCTTTCTCTGTCCCTATTTCCCTATGTATGCTTAAAACTTTAAAACTACGCAACGGATTTTGATGCGGTTTTTTTAATAGATAGAGTGATTCAAGAGCAGGGGCGTAGCTACCGCCGTATTTGCCGTATCAATTATACGGGGCCCCCGGGCCACGGGGGCCCCCAAAGTGTGTAAGGAAAAAGAATAAAAACTTTCTAATTTATTTTATTTTACAAATGACAAAATTCTATAAAGCAATTCCTTTTTTTCCCGCCTTAAGCGTGCGTTCAAAAGTTGGCAACACTACATCGTTATGGCGGGCTGCGGGACTTCCCCGTTTTACTTACTTCATCTTCAACTCAGCGGGGAATCCCCGGGAATCCTTCATCGATATCGCGATGTACGTGTACGTTGTTGTACTTTGCATTGGATGTTAAACCACGGAGTGCAGTGCACTGTTTATTTACGCGCTTTATATAAATGTGCATTACATTGTAATTCAGTACAAACAATATTGTTCTTCTGGTTTAGCAGTATTAGTAACGATTTGTAAAAGAAATGAGTGAAAGGAAAAGAGATTATCGCAGCGGCGCTGAGAAAAGAAAAATTAAACAGAAAAGGGACGAGGTTATAAAAAAAGTGCCCAAAATTTCTTCATTTTTTCAGAGACAAGATACTGTGAGTGATTTAGATTGGAAAGGTAAGTACTACACTACTACCCAACCCATTTATTAGGGGCCCGTAGTGATAAACAAGGAAATCTTTTAATTTCGGTCTGTCCATCTGTCCGTCACAAAAAGTAGTCTCCCCCCTCGATTTTCACAATTATACTGTTTTTAGGGCTCCGTGCCTTGATTAAAAAAAACAAAATTCTAACTTATCTATAGGATCGATTTGTTTTGTTGTTTGTTTATCAGTCCGTATCGTATCGTTAATTGCGTGTTGAGAACTTCAGATGTGCAGACTCGCTTTCGGGTTTTCGTTTTGTATGGCCACTACACTACGCGCTGCGTTTAAATAGCACGCAGGTGTATAGTAATGCACGGACGGGCTGCAGGTGATTTTGTATCTACTAATAGGTACGAGCACAATCCGCGTAGAATCTGTGTGCGTCTGAACTGAACACTCTCTAACTGTGACCCTTAGTAACGTTATTTATTTATATATAACTCTTTTTAGTTTAGTATCAAAGCATTCGTATTTATTTTTTAACAATTACTCGTTTATTTTTAGATTCTTCTGAAGCATGTTCTTCGTCACATATCCATCCGGAAATAGAAGAAAGCCAAGCACATACTTTATCGGATGTCCATCCAGAAATCGAGGAACCCCAAGTCAACGATTCTGATATATCTGCAGATAATGCAGATTGTAATATAATTTCATCAGATAGAGGAAATTTTGGTGACAATTTAACTGAATGCGAACGAAAAATAATTTTTAAATTGGGTCTATTTAAACCACAAGGACCATTTCCAAAAGTTTCAGAAAATAACCGACCTTTTTCAGCTTATTATTATTCATATTTCAATCAGGCAGGCATAAAAATTATAAGACCATGGTTATGTTATTCTAACGTTTTAAACAAACCGTACTGTCACTTCTGTTGGTTATTAGCAGATCGTCAAAACAAATCGTACTCCTCTGCTTGGGTTAACGGTGTTTCGGTTAAAAGCAATTTCACACAAACTATTCTTGACCATGAAAAGTCACAGCAGCATATTAGTGCCTCACTCTCTTATAATAATTGGTTGCAAGGAAATACCATCGATACTCTATTGAAAAGTGAAATCGATAGTAAAATTACATTCTGGAGAGATGTACTGCATCGTATAATTAATGTTATAATTACTTTAGTATCTTGTAATCTACCTTTGAGGGGGCATGATTCTGATTCTGGCAATTTTATGGCAATTTCACGTCTGCTATCTAACTATGATGCAACTTTAAAAGAACTTTTTCTAAAACCGAAAGGTGAAATAAATTATTTAAGCCCTACGATTCAAAACGAAATTATTAGTTTGCTTGGTACTAACGTTAGGAACAGTATTATCTCAGAAATTAAAAAAGCTCCATTTCTGACAATAATTCTGGATACAACACAAGACTTGTCAAAAATTGACCAACTATCTGTAGTTTTCGATATATCTCGGTTACAGAAAATGATGATAATGTGCCTAAAGAAATAAAAATCTGTGAGTCCTTTTTAGGATTCATAGCAGTAACCGATTGCAGTGCTGCAGGTCTGAAAACTGTCATTTTAAATTTGACTAAAGAATATGGAATTGATTTGACTAAATGTAGAGGACAGGGATACGATGGAGCAAATGTTATGTCGGGTGTGTATGGAGGATTACAAACCCTAATAAAAGAGCATGCTCCAAATGCCGATTATGTTCATTGTGCTGCGCACGCTTTAAACTTAGTTTTGAACGATGCTGCGAGACATGTTCGTGAAGTATCGACTTTTTTCGATAATTTAGAAAAAATATATACTTTTTTGGCAATAGTATAAAACGCTGGGCTATGCTAAGTGACGATTCATCTGAAAAATATTTGATTACCCTTAAAAAGGTATGTCCTACCAGATGGTCTTCTAGGAACGACGCTTTATTAGCAGTAAAGAAAATTTTTTTACTAATCATGAAAACTTTGTACCAACTAAATTTAATTTCAAATAAAAAAGATGAACGTGAAGAATGTAAAAGTATAATTAATATTTTAGAGAGTTTTGATTTCTTAGTGCTCGTTACATTTTTTTCTTCACTATTTGAAATTATTAATCCTGTTTCTAAAGCTCTACAGCATGATAATAATGACTTACAGAAATCTAGTATTTTATTAAGTAATCTTTTAAATAGACTGTGCCAATTAAGAAATCAGAATTCATTTAATAGTTTGCTAAATGAATCCAAAGATTTAGCAAAAAAGTAGGGGGTAACAACTGTTTTTAAAAACAGTAGGCGAAAGATAACGAAGCGTTTTTTTGATGAGTTATCACAAGATGAGAGAATTTCCGACCCGGAATCCTATTTCAAAGTCAATGTATACTATTGCTGTTTAGATATATTAATTTCTCAAACTAAAGAAAGATTTCAGAGCCTTTGCAACCTGAGTAGTATATTCGAAATATTACAACCGGAGAAACTCCTATCTTCTTCAAGCGAAGAGATATTAAACGCTTCCGGAAAACTGTCTGCTAAATACAGTAAAGACATCTCACTTAATCTTTGTGACCAATTAAAGGCTCTAAAAACATGCTTAAATTCTGAAATTAAAAAAAATTATTCCATTAAAGAACTCATTGAATTATTGCTAGTAAAATTCAATAGTCTTGCATCCAGTTTTCCCGAGGTAATCACAGCATGCTTTTTATTCTTGACCCTTCCAGTTACAACCGCAACGGCAGAAAGAAGTTTTTCAAAATTAAAACTAATAAAAAATTACTTAAGAACTTCGATGGGACAAGAACGGCTGTCAGACATCTCACTATTGTGAATTGTCCATAGAGGCAGAAACTTTAGAAAAACTAAAATCATCATCAGCCATAAATGATTTAATAAATCAGTTTGCCGATAAAAAGGCAAGGAGAGTGAATATTTAAAATTCGATTTTTATTTGTAAAATGGGTAAATTATGTGATAAACAAATATTACTTCTCACAATATTTTTTTTCTTTTGTGAAAAATCTTGACCTCCATATAAGGGCCTCCAAAAAAATTTTTATACGGGGCCCCGACAAGGCACGCTACGCCACTGTTCAAGAGGAAGGTTTTAGTATATAATTTGTTAAGTTTTTGTATACATTGGCTAAAATTATTATAACGATATTTGTTGGAGGTGTCGGAAAAAATAACGTCTGAGAGACTACGTCTGGGAGCTTTCAACGAAAACGCTGCCTAAGCCCTTTGAGATATAACAAAATAATGTATGGTGGAATTGTGTATCTTATATAGGTCTACAGAAAAGTACGCGATGGCATATGTCTATCTCTTAAGGATAACATACTATATCCATTTTAATTTAAAACGTACTTAGGGACGAACCCGAGCGAAGCCAGGGTGAGTCGCTAGTTTAGACAAAAGTATATCATGAGTAGCAGTGGTAGCCCAGTGGTAACGCACTCGCTTGGAAAAGCGAACGAAGCGGGTTCAAATCCCGGGTCTGGCACCTCTGATATTCTCATGTGCGAATCATTCTCAACATTATTACTACTTGTCTTATAGTAAAGGAAAACATCGTGAGGAAACTTATGTGTTTGAGAGTACATAGCAAGTTTTTGAAAGACATGTGCAGTCCGCCCGCACTTGGCCAGCGTGGTGGACTATGGACTAATCGCCCTTGTATTAAAAGGAAACCCACCCCCATCAGTGGAATGTTACAAAGGGTTGCATACATACATATACTGAGAGACAGACAAATATTGTGTAAATGTATGTAAAGATAATAATAATATTAGTTTCTATTTATTTACTTCTTAACTATTCACTTACTTGATCTTTCTGCTTCATCTCCTTATTCCCGGGGCGCTGGTTGTGACCCCACGTGTGCGACCACACCGTACATAAGAAGAGAGTATTATCACTTATTGTAAAGTTTTATTTATAAATTATTTATAGTTATCAGATTTTGTCGCAGTTTTCTATACTAATATAATGATGATGATGTTCTCCTAGCCGATTCCGGCCACGGCGGCCAATCTCATTGAGACTAGCCAACTGCGCAGGAGATATTATAGTGCACAAGTGTACGCGCAGACACAACGTGCACTCTCTATTCCTGTCACTCTCATACTCCGGTGGGACGACTGCTCGACACGACCAGTGAGAGTTAAGGCGCAGGACCGACGGCTTTACGTGCTCTCCGAGGCACGAGGGTGAAACACCGCCAACTTCCCAACTCCGGGCTGTTTCTGAGACTTACTATACAGAAAGACTCAATAACTAAACTTGGCCCGACCCGGGACTCGAACCCAGGCCCTCTGAGTGTGCAGCCGTACATGCTAGCCACCTCACCACAAAGGCAGTTAAGCTAATATAATAAAGAGGTAAAGTGGTGTGAGTTTGTGACTTTGTAGGGGGTAATCTCTGGATCTACTGAACCTATTTAGATGAAATTTGGTAAGAAGATAATTTGAGACCCTATTATACCATACAGAGACCCAGATTATATCTTGAATTTAAATATAGGCTATTGTTATTAATAAACGTGACCGAGTCACGTACGAAAAGTTGTCTATACAGATAAATAAAATTGAAGTGTCTGTATGTAATGTCAAAATAACAGCGTTTTACTAAATGCATATGAAATTATATACAGTACTTATAAGAAAAACCCATTTTTTTATTTTTGGCTGTCTGTTTGTTTGCTTCCTATAAGCTCTGAAATGGCTGGACTGATTTTGACGGGACTTTCACTGGAAGATGGCTGATGTTACAGAGATTAACATAGGCTACTTTTATTTTAGGAAAATAATTAGGTTCCGCTCAAAAATATTAAAACTCAAGCAAAGCGAGGGTGAGTCGCTAGTATTATATATGGGAAAATGTTTCTTCTATCAATAACCCGATGTAATTATTTGTCTGCAGGCAATTTCTTACTGCAGAGTGTCATATGCTTCATGCTGATATTTCAGTTAATCCCGTAGAATAATCTTGACGACACGTTTGGCTCAGTTTGTAGTGACCCTACTTACTGTACCAGCGCTCGCGGGTTTGAGTCCCGCTGGGGGCATTCATTTGTGTGATGAGCACCAATGTTTGTACTCCTGTCATGGGTTTTTATATTTATAATATGTATGTATTTAAAGTTATATATGTGTAGTGTATCAACTATCTGGTATTCATAACACAAGCAACAAAACAAGAAATGAAAAATTGGAGATTATGTGGAGTTTTGATCGTTTTAAAAGTAAAAAATGGAAATTGTTATTAATCGACTAAGAAAGGATTTTTTAGAAATATAAATGCAATATGTAAGTTAAGTTGAGGGCAAATGCTAGAATAGTAATAAAATGAAGTAGCATATCTCACACAATGTACCACAAGCCCTGCCGCGGTCCAAATAGGGCCATATAGGAACAAACCACGTTGGGAGTCTGCCAACATCCCCCGGATAGCGGGATTAGACTATTTGACATTCTAACGTCGTTATAGACATTAGAAAATTAAAAAAATGTATGTAAGTGGCATGTCTACAATTATAATTATTACTAGCGACTCACCCTATATACATATATAACTAGCATTGCCCGCGGCTCTGCCTGCGTTCAGATGACTAAAAACCAAATTCTTAGGTTTTACATATGAGTAGGTATACCTACTATACTCTTACATGGCAGTGTTTCTATTTTTCCTCAGAAAACTGACATTTTCCCGCGGTAAAATGTATCCTATATGTTGACCCGGATAACCAGCTATCTCTATACCAAATTTCATCAAAATCCCTCCAGTGGTTTTTCTGTGATGCGGTAACAGACAGACAGACAAAAAATTTAAAAACTATAAATTCGGCCTATATATTGATAATAATACCTATTTCAACAAGATTTTCCAAAAAATATATAATGTACAGATTCGACTCAGTTAAAATAAATTTTATTATATGTACCTATAGATGTCGCTTTTCGTCTGTTCGTTTGTTACAACGCTATTCTATATTGTATACCTAGTGTGTTTGTGCACAAAATTTGATACAAAATTTGATTTATCAAATCAGTTATAATTTCTGTAGTAAAAAAATATATCAGAAATAATGTTAATTCATAAAATATGTATAATTTTACAAGAAATTACTATTTCTAACTGAAAACTTAATATTAATTTATAAAAAAATGTAAATAAAGCAAACTTTTTATTAAGTTATTTAAATGTTTAATTCAACAAATGTTAATTATATAGCAGAAAGTTTTTTATCTAACCTTGATATGATTATTGTTCTTATACATTATCTGTAACAAATGTTGCCACACTTAAAAACTTTTTTTTTCACCTTGCGTCACGAGCGCTCGACGCAAGGACCGTGTACATACTGCCGTAGTAATAACAAAGGACGCCTATTGTTCGGGGTTTTCGATTTATACAAAAATATGAACCTATGTTCACTTTATCTTAAGACTAGTTAAATATTCTGCTTTTGCGCGAAATCAAATATTTTCAAAGAAAGAAAAAATATCATATTATATTAATACCTTTTCCGTTCGTAAAATATAATAATTAGAAGAGACGGTAATAGAATTTGTATATGAAATTGAACAATGAGCAGAAAATTCTAAATATTCAAAATATTGTCGTAAAACTTTGCCATCATTGCAAGTTATCTATATGCAATATCTATATGCATTGGCTTGACAATCGAAAATAAGCTACTTGCATATCTGAAAGAATTTAATTACTTCTTCGAAGACGTATCCGTAAATCGGCCAATCACCACCATGTGTATGGTTTTGGTCAGCGTGGACTATAGCTTTCCTTAACAGAAGAGACTCTCGGCCCGCCACGTAACTTTAGAGGGCTTAACCCTAAAAATATTGTAAACGCGAAAGTTTGTGAGGATATACATACATACATATTATGTTTGTTACACTTTCACGTAAAATCTCCTGTCCGTATTTTAAAGATTTTTTATAGTAATAACAGAGTAACACGTAGGCTATAAAAAAGATATAGTAATAGATAAATGCGGTAGTTTATTAGTGAAATTTCCTTAAAATCTAAGAATAAAAGTCGGTCCACAGGCAAAAGTAAGTTTTAATTAACTGAAGCACGGCCATAAAATGCCATGAACCTATTTGCCCGTTTTCATGCAATAGGTGGCATTGGTAGCCCTATACGATGTTGTTTTCCAGCTTTATGTTACACCAAGTGATAATAACACTGTGCCATAGGAAATTAAACTTTATTAGATTGGGATAAAAACTATAGTTTATTTAATTAACCGCAAAAGTTTCTAACAATGCTTATTGTGGCATTGAACAGATAATAAAATAAATTTATAAATTGTATCTGAACGAAATAAAATATTACTTACAATGATATCTGTGGCTTATATTTTGTGCGAGGATATAACCCATGGAAAACCAAACCAAAAAATAAAACAATTTTTATTTTAATAAGTAAAGCAACATTTTCCATGCGGCTTCCCTGCCATTGAAAAATTTTTTCTGAATACAATGTTGGTCTTTGACAAATATCATCGAAATCTGTTCAGGAGTTTAAGCGTGAATAGGTAACAAACAGACAGAGCTACTTTCACATTCATTATATTAGTGTGGACAAAGATTATACTCGTATATCCAGATTGATCCCTTGAGACTACTCACCTACACTTGCTTTCTCAGATGTATAGTATTAAATATTAGAATAATTTTTTAACACTTTTACTGCCATGTTTTATATATGGAATATCTGCATAACCAATGTAACTTACATTATTTTTCTAAAAAAACAAAACAAACGAGAAAAAGGAGGAAGAATAATTTACAACTAAGTAATTAAGGGTTTAGTGGCAATGCAGTTTGTTGTATTTCACCATTCTAACCTTTTGTACGAAAATTGAACCTACTTAGGTACCTACAACTACTGGCAGTAGCATTTTAGACATTAGATAGTCTATTGATTTATTAAAATTTCTAAAATTTTAAGGTACTTCGGAATCATGTCTCTTTGCTTCCAAATTATTATATAATTTTGGTTGGTATACACCGTCCGTAATAGCTATAACATTTGCGATGACAAAAATCTTTGTCTCTTCCGTGACCATGTTTCCTGTAAATCATTCGAAACAGCTGGAAAAAAATTAAATCACATTCAGTCCAGAAACACTTATTTAAAATGTCAAATATTAGCGTAAATTTAAGAAAGTATTAGGCTAATATTGTTTCAGAACCGGCAGACTCGTAAACTCAAATAAAATAACCTTGATGCCACTTCCAATAAAATTTCACCTTCCATGCAAGTGAAATTCGTAGCGCGGAGGGCGCAGTCGTCAGTAATAATTTATTTCTGACTGTGCATTTGTTATTAACGATAATTGCTTTTGAGTGTCACTTTTTGCAAGAGTTCACGTTTATTTAGCTTTAACTTTATCCTGTGCGGTAATGGCAGGCAATCTACTCTGTAGTGACCTCTCGTCTCGCTACCTTTTGCGGGCTTAGAACTTTTGCAGGATTCATTTTATCTTATACAGCATAAAATGATTTCCTGTAAAATGGAACTCATTATCTATACTAATATTATAAAGAGGCAGAGTTTGTTGGTTGGTTGGTTTGTTCGTTTATTGTTGTTTTGTTTATTTGAACGCGCTAATCTCAGGAACTACTAATACGATTTGAAAAATTCTTTTTATAAAGGTATATTTAAGGTTATAGGTTATATATCTTATAATGTATAGTCTATCTATTCCATACTAACCATTAAAATGTATCTACGTCGATAAATGTAAAAAAATAACGTGAGGAACGTTGGATAGGAAAACAATGGATAAGAGTAACCAACCCCCATTTAAAAGCTATATAAAAAGTTTGAAGACTGATGGAATGTAATTCTGAATGATGACAAGACTAAAAATTCGCTTACATTTTTAAATACATATTGTATTTAAAATTGTATCCGGCTGCTGATTTTTCAAGACTTGCGCAGTTATTAGTAAAAAAAAGAGTATACCATCTATCAAAACAAATTTTCTCGACGATATTCCTAAGCTTATCTATTCTTTTCCTACATTTATTATTTGGTAGTTTATGTATTACTCAGCACACTTTTGCGAAAAAAATATGGTAAAAAATTTAAAATTCACTTTAATTAATTCTCTTTGTATTAACAGTTTCGTTATTATAGTGGCCAAAATGTATGGCTGCAAATCGGGTTTGAATCCCGGGTGGACCCGTGATAGTTACGGGGTTTGTCTTTTATGAAATACTCAGTAGCAGCATCAGTTGGGAATTGCCTCGGAGAACAAATTGCTGTCAGTCTTGCACCGGTTGTTTCTGATTATTTCTGGTTGCCAAATATCTAAAAGACTTCGTGGTAGGAAATATACTTCTATGCAAAACGTCGAATGTATGTTATTTATATTTTTAAAGAAACTACAATATGATCAGACTTCAATTCTTCATTTTGCATTTAAAGTTGCAAATACGAATGAAACGTATATCTTGGAGCAATTCAAGTTTTTATTTGTCTAGAACTGAAAATATACTATGTTCATTTCATTTTTAAAATAGATTAGTCCGCGGCTTCCCATGTTTGGTAAGTGCGACGGGGATAAAATGTATCCTATGTCGGATGTGTTCTAATCCATGTCCTTGCCAAATTCTATCGAAATCTGTTCAGCGGTTTGAGCTGAGGAAAGGTAATAGACAGTTACATTCATATTTATAATATTAGTATGAAATTATTTGAATACCAACTACTTAACTAACTTAATCGTAAATAATTTAGGTGCATTTTAGTGTAATTTTTTATCCTTTAATTGCCATTCCATCTATCCACTAATATTAATAATAAGGAAATAATTTTGTCTTGTTTGTTACGATTTCATGACTAAAATGCTGAACCAGTTTTGATATATTTTAGTATAGAGATAGATGGAATCTTAGAAAAAGACAGGTTAGCTACAGGGAACCTATCAGTTCTCAATTTTTGAATATTTATAAAGCTTTTGGTAAGAAATAAATTTCATTTCTATATTGACTGCGTTGCATGAAAGCGATCATAAATTTATATAAAAGTCCCGTATTTTTGCTGCAAAAGGCATAAAGATAAGAGATTTATTCTTAAATTTCTTAAAGATTTGTTAAGTTATATTATATTTAAAGTAAATAATAGAAAGTCAATGTTTTGTAATCGAATTTGTAACATAAAAGACCGTAGTGTCTATTCGTCCTTTAATAGGACGAATAAAATATAATTATTCGTCCTCTATAAAATATATGAATTATAAGGAAGAACGAATACACTAATAAACAAATGAGTAGCTCGGAACAGCTCGGCAGGTTAAAGTATTTTTTTGCATATAGAAACTCCTGTATCTAAAAATCACTAATTTTACATTAGAAAACAAAAAAGTGATAAATAATAGTACAAACCGACAATAGTCGGAAAAATAAGATTTTTTTTATCCATCCGATTATTATAGGATGAATAACAACAGCCTTCTTTATTTATAATTCAACCTATTAAAGAACGAATAATTATTTTTTATTCGCCCTTATTTTAAGTACGAATAGCAACAGCCATAAAAGAGTTCAGTACGTTTTTCTCCTCTGTTTGTCAACAAATTTTCTTTTTTTATCGTTTAGTTCCTAGCTATTCACGAGCTTTAGTGTTATCAGTAAAAAAGTTCTCAAACAGTTAATTATTATATAATAATTATTAACACTAATTATTAAAACTTCATTATTTATCACAATATCTGGTTATTGTGAATATTGCTACATAATTACTGTGCATTATAATAATTTAGTTAAACTTGGCACCACACAGGGACGTTTATTAGCTTTAAATTTAATATACAATACTGTGGATGGTCGAGGTTTCGGGGTTCAAAATAAAAATTCAACATTATATAACATTAGATTTTACACCCTGCTTGGGCGTGGATCAAACTTAGCCTATGTCTTATCCCAGGGTGCAACTAAATCCTTAACAAATTTAATCAAAATATGTTCAGCTGTTAAGAGTGAAAAAATAACAAACAGAGTGACTTTCATATATTTTATAATATTCGTATGAATAGTATGGATATTTATTTGACATACATATATGTACAACGCTCATACAACGTGACAATCCATAATACATTGGTCTCATGAGAATTTAATTATGCGGGTGCACTGCGTTTGCGCCAGATCATCATTTATACAGATTAATTAACTTTGTACATTTTACCTTATATGTATTACAATTCGTGCAAACACTCCTTAAGTGTTTTATTGAATTTAATTATTAATATTTTTCTTTAATCTATGCTTAATATTATAAAAAAAATAACTCTCGGTTTGTTTGTTCAATTGCACCCTTAAAACTTTAATCAGATTTCAATGAAATTTGGGACAAGGGACTAGATTGCTAAACTAATAATAATAATAATGTCCTATTGACCGATTTGACCAGACCGGAGGCCAATCTTAATGAGATTAGCCATCGCGTAGGAGATGTTATAGTGGATAAGAATGCGCGCAAATATGAGAGCATTCTCTATTCCTTTCACTATTAAAGTCCCACGGAACACTTCTTCACAACGACTGGTAATAGTTAAAGCGCAGGACCCGGAATCCTTCGTGTGCTGACTGGACTCGCACTTGACCGATTTTTTGCTAAAGCGAATGTAGTAATAATTAAAGTATATAGTAGGAGTAACAAAATTTTCTACAGATGAAGTCTAGAAATATATTCTAGAAATATAATTATTTAGAAAACTTTCCAAAAAAATAACCTCTAATAGCCAAATCTTGCCTATTTCTACTTTGTAACAAAATAATGCAAAATGCGCAAAAGTTTTTTAGCGAGTGACCTTCTTCATGCGGTACTGGCGCAACGGCTTTGACTTAGGAATGGCAAGAGAGAGGAAAATGTAACGTTTATTTTGGAGAACGTAATCTTCGGAACCCCTTATCCTCATCGTCATTTGTAAAAGCACTATTTTTTTTCAATGTGCCTACCACACGACTAAAACCTTACGCCAAAACTATTTGCTTATATAAACAAAATAGTCGTCGTAAAACGCATTCTGTTCAAAGTGTCTCAGTAAGTAAAGTATTTAGCAGCAGTTTCAATATACACTAGATACACTAAGAAACATAAACTGATAAAACTGTACTAGCTATATAAAGTGATTTAGAAATCGATCAAAAAAGAACTAGATACACAATCAACGACAAAAAAATTCCTTACCGAATGAGCGCCCATTTGAACATTTGAGCGCCCTCAATTTTTTTTTTGTAAAACTTTAAGCATTGCATTTAAGGTTCAACTTACATTGTTATATATTTATAGTATTCGTTTTTAGAGAAATTTTGCATGGGACTGTGTATCTAGTACTTTTTTGATCGATGGATTTGGATAAATATTTTCAAATAATAAAATAAACATTTTGTACAATCACCCCTCGAAGAAACAGAATATTAATTTTTTAATAATATAATCTCACAATAAGATACTTAACCTCAAACTCCTGTTTTCCTTTCCATTGCATGAATTTTATGGCAACATCACAAATGTTACTAAAACATAAGTCACACTGTCACAGTCAATGTAGCAATGTACTCTATGCACTGTCACACGACATTGACTGTTGACATTTCGTTATATCAACCGATTGGTCCAATATTTCGAAAATCATGTAAAATATAATAAAAAGTGTTTAAATTTAAATAAAATGGCATTTCCAAAGATAGATGGATATGTTGTGACTGAAAAACTCGGCTCTGGAAGCTATTCTACGGTGTACAAAGCTTATACTAAGGTAACAAAGACTTCATAACATGTAAACAAAGATTAATTATTTTGATAACAAAATCATCAAATTATTATTTATATTAATATAAATTCGAAAGTTTGGATGGATGGATGTTTGTTACTCGATCACGCCAGAACGGCTGAACGGATCTGTATGAAATTTGGCACAGAGATAGATTATAGTCTGGAATAGCACATAGGTTACTTTTTATCCCGGAAAAATGTACAGTTCCCGTGGGATAGATTTATTTTTGTTTTTCACCGAGCAAAGAATCGACTATCTATTCTATACTAATCGTTAAAATGTACCTATGGATGAACCCGAGCGAATCACTAAGCTATAATTATTTTTTAAAAGCTGTCCTTCTGGATTTCACATTTGAAATTATAAAAGCAAATATAAATATTATAGGATATCAAAGCAGCTGTTATCTTTAGTTTTTAGTGATCTTTTGTTTAAGAACTAAGTTTAAGGACTCAAAATATCTGTACACATTATAATATCTGTGTATTACAACTTAAATTAATAAAAATATGAACTGCCGTTAAAAGTAAACTTATAAAGTAAGATATATATATATATATATATATAAGTATATATATATATATATATATATATATATATATATATATATATATATATATATAAGTATAATGATTACTTCATTTCAAAATAAATATTATTTAAAAAAAAAATTATATGACATTTATATATTTAAACATTTCAATATATATTTATGATATATTTTCCAATTAGCTATACATATTTATATACAAGTCTTCCTATATAAAAATGTTCAATCTATTATAAAAATTTCAAATCAAAATACTTAGTAAATTACATAACATTCCTATAATAATAATTAAACAAAATCAGCTGGGGCTGTGTCGGGGCACACCTCTGTTGGTTTAACATAAAACCTCAATTTCAACAATTCACATTTAGTTTTTGTTTTTAATAAATATTTTGCATATTTGAAAGCAAGTTAGGAAAAATAGTAACATTTGAATATAGCAACGGAAAAAAAAATATTTTTTAGACAACAACAGTGTTTACTTTTTTTTTAACATTGGGAAATACGCACGAGGTGTGGGACACACCAGCAAAGCCAGTACTACCCACTAAAACCCAACAAATTCAAATTCAAAATATTCTATTCAGCATTAAATTATTACAATTTTTTACTGAATGTCATGAGTCTACTAAACCTTTCGCCGTCTTAATGGGGCGTCGCAGGATCGCTTACGAATTCAACTACGACGCCCCGACGGCAGGTCTGCCGAAGCCGATCACCACAACCATGAGGTTGCTCCTAGGTCCACTCTGCTATCAGAGAAGTACCAGGAGCAACCCGCATGGTACACCGCCCACCAAAGAGGGCAACCTCACACCGCCCACCGAAGTGGGCCATCTACCTGGGCGTTTCTTGGCTTCGCGCCCAACTGAATTTCCGGGCACTACTAAGCCCCCCCACCACGACAAGGTGAACGCACGTTGGGAGGGAACAACAACGGTTACTATGGCAATTTAATGCAACCTAATTTAAACACGTTTCATGGCAATAATAAAAGCATTATTTTCTAATAATCCTAGGTGGGAGCTCGGTCAATAGTAGCAGTGAAATGTGTGGACAAGTCTAGAATAAAACACTCTGGTGCGGCCATAGACAATCTAATTACCGAGATAAGACTGCTGAAGACACTGACACACCCACATATAGTGCATATGAAGCACTTTACTTGGGATGACAAGTAAATACATACACCTCTACATATTAACTAATTAATAATAATGTCTTCCTGACCGATGTTGGCCACGGCGGCTGATCTCACTGAGTCTAACCATCTGCGCAGGAGTTGTTATAGTGCAAACGTGATGGACATAACTGCGGGCTGTCACTGAGAATTTCTTGATAGAAATACTCATACACTAAACATTCCGGGAATCGAACCCAGGACCTCCGGATCTTCGGCCGTACATGCTAGCCACTAGACAACCGAGGCATTTGAGAGAGCGTGCTCAAACTAATAAACAAACAAGCAAACTTGTCATTTTTATATTTTTATATATTGGAATAGAAATATAATTATTTATTACCATACAATTTTCAGAAATATCTATATAATAATGGAATACTGTTGCGGCGGGGATTTGTCCAAATATATACATAAATATGGAAGAATCCCGGAGAAACAGGTGAGTAATTTTTATTTCTTTTTCATGACTATAGTATATGTATTCGGTCTTTTTCAACGTCCCACTGCTGGGCACGGACCTCTAGTACGAGGGGGATCAACGCATAATCCAACACGCTGGCCAAGTGCGGATTGGCGGACTTCACATGACTTTTGAAAACTTGCTAGGGTTTCTCAGACATGCAGGTTTCCTTACGATGTTTTCCTTCACCGTAAAGACACGTGGCAATCATGTTGGAAATGATTCGCACATGAAAATATCAGAGGTGCGAGGCCCGAGATTTGAACCCGCTTCACTCGGTTCCCCAAGCGAGCGCGTTACCACTAAGCTACCACTGCCTATATGTGACTGCCACCATTCTTGGTCTATTCTGATTACCACACTTTGAATTGGAGTATACTTCTAAAAAAAATTCAAAAAAAATAAAAAAGAAATATACATCTATATACATCTATTTGATTGATCAGTGATTTGTGACTTTGTGAGTTTATGACGTTGTAGGGGGTAGTCTCTAGATCTACTGAACCTATTTAAATGTTTGATAAAAAGATCGTTTGAGACCCTGTGAAGGACATAGGATATTTTTTATCTCGGAAATCATCCCTTAAGAGGGTGAAAATGGGGATGAAAATTTGTATGGAGAATCAAGCTAGGAACGAACCCGAGCGAAGCGAGTGTGAGTGGCTAGTATGCATAATAAAATTGTAACTGAGTCGAATCTGTACATTAAATATTTTTTGAAAAATTATATTGAAATATACATTATTATCGATACAGAAGCCAAATCTATAGCTTTTGGAATTTTTGTCTGTCTGCTGTGACCGCTTCACGAGAAAACCACTGAACAGATTTTGATGAAATTTGATATGACGATAGCTAATTATCCGGGTCAACATATAGGTCACTTTTTACTGCAGGTCTCATCTCTGATAAATCTATATTACAACGTAACTAGGGACTAACCCGAGCGGAGTGAGGGTGAGTCTCTAGTTTATACAATGTATCTTTGGGTTTTAAAACTATAAGCGCACAAACTGACAGAAAGGCAGGCGTGTTTTATTAATATTCATAATAAGTAAGATCAGACTTGTGTCATATTTGCAGGTACTGTACTTTCTCCAACAATTGGCGTCTGCTTTAAAGTTTCTTCGAGAAAAAGGTAAGAAGTACTACTTATGTGTTACTTTTTGAGTGATACTGTCCTTTCCTTGTAGGCAGAGAATTTGCTAACATATTTCTCACGCTCCTTCCTTTCAAGATAGCTAATGTAGAATTATACATCATGTATCTCGCAATTGTCTTGCTTTAGTTATCTTACCAATATTATACCGCGAACCTCTCACTTCTAAATATTTCATATGCTTATCCTATTTCCATCATCAGGACAATCAATAGTGAGTTTTTACCATCCCAGTGAAAACAGAACAATATAGTTGTTATTATAGTTTGGAGTGCACAAATACTTTATAGTTATATTACTATATAGTAATAGGTATAAGTTTTAAATAAAACTATCTTTACGGATTTTTTCGCGGATTTATTTGGAATTTTGTTTCCCTTAGTACCCCGGTTTACTTATAAGTTTGAAGTACTTTAAATGAATTACAGTATAATTTTGACAACTCTTAACTGGCCACGTTTGTTCGGATCAGTGTCTTAAAATGCACTCGTAAAAAATGTATCGACGCTTCGAAAAGCTATCGCAAAAAATAAAGTAAAACTAAAATTGTACGTGAAACAGTACAAAATTGCTAAGGCTAATAAATAAAAATATTATTCGTCGTTTTTCCAGGCGTGGTCCACATGGACCTCAAGCCGCACAATCTTCTCCTGCACAAGGACTCCGATGAAAAATACATGTTAAAAGTTGCTGATTTTGGGTAATTTCCTACTAATACTATCATTTTCCCGTGGCTCCATCCGCGTTTAATTTTGTAGAATTACTCCGCTCTCGTAGGTCGTTGCGTGATGTCAGATAGCCTATAACATTCTTACTATACTATAATAAATGTGAATGTTTGTGAGTATGGATGTTTGTTACTCTTTCACGCCAAAACGGCTGAACGGATCTGAGGCACAGAGATAGATTATAGTCTGGAATAAAACTTGGACAACTTTTTATCCCGAAAAAATGGACGGTTCTCGAGGGATAGGTTAGTTTTTGTTATAACGTTTTTGGCTGATATGTAGGATAATTTAACGATATTTTCATCAGAGCAATCCTATAATAATGGAGTTTTAAACATGTTTTTTCTTTCGATTCTTAAAATTTTAATGTTTATATTAAAAAAAAGACATAATTTCTATTCAGTTTCGCGCAACATCTATCAGAAGACACCATGAAGAGTATCCGCGGGTCGCCGCTGTACATGGCGCCCGAGATGGTGCTCGGTAACTACGACGCTAGAGTCGACCTGTGGAGTGTGGGTGAGATGCACGTTGTGTTGTAAAAAACTGTTTTTTTTCTACCGTAAAAAAAAAACATGAAAAAACGCGCTTTTTTTTCTAAAGCAAGTTTTTTTGACGGGATTCAAAACGATTCAGGTAGTTTCCGTAAAAGGTTAATACTTAAGAGTTCAAATTAGAGTTTTATGTTTATTTTCAAATTTACGATACTTTTTTGGTTGAATAGTACCGAGCTTACATGTGAAAATTCCGACACTGACGAGAACAAACATTTTGACACAGAGGTAGAACAAATTTTTATTTAATTGAATCTTTATATTTTATTCGATTTTTAATTTTAGTAAAATGTATGAAATTAGAAAAATTACTTCAATATAACATTTCATTTCCTATATATTTTTTTTCTCAAAAAAAACGATAATTAGAAAAAAAACTAAGATACTAAGTTTCTTGCATGTTTTTTTTTCAAATAAATTATTCTATGTTACGTCACTAAATACACGTCATACTGATATTCCTACTCCCCTCCCCGTTCTCCTCCTCCTTCATCATCTTATCCCACGCTATAACATGTTTTTCTTCCATACCACATCACATTGCTACTATTCTTCTGCTTGCTGCATGCTACATATTGTTTCCTTCTCCCACTTATCTCTTTCAGCCATCATCTCAGCCCTCACTGTTCATACAAATACCCTCACACTTTCGCAAAGTCCATTCATTTTTGAAGTGAAACTTCTTTAGAATCATTGTGATTTGAAACTCGATGAAAGTTGAAACGGACACTAAAAAGAGACAAATACATAAATATATAGGATAGGATAAGCCGGCGAGAGAATGAGATAGAATACATTGCCACGTTGCCATGGTAACCGTTGTTGTAAGCGAAGCGAGGGTCGCTAGTACATATATGTATATTTATAATCACATTCTCGAAAATGGCTCTAACGATTTGGATAAAATTTTGTATTTAGATAAGGTTTTGCTTTTTAAGTTTATCTACATGTGTATATATGTAGGTGCCTTTTCTGGGTTTTTTTTACAAAAAATAAATCATTTCTGTACAACTAACGCTGAGCGAAGCTCGGTCGCCCAAGTAATATTATATAAACGTGAAAGCTTGTGAGGATTTATGCTTATTACTCTTACGCAAAAACTACTCAACTAATTTTGATGAAATTTTCCAGTAATATAGCTTATAAATCGTAGACATACATATGTAAATACTAATTTAATTTATTTCGATATAGATATACTATGCGGACGGAGCTGCGGGACACTAGTAGTACGATAGTGTCTATTCGCAAATAGTGAAGACAATTTATTGAAGCAGATTTACGCAGATGGCTGTAAATAAAACAAAACAAATAAAATTATGCGAATGTATATATTAAAAATAAATTTAGAGTTGCATACAGTAAAATAAAATAAATAAAAACCGGTCAAGTGCGAGTCGGACTCGCTCACAAAGGGTTCCGTTCCATTGCGCAAGATATGTATTTTTTTTTATTTTTGTATATTGTTGTTAATAAGACTGAACACGCATGCTTAATATCAGCTTAATCTGAGTTTTTTTAATTTGCATGGCGGCCATTTTTAAAATTTGTTTTTTATTATTTGTTACTGTGGCGACAATAAAAATACACACTGAAAATTTCAACTCCTTACATACGGTTCATGGGATACAGCCCGCAGACAGACAGACGGACCTAAGCCTAGTAGTAGGGACTCGTTGGCACTTTGGTACGGAACCCTAAAAAATATCACCACAAATTGAAAAGCTTACATTTAGATGCACTCTTATATTGCTAAATCGAATCGAAAATGATACACTGTTATGGGTTTCTTATGCAGCGTTACACACAAGATGTTTTTTTGTTTATTAGTTTGATTTTTAGTGGCCTCTTCTTCTTCAGTCGTTACGTTTTCCTTTTATCTTGTTCTCGTTGACTTTATAGAATAACTCCCAAAATGCCAGTCTTTGACTGTACGGTCGTTTTTCCATTTTCAGCTCAGTATCTATTAAGAGGTAATTGTTTATGTCCTTGGTGGTAGGGACCCACTGTACGGGCAGCAAGTCTGATACTTCAGGTGTAGGCTCTCTGAAAAATAGTGTTTCCTTTATCAAAGCTCTGTATGATAAAAGTTATATAAAATCTAATGTTTTTGCCAATTTGTGACAAAGAGAAAGTCATAACATTAAGTTTTGAGCAATATTTTTTAATTTCATTTTTGAGGATTGCTGTTCGATATGCAATGCCCAAAAATTGTTGTTTTAAAATGATAAAAGTTATTTTGCACGCAATTTCTCATAACAAGTAATGTATAGAAGCAAATATAAGGTTTTTTCTACTCACCCGTACTTAGCGAAGTTTGTCCAAAGCGTGGTTATTTGATCAATGATTCGTTGATCAGCTTCAGATGGCTGCTCTTTGTAAATAGGTAAATCAAACAAATAACCAAGTTCATCAGCATGAGCCGCACCTTGTATTGTCACATTTTCCCTGTTCTTAAGATAATTCCTCTCCCCGCTGTATGCAAATAAGTACTGATACACATCTTGAGCTCCACTTTCAAGGTACTTTTGTATACTCTTCTGTCCGGGAAAGTTGAAATCGTAATCTGAGATGAAATCTATTATGCTATGACGTACAGCGTCGGTTATATCTTCATCTCCAATGTAGAAATGACGCATCAAATCTTCCATTTCTTGGAAGTCTTCGTCGTAGTTAAATACTGCATCCAATTCTCTAAATATATTCAGATTCTTGAAGTAATCGGCATTTTTATTTCCAAATATATATGATTGTTCGTGACTGTTGAAACCAGATAAGATAGGTATGCGTTTAGCATTAGGATAATCCATGTTAATTGGATGGTCTAACAGCATGCTTTCAACGTCTTCGAACTCTTCCTCAACGCAAATGTAAAAAGTTAAACCCAACTCCTCTGTGGCTGCGATAACTAACTTCACGTCAGTTTCTTTTAAGAAAGCTAATGCCTGAGATAAATCATCTGTGTGGAAGCCTAGATGTTCAGCGATTTTCAAAGGCTTAGAAGTATCCGCATCTTCAATAACCGTAGGGTGGAAAACGCTACCGCTTTCTATTATAGCCTGATTGAATAATTTTTCCCGTTTCGAAATTAAATGGAAGTCTATGGACATGGCGCCTGCGCTTTCACCCATAATAGTTATCTTGTTAGCATCTCCTCCAAACGCTGCAATATTATCCTTGACCCAGCGCATGCCCAGGTACTGATCTTTCAAACCCTGGTTTCCAGGCACATCTGGGGTGTTGAGACACATAAAACCATAAGGTCCCAATCTGTAGTTTAAGGTGACAAGTATGACGTCATGTCTAATTAAAAAATTGGGACTATATAAATCTCTATTTCCAGACCCATACCGAAATCTACCTCCATGAATCCAGACCACAACGGGCAGTTTGTTCTTTGAGCTCGCCTTATTTGGAACAAACACGTTCAAATTTAAGCAATCCAATGTTCCTATAATAGTTGTACTCAATTCTTCCTTTTGTGGACATACGGCTGAATCGTCGTAGGCTTCAAAAACGTTGTCAAATTTAGGATGAGGAGATGATGCCTGAAATAAAAAATATGAACGTATATTTTAAAGTTAAAGTTGGGGGTAGCAAGGTTTTTTGATATTGACAAAACAGAGTGACCCAAAGTAGTGATGATAGAGGTAAAGAGTTCGATTCTAGATGAAGTATATAAATAGATTAACACGAATAGTTACGTTAATATGATTAACATAACTATATCCTAAACTAGTTTGATTTCCCAAACAAACTTTCATCTCCATTTTCACCCCCGTAAGGGATGATTTCCGGGATAAAAAGTGTCCTATGTCCTTCCCCGGATCTCAAACTATCTTCTTACTAAATTTGATCTAAATCGGCTCAGTAGATCCAGAGATTACCCCCTACAACGTCACAAACTCACAATTCACAAACTTTACCTCTTTATAATATTACAAACATTACCTCTTTATAATATTATTATAGATTCTAGATGAGGAAAGTATATTAAAATTATTACGATTCTTTCATCATAATAGTAAGACAGACAATATTTACCCATAATAACCCCTAGCCGCCATAATGATAGCCTAGTCCCTCGCTAAATATTATCATTTTTTTTTAGAAAACTGCAGATGCTCTTATTGCAAACAAAAACTTTAAATCCATTGACTCATTGGCTAGATAAAAGTTTATTTAGAAACAGAATTTGTAATCTTTTATCGATTATCTTGAGATGTATTATCAATAAGTGGGTTGGTCAAGGACATGTACTGTAGTGAAACACTTAATGATGGAACCTCTGAATTTACCAACTAGCTTTTACGCCGTAAACTGAATATAATTAGGTCCTGGGTTCGCTTCCTGAGTCCTAGAGAGTTTCTGGGTTTTTCTATAAAAAAATGTAAAAGTATCCCAAATGATGTAATGGGTGTTCCTCACTCTCGGAGAAAAAGTAAGGCACATGATTCTCCGCGTTTTTTCTCGTCATGTCGTTCATTGCAATATATTATTCTTAACCAACTTCAAAAAGGAGGAGGTTCTCGATTAGATTGGTATTTTTTATGTATGTACACCAATTACCCTAAGATTTATGATCCGATTTACGAGATTCTTCTTTAGTTTGATGAGGAATAGTTGCCATTTGGTCCCATAAAAATTTCACATAGTTTGGCCCAGTAGTTTTCATTAACCGAGTTCCAAAAAGGATGAGGTTCTCAATTCGTCGGAATCTTTTTTTTATGTATGTTCACCGATTACTCGAAGACGCCTGAACCGATTTGGATTTTTTTGTTTCAAAGGGTATACTTCCCAGGTGGTCCTATATAAATTTAATCGAAATCGGTTAAGCGGTTTTTTAAATCAATAAATAAATTATTTTCTTTAATAAATTGCTTAATCGAACATATTATTAACAAACTTTCTTCTGACAAATTACCTGCTTATTACGTCTACACTAAAAATGGAGAAATAAAAACTTAAAAAAAAGAATTAAAACCGACTTCCAGGCACTAAAATGTAAAAAATAACTAACGGGGGTTTTCATTTATAATAAATACCTATTCAGATATTTTCGAAGTCGGTGCCAGCCGATGCAAAGCAAATCTAATATATTTCGATACGTGAAAAATCATTGAAGCAGAGCGAGCGTGCGGAGTAGAGAAACTTAAATTCGTTAATTAAAAATTACCTACTGTATTTTACAGAACAACCTTTTACAGACACTAAAAAGTAAAAAATAAAAAAGACTACGTTTAAAAAAAACCGACTTCAAAAACTAAAAAGTATAAAATAACTTAATAAAGATTTAATTTAATTTTCTTATGCAAACCTAATACCTTAAATGTTAATAAAATACTATTATTTATATGTGCTACCTATTGATAGGTTTGAAGTCCTATTAGGTTTGCATATGAGGTATATTAAATTCAACTGCCTCGGTGGTGTAGTGGCTAGCATGTACGGCTGCACACCCGGAGGTCCTGGGTTCGAGTCCCGGGTCGGGCCAAGTTTAGTTATTGAGTCTTTCTGTATAAGTAAGCCTCAGTAACAGCCCGGAGTTGGGAAGTTGGCGGTGTTTCACCCCCGTGCCTCGGAGAACACGTAATGCCGTCGGTCCTGCGCCTTAACTCTCACTGGTCGTGTCGAGCAGTCGTCCCACCGGAGTATGAGAGTGACAGGAATAGAGAGTGCACTTGTGTCTGCGCGTACACTTGTGCAATAATATCTCCTGCACAGTTGGCTAGTCTCAATGAGATTGGCCGCCGTGGCCGTAACCGGTCGGGAGAACATCACATTAAATTAAATCTTTATTGAGTTAATTTGTACTTTTTGAAGTCGGTTTTTTTAAACGTAGTTTTTATTTATTTATAAAACGTGACATTTTATTTAGAACTATATTAATTAATATCACTCATGGTACTAAAATTTACAAATTGAACAAGAAAAATGTTATAAAATTCAGCTAAACACAAATAAACTTACTCCAAAAGGATTATTTTCATCAACTTTGGCGTAGGGTATTCCAAGGAACATGGAATAGTCTCCTTCATCAGCCCTCAGTCCTCTGATCAGACCTTGCGGAGTATCCACTAGAGGGTCTAATCCTGTCGTGCCCTGTACTAACCCGAGGGTTAAAAGTAAGAGACAACTGATCCCCCACATCTCTCTTCCACCAGTTCAAACAACGCTCTAACCACCCATGAATACTGACGAAATTGATTTCGTTCATTTCTTATCGGATAAAAATGATATCTCTTGTGATAATGTCGATGTTATGTAAGTGTGACTCATGTAAGTGTGAGTCATGTGTTCAGTAAAGATTATGATCACGAGATAGTTTAATCACACACGTGTGATTTTTTCCGAATATAATGATTTATATCTTAAATCGACGAATTCCCGACTGGAAAAATGAGGGAGTTCCAAATGTTCTCCTGATGGATTTCTGTCACGACGGCTATTCTCACTGAGACTGGCCAACTGTAGGAGTTATTGTAGTGCACAAGTATTCGTTGGGCTGTTTCTGATAAATTCTTAACAAAAAAAGGATAGTCGACTGCGAGGCTCGGCCTGAGAGTCGAACCCAGAACTTTCGGATCTACAACCATACATGCTAGCGGCTAGACCAACGAGGCAGTTGATCTTTTTTATACATACAATTCTGAGTCGAAACTGTACATTATATACATATTTTTGAAAAGTTTGTGACGTTGTAGGGGGTAATCTCTAGATCTACTGAACCGATTTAGATGAAATTTGGTAAGATAGTTTGCGACCCTGGAAAAGACATAGGATACTTTTTATCCTGGAAATCGCCCCTTAAAGGGGTGAAAATGGGGATTAAAGTTTGTGTGGGGAACCAAGCTAGGGACGAACCCGAGCGTAGCGAGGGTGAGTCACTAGTAATGAATAAATGACTTAACAAGTTATGTAATATTTATGAGTATTTTTAACATTATCGATACAAAAACAAACTTCGTCGAATCATTTTTATCCTATAAATCCATAAAATATTATAATTTTAAGCAAAATCTAATTAAAAGTGTATTGATAAAAGTAACATGTTTAAAATGTTAGCTTTTGCTGTACCATGAGACAAAAATGATATATATCAGGATATTTATAATATGTATGTATTTAAAGTTATATATGTGTATGTATCAATTATCTAGTGTCCATAACACAGGGCTCGTAGCTTAACATGGAACTAGATGGTGATGTTAATGTTAATGTACCAACATATTTATTTATTATTTTCATTACATTCCTACAAAAATCCTTAAAAGTCAAAAGAAATGTGACCTTCGAATAAACCTCGTTGGTTACATTTTTAAGTATCATCAAAATAAAATGATGTCGGCAAAATTTAACTTATGAACAATTCGTAATCTGTTATCGATTGGCTTGAGATGTGTTATCAATACGTGATTAAGTCAAGGACGAGCTAAGTCATGTACACTTTGTGGTTTAAGATTAAGATTAGATTTACGCGATAAAAGATATATATGTATATATATATACATATATTATATATATATATATATATCAGATAAAGTGCGTTTGCTTGTACGTAATATATATCTCATAAAAGGCAACATCGAGCTATAAAACTTTTTTTGAATTTTTTATATCTATTTTTTATTTTTACATCTTTTAAAACATGTTTTTTTTTGCTGATTCACGCTCTTGCTGCACAAAATGTCTATATCACACTAAAACCATGTTAAAACTCTATAAAACAAAAAAATCTCTTAAGCAATGCACTCGTAAACAATAACAATCCGCCATATTAATAAATAGATTTTTATTTACTAATTATGTTAATTCAAAACATAAACATTTTTTTGTTTTACCAACTGCGTGCACAATTTTGCAGGTGTAATAATGTACGAGTGTCTGTTCGGCAAGGCGCCCTACTCCTCCGCTACGCTCAAGGAGCTCGTAGACAAGATACAGAAGCAAGTTCCTATTGAGGTACGTATACACACTCATTCACATTTACTCACATATTCACATTCTCACACTTTCACACACTCACTCACACTTTCACACACTCATTCACACTAATACTCACTCACACTCTTACATACTCAGTACTCACTCATATTGTATGTGTTACACAGAATAATCAAGACCTATCCCCCCCCAGATCCCTCCCCGGGCGAGCATCTCCCCCGGCTGCCGAGAGCTGCTCGGGCGCCTGCTGCAGCACAACCCGGACAGGAGGATCTCGTACGAGGAGTTCTTCAGCCACGAGTACCTCGACCTGGAGCACATGCCGTCCAAGGAGAACTATAATAAGGTGGGTTGAATAATAGAATATAAGGTAGCATACAATATATATAAGGTAGCATATAATAATACATATAATAGCTTAAAAGGTATATAATTTAATATTTATTGAAGTTATACTTCTTTTGGCACGTTTGGAATAAATTATGAGAGTAAAATTTTTCGATGCGTGCGCACACAGACAGCCAAAAAGCGACATGATGAAGTTGTTGAAAGCAACATGATGGAATTAGCTGCATTCCTTTTACAAACTGAGAGTTGTGACATGCCGGATGAAATCTTTAGCTATTTTTGTTTCGTTACGCAAAATAAGTAACTCGATCGCTTTTTGGCTGTCGGTGTGCGCGCGTATCGTAAAAATGTTACTCTAATAATGTTCCCCAAACGCGCCCAAAAGAAGTGTAACTTGAAAACCATCAGGCCGTGAGCCTGATGAAGCAGGCGGTGTCGCTGGAGGCGGCGCGCGCCCTGCGGCCGGCGCTGGCGGCGTACGGCGCGGCGCTGCGCTACCTGCTGCCCGCCGCCGCCGCGCAGCGCGACCCGCTGCGCCGCGCCGCGCTCGAGGACAAGCTGCGCAGGTACGCACGCACACACGCACACACCATACATATATATATATATAGTACCTGGGCGACCGAGCCTTGCTCGGAGTTTTTGGGCAAAAAAAAAACATAAAAAAAAACTAACTAAGAATTTGAATAAATACAAAAAAAAACAAAATTAAAAACTTTGTGTCTGACCGGGATACGAACCCAGACACCTGTGGTTGTCAAACTTGCGCATTGGCCGCTTGACCATGATGCTTATATCTGAGCATGCGAAATTATCGAACATAATATTTTGCGTGGAATTATAAATAAATAAAATAAAAAATAAAAATAGCCTTTATTCTCTGACCAGTAAAAATTTCCTTATGCCTAATAAAATTACTTAATATTTTATCGATGGTCAGGTCGTCTTTCGACGTAGGCCTCCTCTAGCTCACCCCACTTAATACGATCTTGGGAATACCTTCTCCACCCCTGTGGAAGGTCGTCTTCCCATCTCATCACCTGTCTTCCTCTGCGCCTCTTTCCGTTCCTTGGATACCATACCGTTATTTCTTTAGTCCATTTGTCTTTCTGGGATCTCATCATGTGTCCTGTCCAGCACCACTTTAGTCTTTTTATTCTAGTGGTAACATCTGTTACTTTCGTTTTTGCTCTGATTTTTGAGAGCTTCCATTTGTCCTGTAGCTTTATGTTAAGCATACTCCTCTCCATCCTCTGTTGACACACTTTAAGCCTTTGGCTGTTAAGTTTTGTCATTGCCCATGTTTGGCATCCATATGTTAACACCGGTAAGATGCACATATTGAAAATTTTTCGTTTTCCTGAAATTGGTATGGATGGGCTCTTCAGTATTTCTTTTAAAGACCAATATCGTGACCAGCTGTTGGATATTCTTCGGTTCAGTTCTTTGGACATTTGTTGTTTTGGTGCTATTAATTGTCCTAAGTATACGTATTCTTCTACATACTCTATTTTTAAGCTCTCTATATATATATTTTCTTTGTTTCCATTCGTCATTAACTTTGTTGTTGACAGGTTCATTGAAAGTCCAACTTTTTCGCTTTGATCTTTTAGTTGTTCTATCATATCCTGAAGTGTTTTAGAATCTTCCGCAAAAAGTACGAGGTCGTCAGCAAATCTTAGGTGGGTGAGTTTGCTTCCATTTATATTAACGCCATAATTGCTCCAGTCTAAGTTCCTGAAAATACTTTCCAGCACAGCAGAGAAAAGCTTGGGTGAAAGTGGATCTCCCTGTCTGACCCCTCTTTGGATTTTGAATTCCTCTCCCACTTTTTCTAGGTGAATTTTTGCTGTACTATTACTGTATATTTCTTTTATAATCCTCACGTATTTCTTGTATACTCCTTGTTCTATGAGTGACTTATATATAGCTTTGTGTAATATTGAGTCAAAAGCCTTCCTATAATCTATAAATCCGATGTAATAATATTTTCCATATTCATTATATTTCTCTATGAATTGGTTAACTACGTGCATATGGTCGATCGTAGAAAAATCACTCCGGAATCCCGCTTGTTCCCTTGGTTGTTGTTCGTCGAGACATCTTGTAATACGACCCAGTAAAACTTTCGAAAAAACTTTATACATGTTGGACATTAGACTTATTGGCCTGTAATTTTCCATATTGTGTTTATCACCTTTTTTATGCAGTAGAATAATAGTCGAAGTGGTCCATTGGTTTGGTATTATCTCTTCACATAATATCTTGTTAAAAAGTTTAGTTAGTGGTGGGAGCAAAGCTTCTATTAAGCCTTTTAGTAACTCATTAGTTATTTTATCATCACCTGGTGATTTATCATATTTTTGGGACATGATTGCTTTCCTTATTTCGCTGCTTAAAATCGCTGGTACTTCTTCTTTTCCACTGTCTTTTTTAATGTTGAACTCCTTGTCTGATCCGAGGTCGTTGTATAAATTTCGATAATAGTCTGTGGCAGTTATGACAATTTGTTTTCTGTGGGATGTTATGATTTCCTTTCCATTTATGTCTTTTCCTTTAATTTTTGCTACCCATGTTTTATGATCCTGAAGCTGTTTCAGGGCCTTTTTAATTCCGCCGGTTCTTTCTACTTCTAAATTAATCCTATGGAGCTTTTTCTCTTTTTTGTGATTTCTTATGCTTACTACAATTTTTTTACTAATTTCTTCTATTTCTTTTCTTTTATTTTTGCGGTCGTTAAACTTTTCTCCTTGACTTTTTTATGTCAGCTTTAATTGCTCCTCTTACCATCTTATGATTTGTGTTGAAATTAGAATATAAAATCTATTTCATTTTTATATGTTCCGTCACGAGATATCCAAGTCCATTTTCGTGTATTCTTCTTTTTATAAAATGTGTTTAAAACTTTCATGTTATTCTGCATTGCAAAGTCTACTAATCTTTGACCGTTATCATTTCATTCTGTCAGACTTACTTGAAAATTGTTCAATGTTCTCATTTTCCTTTACTATCAACTTATCGTATTTTATAAAAGCAAAATTCCCTTACTTCTCTCTTCCTTTAATCTCTCTTGTAATGAGCGTCGTATTTCATAATATATGAATTCTAACTTGCAATTTTCTTTCCACTAAAATTTTATTTGGTTAAGAGTATATAAGGAGCCATTTTAGTTGTACAATAAACAAAAGAAGAAAAAAAAACTAATCTAAATATTTAAATACACTTTCTTTTTAAATAAATTTAACTATCAGAAAAAATGTCTATATCACATTGCTGAAATATAAAATTATATAATTTAGTGACTATTTATTAACTTATAATTTTTAACTAATAATTTTGTAATCTGGAATTAAATTATTTTAAAAATCTTTCATATTATTTGAAATGATATTTTATATATATAAATTATCATTAACAAATAAATAAATAAACAATCACAATAAATTAAATAATTCAATTGAGTAAATACTAAACATTTCACAATAATAAATATAAATAAAATTTCTTTCCATACATTAATTCTGACAATAGTTATAAATTAGGTATTTAATTTCATAAATGTCTTTTTCATGTATAGACCCCTGTCGGTTAAAGGCCTCCTCCAAAGTAGTCCTGCATAGAGCTCTCCGTTGGAGATTATGCTTGTATGATTGCAAAGGGTTTCTTTTCAAATTTTGTTTTCAATATATAATTTGTTTCTGATATGCCTATAAAGTTTATAATTCTATCTTTGTGTTCTTTTGATTTGTTGTAGGAAATGCTGCTTTAAATTCTAGAAGCGTATGTCTGTTTTTCTTTGGAGGGTTATGGTCGAACTCCCCCACAGTGACCGGCCGTACTTTGTTCCTGTTCTCAAGAACTTCAATTTTTATTTCTAACTGTTTAAATTTCTCATTTAAGTATATTATTGTTGATTGTATTTTTAATGTCTTCTTTCATTTCTAACATTTCTGTTTTCTGCTGTCTTATTTCTTGTTGCATGTTTATTAGCAACTTTTTTATGTCCTCCATCTTATGTGTGAAGTTGGAAGTAGAAAAGCTGATTGAAAAAGAGCACCAATTATACCTAGTTGAATTGCAATTTTATACCGAGATTAGTTTTTGAGGTTATAAACTTATGTTTTAATATTTGACGCTTTCACTTCACAAATCATTTTGTTTTATTGTCATCACACACAGAAAAGATGGTTTTGCACTGATAGTATCTTTAAGTTATGTTTGTCACTTTTGTATTTGTTTGGTAGGTGAATTTTTAAAAGCTCATTTGTTCTTCCACACATCAAGACTTGGTGATGTTTACATATTGCCCATAGGTTTTATTCAAAAATTTACTATTTTTCTTTAGATTATTTTCACTTAAATATATTTAAACTTGATGTAAATACGGACACGAGGTTGACAGTTGCACAGTGGCGCCTCCCACTCACCAGAAGTGACAATGCAAAAATTGTGAAAATGCAAAAGAAAATGGCATGAAAATTCAAAAACTCGCGTTTTTCCAGAAATAAGACTAATCTAGATCGATTTATCGCCCCCGAAACCCACTGTTTGCCAAATTTCATGAAAATCGTTGGAGCCGTTTCCGAGATTCAGATTATATATTGAGATATATATATATATATATATATATATATATATATATATATATATATATATATATATATATATATACAAGAATAGCTCGTTTAAATATATAAGATATATATTAGGGTGGAGCGAAAAAAAATCCTTTTTATTTCAAAAATGATGTTTTTATAAGCTACAAATTCTACCCCCAAGCTAAGAAAAAATAGATTCTTTTTTATATACACATGTATTCAGCATTCAACGATCCACTGCTGAGCAGTTCACATGTCTTTCGACAACTTCCTACGTTCCCTCAAACATGCAGACGGCATACCTTTTAGGCTTACTTTCTAATCCAATAATCTATCACCTGTTCTAATATTATAAAGAGGAATAATTTGTTTTTTGGTTTGTTTCTTTGTATCGAATAGGCTCCGAAACTACTGAACCGATTTAGATGAAATTTGATAAGAAGATAGTTTGAGAAAGATTTGAAATTATATTTATGATTGTACTGATACATATGCGTGCGTATTGGACTCACAATTGACCGGCTTTTTTTCGTTTGCTAGTAATGAAACTTAGATCATAATTAGAAGACTATGTAAGGAGTCAATTAAAGAAGAAATGAACTAAATGTTATAGCAGCAGGAGAAATACATACTCTGGAAAATTTTAATTCTCTATCTATTACGGTTCATGAGATACAGCCCTCTGACAGACGGACGGACGGACAGCGGAGACTTAGTAATGGGGTTCCGTTGGCACCCTTCAGGTACGGAACTCTAAAAATTGATGCCAAAAAGTTGCATACACCTTTATATTTTAATTTTTTTAGTTAAAGAAATATTATAAATAATATATTTCAGATATATGGAAAGAGCTGAAGAAATCAAGCGCATATTGAAGGAAGAAAAGGATCCGCCATCGAACAGCTCGCAGCCTTCCGATAACTGTACGTATGCCGATAATTATGTTTAAATTTCTTATTTAACCACGTTTCAAAATGATCTAAATATTTCAAAAACACAAAAAGACATGTAGCTAGTTATTATTTGCCTTTAGAAAATTATTGATGTTTACATCTTTTGGCGCGTCATGAGAAATGAATGATGAGTGATTTTATTTCACGAAGCGACAGATTTAGACTACAGTGTGAAGTCATTCCCAATATCTGTCTGTAATCAAATCTTGCAAGTTATATTTGACCCACTTCCCAATGGCCGATTGAACTGAAATTTGGCACACACGTTTGGTTCGCGTGACTGCACGGTTACCTAAATGCCTCCATTTTTAATACAACATGGCGGTCGTTACAAAATGGAAGCATCAAATGGATACATCTAACACCTTAGTCTCTCCCGTGATTATTTGCGCTGTAAAGCATTCGACATGTCGGGAACCAACAATCAATAAAAAACCACTAAAATCAAGTTTCATCCATATATTTTTTTATTTATTTACAGATAATTTCCATACAAATGAAGCGCAAGCGGTCATCGAGGAAAATACCAAAGTAGATCCGCCACAAAATGACGTAGACGTTCCCGTAGAGGAAGTGAGTTATAGAAAACTAAATGATAATAAATGAATAAAAAAATGGCGACGAGCTCGCTTGGTTAATAGAATGGGAGATATTTTTAAACATAAAGTGACAGTTCACTTATTTTTTTATTTTATTTTTTCATTAATAGAGGAATGATCATAAATGAGGTCATCGTTGTATTAAAAAACATTATTGACAAAGGCTTCGACGACACGTTTGACTAGTTTTTAATGACCTTACTTGCTGTGCCAGCGGTCGCGGGTTTAAGTCCCGCTGGAGGCATTCATTTGTGTGATGAGCACGAATGCGTGTACTCCAGTCATGAGTGTTTATATTTATAATGTGTATGTATTTAGCTATATATGTGTAGTGTATCAACTATCTGGTATCCACAACACAAGCCTCGTAGCTTACCATGGAACTAGACATATTTATTTATTATTATTGTTTTTTTTTCTTAATAATAGAGTGAGGAAAGCAAGAGCAGGGGTAAAGAGAGACGCGGCGCGCTGTCGCGGCTGCTGCGGCGGCCGGCGCCGGGCGCGGACACTGTGAGTGTGATTTTTAACTGACTTCTTAAAAGGGGTACTCGATTCTGTTATTTTTTTTGTATATACGATTCCATAGAAATTAAAAAAACACCATAATGAGTAATCATTATTAATATAAATCTCTTTTTAGAGGGTACATTATTAAATGTATGTATGTTCGTGTGCTGGGCCATGACTTCTCAAAATTAATGTCAAAATTAATAATACTAACTGAATATAATTATTACAATCATCAATCATAATGATAATTTAAATTTATTCTTGGTCATGGCAACATAGACGCTCACATATAAATAAATAACAATGTTACATGTGTGTGTAATGATTGGTATTTAAATTAATTTTGTTTGTCTAAATGATACCGTTTTTCGTATTTTTATATAAAATGACTAATTATTCTTAAGTTTGCGTGTGTGTATGTTTGTTTGTTATTCATTAACATTGAAACGGCTGAACGGATTTAAATGAAATCTAGTACACATCTATGCTAATATAATAAAAGAGGAAAGATTTGTTTGTTTATTCGTTTGTACCGAATAAGCTCCGAAACTACTGAACCGATTTAGATGAAATTTGGTAAGAAGATAGTTTGGGACCCTGAGAAGGACATAGGATACTTTTATTCCGAAAATCATACCTTAAGGAGGTGAAAATGGCGATGAAAATTTGTATGGGGAATTTATTATGTTTATAAACAAAAAAAAAATTTCAGGTATAAAATAATTTAACTATCTGTATTCACCCTTCTTTTTTTTAATTTCCTCACAGACAGACGACGAGGGCGCACAGAAATGCGATGCAAACGACACCAACTGCAAGATCTCTTGAGTATGTATATACAATATACATACCTATATGTAAATAATGTACTAAAACATGTACGACACTAGAAGTGCTCGATGTGTCTGAATATTAGTGTTGTCGATAGACTACTATAGATAAAATGTCGATAGAATATCGATTATGGCAATTGATAATATTATCGATCACTTATAATAATATCTATTAATAGTTTTTGTGGCTATAGTGACTGTCTAGGTTTAATTTTATCGATATTATCGATAATATTCTAAGTCATTAATGGTATTGCCACATTTGAAGCTAGCGCCACTAACTTAAGTCGCTAATCGATAAATTTTAACATTTTTGTTATTGAGTCAATATTTGCTTTTTGTTAAAAATTTAAATTGAGTTTATTAAGAAAAAAAAACAACTTAGCCAAGTTTGTTGTTGAGATGTTTTATTAAATAATTATTACACACGGTTGTAACTTTAGAAGGAAGAATGAGTGAATGAATGTTCTTTATTTATGACACTCGCTGCCTACAAACAAAACACATTAAATATTATATTTGTATATATATGTAAACAAGAATGTGTGTGTGTGTGTGTGTGTGTGTGTGTGTGCTTGCGTGCGCTTCTGTGTGTGTGCGCAATAATATATGTAATAGTACAGCCCCGTTTTCCAATTCGAGTACTAAAGCGCATTATGCGGCATAATGCTAATATATTATGAAATGTTTTTTTCTTCAGGGTGGCATTAATCAAAATTTTATTTATATCATCGTCAGTAATATTTGTTTATATTTTATTTATATTATTATATATTAATTAGTTATATTTTTTTCTTTCAACACTGAACCCAGTGCCCTCTGCTGGTGCATTTGAAAACTAATTCACGTTCCAACTAAGCATTAGCACACTTCGGCATTGTGCGCTAAAGTGCGGCATTATGCTCTGTAATTGGAAAACAGGGCAGGATTCCCATGCAAAAAAATATAGATAACCTTAATTCAGTTCATTTTTATCTACTAGACGAAAATACTTTCTTCGATTTAAAGATAGTTTATATAAATGTCAGTGATTAAACCTTTATAGATAACTTTAAATAAAGTAAACAGCGCCATCTATGAATATGCAATCAAAACTCATAATAATGTTTCATCGAGACGAGACGCACGTACTGAGGAAAAAAAACATGTGTGCGTGTAACCTTTGCGCGCGGTTGAAGTGAAACTTCTTTGGCAAATATCCCAATTAAATTGAAACAAATCGATAATTAAATAAGGCATATTACAATCATATATTTATAAAATAAGGAAAGAATATAATATTATATGTTTGTCAGACAATAACAACGGTTACGTGGCAATGTATTCTATCTCATTATCGCACCGGCTTAATCCTATATATTTATGTGTTTGTTTCTTTCTCGTGTCGCATTTTCGTTTAATCGAGTTTCAAATCACAACGATTCTAAAGAAGTTTCACTTCAACAACTGATGCATATACTTAATTTTTATTATGTATTATTTAAATGTATTAATTTTTACTTGCTTTAGTTAGTTATTAACTATTTTTATTTAATAATAAGTAATGTTGTTATTTTTGTTACATATTTTTATAAAAAGACAGTTTTGAAGAGTTTCTGTTGTATTAATAACTTATTACGATTATATACGAATTTATTTTTGTTTTATTTAAATTAATAAAAAAATATATAGATTTTAGGTACTACGAAAGAACTCACTAAGTCAGTAATTTAGTAATTTCGCTTTTGTACTGACGTGATTTGAAAAGTGCCTATTTTGTAAATTTATATAAGCATAATAAAATATTTATATATTAAAACGATTTTTTCTTTTTTTATCGGGTCATGTTCATATAATTAAAATGTCTTCGTAACGTAAGCCACGGTTACAACGATAGAACAAAAATTAGCCGCGTTGAAGCTGAGTTGTTACCCTTTGCCATAAGTAATAGTAGTGTTTTTACTGATTCTGTTTTTTTTTCACTGTTTTTTATGACAATAAATACTTTTTATTATATTATTTTGTGTGGTAGCCCAGTGGAGACGCGCTCGCTTGGGAAACCGAGTGAAGCGAGTTCAAATCCCAGGTCTCGCACCTCTGATATTTTCATGTGCGAATCATTTCCAACATGATTACCACTTGTCTTAACGGTGAAGGAAAACATCGTGAGGAAACCTGCATGTCTGAGAGAACCTAGTAAGTTTTCAAAAAGACATGTGAAGTCCGCCAACCCGCACTTGGCCAGCGTGGTGGACTATGGCCTGATCCCCGTCGTATTGAAGGGAGGCCCGTGCCCTGCAGTGGGACGTTAAAAAGGGCTGAATACATACATACATACATACATATTATTTTTATTCATTTTTTGTTTAGCAAGCTACAGGTGTTTTCATCCGACTGCGGCAAGGGATATGAGTTTATGTATGTATGTATGTATATATCACCCGTATGTACCTCTAACCTAATGGCTAAACTAATTGATATTAATTGTACATCGCGTCGTGACTGGGTATATTAAAAAAACAAATTAGCGAATTTTATAGCACAGACTAAAAAATAACATATAAGGACAAGTATCATATGTTTTTACATGCATATTTTATCTTGCTTTTGTTCCTCCATCAACTTGTAACTCGCATTTTTCAATCAAATCTCATACATTTTATATATATAATTATTTTATTAATATCATTTAGTCGGCACATTAGGCTCAGTATGTAGTGAACCTACTTGCTGTCGCAGCGGTCGCGGGTTCGAGTCCCGCTGGGGGCATTCATTTGTGTGATGAGCACGAATGACTGTACTCCAGTTATGGGTGTTTATATTTATAATATGTATGTATTTACAGATAATCCATCCACGACCGCGGACACGGCGGTGTTACAGTTAACAATAGATTTCTTAGAAAACCTGGAGGTGTATATGTGTAGTGTATCAACTATCTGGCCTATATCATAACACAGGGCTCGTAGCTTACCATGGAACTAGATGGTGCTGTGTGTTAATGTACCAACATATTTATTTATCATCACCCATATGGGAATAAAAGGAAAAATAAAACAAAAAATACACTATAATTATTCCTTATATTATAATATAAACCAACACACGGACGAACACGCTTTACGCATATAGTATATATATACTATATACCTGGAAACGACTTTATACAATAGATTATGAAAATGAGAAATACAATTAATTATTGCTAAAACTCCTTCTTTTTGAAAGTCGGTTAAAATGGAAATTGTACGTACAAAATCATAACCATCGCGACCACGATAGCCGACGACCAACTATTTACATTATAAATTTAATAATATTTAATCCAACGCGACCATGGTTTCTGCGACCATAGTCTTAATATACAATATTATACTAGCCAACGCGACCATGAATCCGGTCGGTGCGACCATGGTCTTGATCGTGGTTGATGGGATCTAGCTCTTATTAACGGCATGATATTATTATAATAAAATATAATGGTCTCCATCACAGTGGCTGCGACCATGGTCTTAGGTTATGGTCGTCGACTACCAACAATCAACATACATCCAATACACACAATCATTTTTTAAGGTGGTCAAAAAGAAAGATATTCTGTTATTTTACTAATACAAAGCGGTTGTGGTGTGCAATGGTTATGAATAAACTGACAAAATTATTTATCTAATATTTCTTTTATGTACAGATAAAAAATGAGATTAAAAATGACGTTGACATTTCATTTGACATCTGTCAGTGTAGGCATTTATTTATTTGGCAGAGAAACAGCTTAAGAAAAATATTAATATTTCGTTTTTTTTTATTCTACGACGGAGATTATTTAAAAAAAAATATTCCTATACTTTAAATAAATACTGTATATAAAAACGATGTAAATAAAATCAACAAAAATATTTTATTCTAATTATTATTAGTATTCCTAAAATATGTTGCCATCTAAAACATTTTATGATTCAACGAGCCACCATTTTGAATCTCATTCTTTATCTGTATGAACCAACCAATCCAAATGCAGAGCACTAACATTGTCTGTACACGCACATACAGACCGCGGTACTGAATATATGTATATATAATATATATAATAGACTGGTTGTTCAAAAATATTTTTTTCCAATGCCCCCTAGTTTTCTTTTGATGAAAAAACTCATTTTTTTTTGTTATTAAAAACAACACCGAATTCATTTTTTGGTAAAAAAAACATAATTTTTCGAAATTTCTCATTAAATATGCTATTATTATATTTTTTTTCAATTAGTTATAAATATAATGAAGAAAAAATCACGTGTTTTTTCATGAAAATAAAGCTATTTAGGGAGTGTCAGAAAAAAAATCTTAACGACCAATCTAATGTATATACAATATGTATATATGTGTGTCCATTTGTTCAGTAGTTGTAGTCGTCGCCGTTGGCATCCTCCGGGTTGTATTTATTCTCATCCTGGGGCTCTTGCTTGATCTGTACGTCGAGAGGCGCCAGGCTGAACTCTGGATAGTCTGTGGGGCATAAAGAAAAAAACAATTATATTATTATATTAAAAGAAACCGGTCAAGTATCAGTCGGACAAGCACACAAAGGGTTCCGTACCGTCGTACAACACTATGCACTAATCGTTTTTTTTTAATTTGCATGACAGCCATTTTGAAATTCACCATCTTTTTTTTTATTATCTGTTGTTATAGCGGCAATACAAATACAAACTCTGAAAATTTCAACTCTACCTTTTACGATGCATGTGACACAGCCCACTGACAGACAGCGGAGGCTTAGTGATAGGGTCCCGTTAGCACCCTTCGGGTACGGAACCCTAAATACTCATCTCAGCAGGACCAAAGTGATCTTGAAAGAAGAGCACACCTTACAAGCGACCTCTACTCACCATCGAGAGGCTCCTCCTTGACCTTAATGTCCTCAGGCTTGACCTTGTGCTCCTTGCGCTCCCTATCGCGCTCTCCCCTGTCCCTGTCCCGGTCGCGGTCGCGGCGGCGTCGCTTGCCGTCCTTGTCCTTCTCCCTATCCTTGTCCTTATCCCTGTCCTTGTCCTTTTCGCGGCGGTCGCGTCGGCGGGAAGAGCGCGATCGAGACCGACGCCGTCTATTATTTTTATAAATAAAAATAATACATTTATAAAAAGAAAAAAAAAATCTTCTAACCAATAGAAGAAATACAGTGACTTGGAAGTTTTAAAAAGTGACAATTCTAAGTGACTTATCTCGAGATATAAATTAGGTTAATACATTAAAAAAAAAACATAAAAATCTGTTCACATTATATGTGTATATACAGATACATATACATATGTAACATACAAAAAATACAAAGTCTTGATTTTAGCCTTTAAAGTAACTTTTAATTAGGACGGTTAGAATATGGGGTTCTAATATTATTCTATGAAAAGCTGGAGTGACCTTAACACTTACAACTAACTACTCAACACTCATGCTCGCCTGGTACTTGTGATGACGTCACGTTACGAGTAGCCCTTAACCCCACAAACTCACAATCTCACAAATTTTACCTCTTAATAATAATAGTATAGATAAAGATTACGAGTGTCTACTTATGTACGCACGTAAGAAGTTATACTTCATTGGCGTAACAGAACAAAAATAGCTAAAGATTTCATCCCGTATGTCACAACTCTGTTTGTAAAAGGAATACAGCTAACTTCATCATGTCGCTTTTTGACTGTCAGCAAAAGTTTTACTCTCATAATCTTTTCCAAACGTGCCAAAAGAAGTATAACTACAAAAACCCAGCAAACGCCAAGCACCCACCTCTCCCCTGCCTCCTCCTCCCCGCGCTTGTCCTTGTCGCGCTCACGCTCGCGCCGCCGCTCGCCGCGCTCGCCGCGCTCGGCGCGCGCGCGCGAGCCCGAGCGCCGCCGCGACCGCGACCGCGACCGGCGCCGCCCGCCTGCGACCGCACACGGAATTATACAAATATATTATATAAAAGCTTATCCATACTTACTAATATTATAAATGTGAGTGTGTTTGTTTGTTCTTCTTTCACATCGAAACGGATTGAGGTATTTGCATAATTATTTGTGTGGAAATAGTTGGAGGGCTGGAGAGTGACATAGGCTACTTTTTACAGTGACAGATTCTCTCATTCCCACGGGCAAACACGTTACAATACAACCCACAAAATATTTATGATCAGAATTACTTGAAACGAATACGTGTTTCAGCATTTTTCCAAATTCATCCGCGGGTTCTGCTAGTTATTTAAAAAAGAAACATTATTTTTTAACATTTCCTTTCTTGTTTATCTACGCAGGTAAATCCCGCGAACACGCAAAATAGGCGCATAGTCGTCGAGTTGCGGAAAACAGCCCGAACATACCATACCATACCAAATCCCGCGACGAACTTTTATATCGTACAAATTGTGTAATATAACAAATTTAATTCTAAATTTATATATTTATTATTATATACATCTTTCCTTTCCATTTGTCCCGGAGTAACCTTTGGAATGGCTTAAACAATTGTAATGAAACTTTCACAGAAAAATAGAAGACCTTGTAGGGTATGTATTATTCCGTAAATATTTAGGGTAGCTTATGTATAGTGTAACGTGTAGTAGTGTGGTGCACTGACGGTCGGGGCGGCGGTCGTCGCGCTCGCGGTCGCGGTCGCGCTGCTCGAGGCGGTAGCGCTCGCGCTCGCGCTCGTTGTCCTCGCGCCCCGAGTGCTTGATGTTGACGTCGGCGCCGCCGCGCCTGGTGCCGCCCAGTCCTCCGCCTGCGGGATACATATATTATAAAAATATCTGAAATTTCCACGGAACACATAACTTTTAAAATGTACAATTACAATTCATCTTTCCATTACTCTCAAAAGTTTTATTAAATTTGATTGGTAATTTCCGATATCACCTTTCACTCAAGAATTTTTAACTTTAAGTTTTAAATTTTTATTCCTCCAAAAAAAATTAAGGGCTTCAAATGACTGAAGTACAAACATTCGTGCTCATCACACAAATGAAACCCCCAGCCAGTCTCGAAGCCGAGACTGCTGGCACAGCAAGTAGAGTCACTACTACAAACTGAGCCAAACGTATCGTCCGAATTCAATCCTACAGTATTTAAGATATCCTTAAACAAAATATAAAACATAAGTTATTAGAACCTCCTTTTGATAGTGACACCGTCCCCTACCGCACTTAGCTCTTTGAAAAAAATATAATAAACAAAAAAATGACTAAAATATAATACACACGACTTTGAAGTTTCAAAACCGCCTATTTTCAACGACTTCGCAGGACTATCATAAAAGTTATCGTTAAGAAAATTTTAACCTGTCTCAAATAGAGTCGCTCTTTAATAAAACAACTTTTTATTGTACTCCAAAAAAAAGACAAATAAATATAACATAGATGGCTTTCATTAAGAAATATTCTACATCTTTATAAAAAAACGTCTATTCACAACTATTTAAAAAAAATATAACATAGGCTTTCACTAAGGCATATTTTAAGTTTTTATTAAAAAAAACAAATTTAAAAAAAAAAAGAAAAAAACTTACCAAGCCGTCTCGGCAGCCACCCTTTGACAGTCCTGGCACGCTCGACGTCCACTAACACGCGTTTGCCGTCGATCTTCTTCCCGTCAGCGTGTTTGTATGCGGCTGGAAAACGCCTCAATCGTTTATGATTGTCTCACACTTGGTTCGCACGAACGTCTTTTGAGGGTAAATAGTTTTTGTTTTTTTTTTTTTTAAAAAAAGAACTTTTTTAGGGTTGGCACATAAAAGACGTCCGCGCGAATTTACGAGATATTGTTCAAATAGGTTCACATGGGACGAAAAAAAAATTAAAAACGATAAAATTTTGCTTAAATAGAAAAAAAAAACCCTAAAAAAGTGAACAAAAAAGTAAACATTTAAAATACATAAATAAAAACCATAATAAAAAACATGAAAAAAAACGTTATTTTCCTACACATCGCGTTAAAGCATGCACGACTTTAAATATTTCTAAAATCGAATTAAAAAACATACCTCCATGTAAACCCATTGCACATAACAGTCCATTGATTTAAAAAAAATCAATAAACTGCGTAACTAGGACAACATTTATGGTAAAAAATGTGTTTTTGTCTATGAATAAAAAAACACATTTTTTTCAAAAAAAATCATACCTACCGACCGAGCCGACAGACGCGTTAGCAAAAATAAATTATTCACATACCTACCGTGTATCTACTTACTTTTTTTATTTTTTTACCCACAAAATGGACGTTCCGTTACTTACTTTACTTACACTTTTTAGATAAAACTTTAGCGAATCGTAGAGGAGCGACGCGGCGTTAAATTACCATTACCTGGTGCGCATTACTTACGTTATCCATAGCGCATAAATTTACAAATTACAAGAAAAAAAAATCTTAAAAAAAGAAAAAATATATACGTTTCATTTATCTATCATACTTATCTTTTGGCCATAATCAATAATAATCATAGTATAATACAATCAAACAAAAAAAACTATCCAATGTGTTCTCATTTTGAAATTTATTAAAAAATCGTTATCACATGGTGATCTATAACGGATCTACAGAATTCGAAATTTGAATTTTTGAAACTATTTCGGTACATTGTATGCTGGTATCTTACCACATACAAACCTATTAAAATACGCCGCTACTCGTATGTGTTGGTCTTTACGGCTGAGTCTGTATTGTAATAGAAAAAACCACTTATTAATCATACATCTTTCCCACGCACGTTATAGCCGACCTTTTTGGAGTGGAACTCAAGAAGAATTAAAAAAAAGTATAAAAAAAAATGTTTTTCATCTCGAAACGTAACGCGTTTAATATTATTAGGTGTTTTTTTTAAAGAACAGTGCATCAATAACAAGAGATTTCCCTAGAAAAAAAAAACAAAAAAAAACATCATATATATTCAAATAGACCATAAGAGCCTTGGATGTAAACTTTTTAATGGAGTAATTAAAAATTTTCGGGAAAAAACTATAGATAAATAAAAATATATATCTGTGAAAATTTTTGAGTACCCTCCAAAAAGGTTAAAAAGTTACCGAACTCAGATCTTAATTGACGCACTCACATCATAATATATTTAGATTATTAGATTATTGAGTTATTTTTATTTTATTTTATTTTAATTAGGATCTCCAACAAAAGATACACACAATATACATATAAAAACAAAAAGCAAATAAGACTCACAACATGTGTCACTTATAGGAGAGACCACAGCTTACTCATTAATGTATTTTATGTTTTAACTAAGTTTAAACTAAGAAAAAATTAACGTCTAGAAACAAATCTGAAACTATTTAAAGAGATACAAAAAAAAACAAATCATATTAGAACACATTTAAACATTTCTACTAATGGCCTATGAGCCTGTGTTTAAAACACATCCATTTATTTTATTATTTAATATTTTTAGTTAAAAAAAAATGATTAAAAAAACCAAAAAATTTGAAAAGAAAACACTGTAATTCATACAAATATTATAAATGTGAAAGTATGTAAGTATGGATGGATGTTTGTTACTCAATCACCCCAGAACGGCTGAATGGATCTGCATGAAATTTGGCATAGAGATAGATTAGTCTTGAATAGCACATAAGGTACTTTTTATCCCGGAAAAATATACGGTTCACGTGGGATAGATTTGTTTTTATCTAGGGACGAACCTGAAGCGAAGCTGAGTCGCTAATTTCTAATACAATTACAATCTTTTCCAATATTTTTTTTAAAAACTTACATTTTGCTATAATACTCAAAGTTTTAAATACCATCTGCCAAATTGTGATCATATAAAAGAAAGTCGTGTTAGTTACACTATTTATAACTCCAGAACGGCTGAACCGATTTGGCTGAAAATTGGCGGGGACGTAGCTTAGAACCCAGAGACGGACATAGGATACTTTTTATCCCGTTCGACTGCGTTCCCGTGTGATATTGTTTGTCTGTTTGTCTGTTTGTACGGGCTAATCTCCGAATCTATTGGACCGATTTAAATGAAATTGTTCATGGTGGTACCTTATATCCCCGGACGTCTTAGATATTTTTTATCCCGGAAAATATAATGGTTCCCGTGGGATAGTTAAAAAACTATTATTACTTATACAACTTATGCACCTAATTTAGTAAAATTTAACATTCTGATACCTTATATTGCCGGTCAAACAACCAGTTACTTTTCATCCGGGAAAAATGAACGGTTCCCGTGGGAACTAATAGATTTTTATTAGTGTTTTTCTAGAGGCGAACCAGAGCGAAGCGAGGGTGAGCCGCTAGTTGTGATTAATTATTTTGCCACAAATAGTACAAGTATTCACTTTACATTGCTAATATTCACCTGATTTTGACGGGACTTTCACTGGCAAATAACTGATATTATAAGGTGTAATTTAGCCTACTTTCATGGTTAAAAAAGAATTAGGGTTCCGTTCAAAAAAAACTAAAACGTACCCAGGGACATACCCGAGGGATTCGAGGGTAAGTCGCTTGATTTAAAATTTAATTTAGAAACTGAAAACAACACTTCATCATTTAGAATCCCTAACATAAACAAAGAAAATAAATAATTCAACAAAATAATAAAATTAAATCTAAATATATTATGACTGACTGCGCAATTGAAAGTCATGCTTAAAATCGCATCAGAAAAAAGTTGCTATTTGTAAAAAAACATATTGGCAATATATTTTTTTTAAATGGCAACTTTTCTCTGTAATTTATACATTTTCCACTATTATCTGGCGTACTCACAATGCATGTCCCGCTCATGTTCATATTCAATGAAGGCATACCCTCGAGGTTTTCCATTTTCTTTATCAAATATCATGTGTATCTGGAAAAAATTGCATACAAAATTTACTTATAATATTAGAGTAATATTCTATTGGGGCGGGTCTGAGCCCGCTTCTCCCCATACCCTTTGCACAGATTCGCACCTGGATCCGCCAAAGATCCACGACATTACAAAACAACAGATGGTCACAAACTGCAGACTGCAGACAATCTAGATCAGCGCTGCCTGCAGTAAACCCACGACTTACAAAACGCTTACTAAACCTCAGTAGAACAAATCTCAAAATAATGATAGGGACGATAACGGGCCACTGTCCCTTGAACAAACACCTATATAACATCGGCGCAACGATTAGAGTAATATTCTAAATATAAGGCAGTTCAGTTCAATGCAGGCATTCCCTTAGGAATCCAAGTGAAGCGGGTTAAAATCCTAGGTCTTGCACCTCTGATATTTTCATGTATGAATCATTTCCAACATGATCAACACCTGTCTTACTGTGAAGGCAAACATCATGAAGAATGTTGTTGTTATATATTAAATGTTGACATTAAAAAAGGCATACAATTATATGCACAATTTTATTTCTATTTCGATAAATATATATAGAATAACATAGATTAGTTAATCTAATATCGCTGCAATGACTATATCTAGACCAAAATACATCAAAACTGGTTCTGCAGAGTCACCATCAGAACATACACACATAACAGAGTTACTTTTTTTTCTGTATTCTGCTCAATGCAACAATCTGTCTTCAGGCATTTAGCTGCTCCTTTGTTCAAAGTTATTCTGTAATAGGTCTTTGTAGCAGTGAGAAATTGTCCATTGACCACCCTCACTTATTCTATTGGGATGAGTGAGGTACTAATATTATTTTAAATTAGTGAAAATTATATTATATTTATGAGTTAGGCAAAAATAATTATAAATACAAAATTTTTTAACTTACTTTTTTTATAACTCCATACCCTTCAAATTCTCTTCTAAGTTTTGACTCAGATGTGTCATAATTCTAAAAAAAAAGAAACCACTGAAAAATCTAGCTTTTCCATTGTATTTGGAATATAAAAATACCATATGCATTGTATACATTATATGAAATTCAATTAAACATTAAGTCCACAGCATTCCTTTATAATATAGAGTTCATTTGGTTCATTCAATAAAAACTAGAGGTCTGTGGCAAAGCGACAAAAAAGATAGATATGTTAATTATATTAATTTATAAAAAGGACAGAGGTAATCCGCTTGCTTGAGAAACCAAGTGAAGCAGGTTCAAATCCTGGGTCTCGCACCTCTGATATTTTCATGTGCGAATCATTTTCAAATCATAGCATTCATCTTATGATGAAGGAAAACATTTTGAGGACATCTGCATGTTTTGAAAGAACCTAGCAAAAATATGTGTAGACCAACAACCCCCACTACACCAGCTTGGTGGACTATGGCAAGTATATAAAAAAGGCCATTACTATGCAAACCACAGTTCAGGATATTACAACATGATTATTTAAAAAATTTGCTCTTAAACCCCTTTGTATCTGTTTATGAGACAGATGAATCTTTCATATATCAAAAATGTGATTTTTATTATAAAAAAATGTAAGATCTACAAATACTTACAATTCTAGCAACAAATAATGTTTTGAATGGGTCCCCAGTGGTTGGGTTGTTTGTGGTTGGATCCCACAGAGCAATCTCCTGTTCTAATTTGTATGCTGTTTGTTCAGCTCTTTCTCTTCTTCTTCTCTCTAAGCGTTCTTCTCTGGTCTCCACTCGGGTTGGTGGAGGAGTTTCTGATGGATGCTATAGACAATAATTGTGGCTATTTATTATAAAATTTTATGTACTTATAATAAAATTATTTATTATTTATATTAATTATATATGTTAAAACATTTATAGTATGAAACTATAACAATTATATATAGAGGTGGTAGAAAAACGATTCGTTTCTCTGATTTATCACGCAAATATCTTGCAATATAAACTAACCTCGAAAACATTAAGAAATGCGCCGACTCCATCGTAGCCCTTTTGTTTCTTTTCATGAGGAAGCTTTGCAGCAGGCGGCAAATAAGGGATGGGATCCCGCGCCGCAAATAGCGCGAGAAGATTTGGTGGTAAAAACTGCGTCATCGTCACCACACCATCGAATTATCATAAACACATAACTTTCACTGTGCTATATTTAAACTAAAACTAAAATCAGTTTTCATTCAATTTTCTATTTAACTGTAAATTATTTGCGAATATGATACCTTAGTTCTTACAATATCATTTATATTAACTTAGTCCAAAATCACAATGTGAACGCCGACGCCATTTTTTGCTTTCAGATTCAGTTTGCTGATTGCTCTTGCTGACGCCATATTAGCATATTTTTTATTGCTCTAAATTCTAATATTAGGCAAAGGTATGACATTATACATGACAATATGCATTCTAGCCTTTTAAGTTAATGAAATTAGTGGAAGTGAGCTGATTTACTACGGGCAAGTCATAGGTGATAGAATCTAATCAATCCTATCACTTTCCAGCATGTATGTAAGATCATAAGTGTTAACATAAGTACAAAATCAGCGCATCCACACTCAATAAAATAGTATTATTACTGTCTGTAATGTGAAGCAGATGGCTAAACAGAAAGACCGATTGACTTGGCAATTTTTGGGGGAGGCCGTTGTCCAACAGTGAACGATTTTTAGCTAAGACGACGAGATCAAAATAGCCATTAATGATAAAGTTATTATAATTGTTATTGTTAAGTAGTACTGTAAATGTAAATTGCTGTCGTTAGTTCCGGAAACAGCTAGTGAAATATTATATATAATAAATACGAAAGTTTAGATGGATGGATGTTTGTTACTCAATCGCGCTAGAACGGCTGGACGGATCTGTATGAAATTTGGCACAGATATAGCTTATAGTCTGAAATAGCACATAGGTTTTTATCCCGAAAAAATGTACGGTTTCCGTAAAATAGATTTGTTTTTGTTTTTAACAAAGCAAGGAATAGACTATCTATATATATTCCCACTCTTGAACTGTCAAAACGTGCTAGGGCCAAAACCGAGCGAAGCGAGGGCGAGTCGTAGTGAGAAATAAAAACTTATCGTTATAAAAAATATCGTATATAATTTCAATTTAAAGTAACAACGTTCACACTATTCATCGTTAAAACCATATTCTCTCACCAACAACACGACAATGGTTGTGATCAAGCCAATTACTGCTATTGAGATTCCCGTTATAACTATACATAAAAAATGTCGACCTAAACATGAGTCTTGTCCGCGCAACGGCCTGTTCACTCGTAAAGCATCGTAGAAGGCTGGCCTATTGGGCCTTTCTTCCTTCATATTGATGCCCCACTTTATGCAATGCTTATTCCGCCAGAGTATGCTGAAATAAAACATCAAATGATAACATAAGTTTTATTATGGTATATTTTCATTTCATTTTTTCATTATCTAAAGTACCTATCTAGTATATATAGTCCTATCGCCTCTCGAGATTTGCGCGAACTACGAACATCCGAAAAAGACTCTCATCGGAATCGATCGGGGATTGTTAATAAAAAAATAAGCTAAATTACACTCCCTGTGCCTTTTAGTAGTTTTTTAAAAAAATAATGTGTTTGTTTTTGCAAATAAATAACACTAATTATAAATTAAAATTTAAAAAAAACCCTCTACGCCAATAAATTGTCATTTAACGATTACACTGGCACGCGTGAAGCACTTAATCAAGTAATCATACGCCAAAATGCCTTACATCATTTTGGAAAAGAGCTGATACTCTTACACTGCTGGACCGATATTGACCAAACATAGCTAAGAACCACTGCAAGGAAACTGGATTTCAAATGAAAAACAACGCATCGAAATCGGTCCATCCGTTTGAGAGCTACGATGACAGACACACACACACAGACAGGCAGACATCGACGTCAAACTTATAACACATTGTTACATTTTCCCACGGCAACGTCTTTTCTTTTTCCGCGATAACACTCTATCTCGAAACCTTTATTTGCTTATGAAAATCTCACTAAAATTAGTTCACTGTTCAGTCGTGTCCAAGACTAGAGGGCGCAGAAATATTTTAACAGCTTCGGTGGGCTTTTATATAAGTAGTATAAGTCTAAATTTCAACAGCCTAATGTGTAAATTGATTGAAATACTTGATAATAAAAAGATAATGAATCTTATAATTATTGAATTTTAGATACAACATGAACTAAAAATTTGAATAAAATATAGCTCACATGAGATTCTACTTGATGTAAAAATTTAACAATGAGCAATGTGAATGCGAGCGCAGTACCACTTAGACCGATCAGAACCAGCCATACGACGCCATTGTTTCTCAAAGTTCTAGTCACTTGATATACATGCGCCGTTTGAATTCCTGTTTCAATATCTATAATTTAGTAAAATGAAAATAAATACGTACAGTAATCATATAAAATGGGGCGCGGAAGAATTAGAGGGAAAATAGTGAAAAATATTTAGTAAATATGACTGGAAATCAGTTAAAAAATAATAATGGTAAATATAAATTTGAAAAATACATTATCACCTACTATTTAGTGAGTAGTGACTTACCCTCGCTTCGCTCAGGTTCGTCTCTAGGTACGTTTTGGCGCTTAGTATGGAATAGATATTTTTCAAAAAAAAAATGTGAATATTTCCGAAGTTTTAATAGTTATTTTGCTGCGGGGTGAAGACAAATCCAAAGAAACAAAGATCATAAAAATCGGTCCAGCAGTTCTCGAGTTATAAGTGTTGTAACAAACCCGACTTTGTTTTATATATACCTATATATAGATTTTTATTAACCCTTCTATCGTAGCACTTACACGCAAACTACAAAGAAGTAGGTATGTCAATATTTTCTTAACATTTAATTTTTTCTATGTTAACGGTTTCGTTGTTCAAATTCTGCATTTGTATGCAGAATTTGAACTGGGCTTGTACCCTGCATTCGTTTCAACTTACCAGTAATAGATTTCACAATGCCTTAACGCGAGTGTGGTATTAGAGAGCAAATAGAATCCTACTAATATTATAATTTATAATTAAACGCGAAAGTTCGTAAGAATGTATGTATGGATGTATGTTTGTTACTTTTTCACGCAAAAAATAATTAATGGATTTTGATGAAACTTTACAACTATATAGCTCATACATCAGAATAACACATAGACTACTTTTTATTCCGGAAAAATGTACGGTTCCCGTGGGATAGATTTGTTTTTGTTTTTCTAGAGCCGAACCTGAGCGAAGCGAGGGTGAGCCGCTAGTACAAAATACTTTTTTTAATTATTTATACAAAACTATAGTTATTAGATTTGACAATATTGATTACAAGTTAAATAGAAACGCAGTACTCACAAACTTTATCACTGGTCGCCTTCGATGTACCACTAAAATAAATACTAATATATAAAGTAAAATAAAAGTAATGTTACTTTTAGTTAAGTAATTATTTAAAAAATATTTAAATTATTTCTAATTCCTAAAAATATTCATTTTACAATTAATAAATAAAAAGGTCAGTACACGGTGATAAAATTCTCATAAAAGTATAATTTTATATATATAAACTCACACAATTTTCGATCCTTTTTCAAAATCTATCATAAATAATTTGTATTAAAATTATTTAAATAGTCTTTCATTTTAATTAATTTACATATTATTGTTATTATTGTAAAAATATCTTGTACTTGATACTTCACGTCATGACAATAATATATAACGGAATCACTTGTAAATACAAGACTTTGATATAAAACCTATTTTAAATAAAATAGGTTTTATATCTAAGTCTTATTTTTATTATTTTAATTTAACTTACAATTAATCTAAAAAATCCAATACCATAAAATCAAAATATACATGTACAAAAATATTTACCATATTATTTATTCAGTTTATGAATAGTTGGAAAATATAAGTATATAATATGTATTTTAAACATTTTTTTTAAATGTTTTTAACGTTATTCTCTGGTCGGAAAAAAATTCAACATGGCAACATTTTAAGGAAAATCGATTAAAAAGCGAGTGATCAAATGAAATCGGTTAAAATTAAAATGCCAAATATGTAATAACAAATAGAAGTAAAAATAAAATCTGTATAGATACTTTAAAATTTAACATAAAATACAAAATAATCCTTTTTCTTCTGATATGTAAAACTTATTAATTCAAATACAGATAAGCTACAAATCGTATGTAACTAATATATTGTTTGACTTTATGTTCACTCTTTCCAAACTGCTAAGCCGATATTGATGAAATTCAACGACATTAAATTCGCCTTAATACAGCTAGTGTTACAGGGTATATAAAATTGTAAAAAAACAAAACGGCGAATTATAGAGTTATCATGGATTTTAGTTTTATGTTTTTATTTATAATATATATTTACGCTATGCATAAGCTGTTCTTTTTTTCAGATTAAAATCATGGGTTCGATTAATGCGTGGGGTAAATATATTTTATATTTAATACTTTCTTACTTGTAGGTGAATATTTGAAATTTTAAATAAAACTTATCTTCAGGAATTTTTCCGCAGATTTATTTTGGTTCCCTAACCAAAAACAGTATTCGCGATAGTTTTATTAATGTTTGTTAAGCATTTCCTTTTTTCTGTTTTACGTAATGGAGATATCCCTTTCTGTTTTAGTCGAAATAACAGTCACACAGTACGCATCATCTATATAACCTCATATAAATGGAATGGATGGCAAAAAGAGTTTTAAATTGAGAAGAAGTTTATTGCCGTTAAAAAACACACTTCGAGTTCCGGCAAGTTGCTTGCTGTAAGCTGCTTTCGTTAGATCCTAAAACAACCATTAGAGTAATCTCCACTAATAAAATAAAACACAAAATTATTGATTATAAGAGAATTCCTCATATTTAATGCCAACTGTGTAATGTGTGTCGATAACTTCACAGGCTGTTACAAAATCTTCTTTGCTTCTGTACTTGTATATCACTTTTTCTGGTTTCCATTTAGAGCTGAACTCTGGGTCCAAGAAGTATGGTTCGGGCGTTTGAATATCTAAGGGATCTTTTTGGAATGGTAATACTAGCCTGAAATTAAAAAAAATATATATTAGGTACAGAAACACCAAGAGATAGTAACAAAGTAGGTCGATTGCATCGATATACAATTTTTTAAGTGTATATTATAATATATTCTAATACGCAAATATGCGACAGAATTAAATATTATGTTTTATGTTTCTCATCATATAACTTTGCTCTTTTTCCTTTTCTGTCAAATTTTGAGTTACTGCATTTACTCCTACCTAGACACATACACACAATTAAATATATGTATATTGTATATAAAATAAACGTATTAGTCATTTGGCAATAAATTGAACTTTTAGTTTTTCTACTTATTTTCAGTACAAAGAAACTATAATTATTAAAGTGGTAGTTTTAACTCCTATTAAGCGAATGTGTGTTAAATAAAAATATTATTTTAACTACTCTAATCTATTTTTTCATAAGGTATATAATATGTTACAACTAATTTCATGATCTAGGCACGGAGTTCAACTGTTTCCCAACTCTGGACTGGTATTGAGAATTTCTCTGCACTGCACTTGGCCTGACATGAGACTCGTACCGAGGACCCTCGGATCTACAGCCGTACTAGATACTACCGGAATACAGTCGGATACTAGTCACTAGACCATCGAATACTATTTACCTAGTAGCGTGTAAGAACATCCTAGGGGGGGTGCTGTCCAATGTGTTGCTATACGTGTAGTCTCCAAGTATGGTGTGACCGACGGACTTACAGTGTACACGGAGTTGGTGACGACGACCTTAAATATATTAAAAAAATTATGACTTATACTGAGTCCCACAGTTTTGCACGAGTGTATTTTTGTATAGTCTACAACTACTATTAAATAATGTCCCTAAGATGTATAAGTACAATATGTAGAACGAGGATCTCATATATTAGCCAAAAATATGTAACATACCTCTTCATAAGTAAATTAATATGTAACATTAATATAATCTCATCGACAAACCAGTAACAGGTTTCAGCAACACAACGGTCACAGGATCTTCACAATAGTACCCCGTCTCCAGGACCAGGAGCCTGGTGTAAGCTGACCTTGGGTCACCACATTTTGTTGTACTGGTTAGTGGTGACATCTTATGACTGTTTCCCGGTGACAGATCTACGCCTGATTATAAAAGAATATTTTAACACCTTTAGAGTAAGCTATCTTGTACAAATATTTGCCTATCATGGTAATCAAATCTTCTATTTTCAGTGAAACTAAAAATGCTATTTAACTAAATAAATCGATTGCTGATTTCTTATATAGTATCAGAATTTTAATATGCTGTGTTGTTATTTACATTATTTAACTCAAATAATGGTCTAGTTCACATATTATTATTATTTTTAGATCTAAGCGGACATTAGACATTTTAAGTAAAGCTTTTTTTCCGATTATCTCGTGATTTTATTTTGATCTACTATCCTCATGCTTTATGGAAAGCATTCAAATCGTCGGAAAAAAATCATCAAAATAAATGATGCAGTTTTATTTTGTGCACATAATTTTAGCAAATCAAATGTTTCCGAAAAAATAGGCATTCATTTAAAATAATTACTATCATGATAGATATTATACAAAAAAAGTATGGTAGAAGTCAAACATCAAATTAAACCTTACCAATTGCGTATTTGATATCAGCTAACTCAAATGTAATATGACCTCTAACGACCGCCAAATAATATTTTCTGGTAAGTCTTTTTTCAAATAACCTTCCCGCCCAACAAGCCGCTGTTTTATTCTTAGCAATACATAATATCCCACTGGTGGCATAGTCGAGACGTTGTACGAAATATAGCGGGTTTGATGATGTTGAAAGGTGTGAGTCGTGTGAGGCAATATGGCAAGTGACGGTATTCTAAAATATTTAAATATATTTATTTCATGAAATAAAAGTATATTTATAATCTTTAGACGGTCAATTACATCTTCATAATATAATTGATTGTCCTCATAACAATTTGTTGTTTGAAATTACCAAGTGATAAATTCGCAGGCACTATTTCGTTTAGGAATACAGTTTAATTCAATTATTTTATTATGGTATCACTGTAGAGTTTCTATATAAATTTAGACAAAAGTATCCACAAATGACAAACGAATTAGTACCAGGTTGATTCTAATTCCAAAACAGCCACTAGGGAAAACTAATTACCACCAATATTTTTTCTTTCGTAATATAATTTACGAGCACTAAATATTAAGGTAATAGGAACTTTGGAGCTTAATGTTTCTGTATGTATTATCCTATACACTTATGTACAATGTGGCCTTAATTTACCGATTTTAAATGTCGATATAAAACATCGATTTGGTAAGCCGATTAAATATTTACCTCACTATCATATTGACATATTGATAAATGAACTGCGATGTAAACAAAAACATAACCTAAAAATAAATTACCTTTTCATTTTCGTCGTCTGAATTTATATACATATCAAATGGTTTATTCACAATAATAAAATCTCCACTCTCGAATATCTTTGGGACCGCCATGGTATCTATTTATCAGGCGAAAATATTAATTTCACAAGATATAATTCTATATCTTTTACAAATAGATGAATGTAGCTTTTTTTGGATAAATGTTGTGTTTTTCAATTTTTATCTTCGGTACAAAATTTGATAATATGGGACAAAAATGCGAAATGAGAGTCTGAAACGCCGTCTGGAATGCTTTGTCTAGACATGCGTTCAAAAATTCCTCCCATTGCATTTTGCCCCAAAATATTTAATTACTTTATACTTTTTACATCACAATTTCTTTTTAATGATTATTCAACGATACATATTCTTTTTTTATTTATTATTTTTCTAATTACAGAGACAAAGTAGGTTTCATGTATTTTAGAACGAAACTATTACTTTTTGCTTTGAAGATGGAGTAAATTCTGATGAAATTGGTTACCTATTTTTATAATTAAAGAATTTTCTGATATATGTTTCATTTTTTTTGTAAAATTTTACTAAATTGTATTTTGGCAATTTTTAAAGCTTGCAACGAAAAAATGTCAATTTATTTGACCAGTGAACACAGATAAAATAAAATATTGACAAAGAAAGCTAGCGTAAGGACGCTTACTCTTTGAATAAAAATAACACAATTCAAAATAATTATTTAAATATATCATAATATTTAGATAGCGATTTTTTAATTTATATACAAGATGAATGAATTATGTACAGCTTGTTTATGTGCGGGGCGGCTTTTATTTTATATAGAAGGAACAGAAATTTACAAACTTTACACTCAAATTCTACGAGAGATTTCGGTGAGAAAATTATATATGCTTTAATATTTTTACTGGCATGATAAAATATATAAAGAAGGTCTACTATAAATAAAAAATATGTAACATATTTTCTTTACCTCACAGACGTAATAACAGCACTGTTAAATTTATTTAGAAAACAATCTTTTTGTAAGAAATATTTGTGTTTGTATAATTTAGCTCATTTAAAAACAAAAAACAATAAGATAACAACATATATTAACTGATGTTATAAAATCTAACTTTTAAATAGTATCTTTATTCACCATTTTTAATAATATATATAATTTAAATTGTAATATTAAATTTAATTATTTATATTACAGAAATTAAATTATGAATTTGAATGCAAGGTTTTGTAAAACCTTTTCCCATAAAATATTCTACAACAGCTGTCTCTATGCATTTCATGATCTATGTTATGTCCCTTTTAAAAATTATAATAAAATTAATCTTAAACTAGTATAATATTTAGATGGACTATATGTACCTTTTTTGAACATTCATTAATTTAAATATGGTAAAAATATATTATAAGATATGAGGTATTTAATATCCCTGTATTAAAATATTCATTATTTCTTTATAAGATTACTGAAGACATGCTATCTGGATGTGTGCGTGTGTGCTGGGAATGCCGAGCAATGTTGCACAGAGTAAATAAATTTAAAAGCCAAACACAGCAATGTTACGTAGAGTTAATGCAACATGTAAACAAGGTTTGTATATACTTACATATTATTATTAACTATTATTACTTTTAACTAACATTATTTATTAACTAGCGACTCACCCTCGGGTTCGGGTTACTTCCTAATACAAATTTTCACCCCTATTTTTACCCCCTTAAGGGATAATTTCCAGAATAAAAACTACCCTATGTCCTTCCCCAGAGTCTCAAACTATCTTCTTACCAAATTTCATCTAAATCTGAATCTGATATCGATACTGTCCTCAACCAAGATATTCAGCTGGATCTACCCTTGAAGTTAGTAACGCCCAAGGAGATATGTAGGAATATTAACCTAATGGACAACAACAAGGCCCCTGGTTATGATCTTATTGACAAAAAAGTCCTTCAAGAATTGCCTTACAAAGGAATTGTGTATCTAACCATGCTTTTTAACGCCATTCAACGAGTAGGCTACTTCCCAGACATATGGAAAGTATCACAAGTAATAATGATCCATAAACCCGGTAAACCAATGCATGATGTCACCTCATACAGACCTATCAGTCTACTACCAATTATGTCCAAGCTGTACGAAAAGTCCCTACTACATAGAATGTTACCTGTTCTCAATGAGAAGAAAATTGTCCCAGAACACCAATTCGGATTTCGAAAAGAACATGCTACCATAGAACAAGTCCATAGAGTGTGCAGGAAGATCAGAAAAACCTTTGAAAAAAAAGAATACTGCTCAGCTGCCTTTCTTGATATACAACAAGCCTTTGACAGAGTCTGGCACAAAGGTCTGCTCTTCAAAATAAAAACCCTATTACCACACACATTCTATGGAGTACTAAAATCATACATTACACACAGAATATTTCAAGTAAGAGAAAACCAATCCACCTCACGACTATATGAAATATCCGCAGGAGTACCACAAGGCTCGGTCCTCGGTCCCGTCTTGTACACCCTGTTTACCTCCGACCTACCTCAAAGCTCCGAGATCACAATTGCCACCTTCGCGGATGACACTGCCTTACTTGCCTCGCACAAATGTCCAACACAAGCATCTCGCATTTTACAAAGTAGCTTGAATGAAACAGAAGAATGGCTAGCCAAATGGAGAATTGCAGCCAGCGTATCCAAATCAGTGCATATAACGTTTACATTATGCAAACATGATTGTGACCCCGTTACCCTAAACGGCAGCCAACTCCCACATCACGAGTCTGTAAAATATCTGGGCATGCATCTTGACCGAAGGCTCACATGGAGAAAACATGTCGAAACTAAAAGGGAAGAAATGAACCTGAAATACAGAAGTCTTCTCTGGCTTCTTGGAAGAAACTCAAAACTGGCGATAGATAACAAACTCCTAATATATAAGACCATTCTAAAGCCAATCTGGACATACGGCATCCAACTTTGGGGATCAGCCAGTACCTCCAACATAATGAAAGTGCAAAGGGCACAAAATTATATACTAAAACAAATATCCAATGCACCGTGGTTTATCAAGACTACAGAAATCCATGAAATCCTCAATATTCCTATGGTCAATGAGGAGATAAAAACACATGGCGAAAAGTACAAATCCCGGCTGCTAAGGCATCCGAACAAACTAGCAGGACAACTTACTATCCCGGAAAGCATCCGCCGATTAAAAAAGCGGCGTGACCTTTTCGACCAGAACAGTCAGAAAGAAGAATGACTTTGTAAAGATAGGGCAGACCCCACTGGGAGTAGAGCCTAACATGCCATTTAACCATCTCATCTGCTCATAGTCTGAAAGACTGATCGCAAGATTTAACCAAAAAAAAAAAAAAAAAAATTTCATCTAAATCGTTTTAGTGTTTCAGAGCATAGGCTATATTTTTAATACCTATTCTAATATTATAAACATGAAGTTTTTTTGTTTATTTGTTTGTTTGTTTCGAATAGTCGAAACAAATAAACAAAAAAACTTCATCTTTATAATATTAGAATAGGTATTTAAAACATTTATGGTAAAAGACAATTCAGGATGTTCAATACATAATTAATCCGAAGTCTTGCACCTCTGATATTTTCATGTGTGAATTATTTCCAACAACGCTTGTGCCACCGCTTGTGTTACAGTGAAGAAAATCATTGTGAGGAAACCTGCATGTCTGAGAGTATCTTTTAGCAAGTTTTCGAAAAACATGTGAAGTCCACCAATCTGTACTTGGCCAACGTGGCGGACTATGGCCTTATCCCTCTAATATTGAAGGCAGGGTCACCCCCAGTTACAGGACATTAAAAAGCGCTGAATAGAATTTATAACTTAATAAAACAATTATTTTCAGAACTCTGGAAAATTCCACAATCTACAGAAATCTCCTCATCTTCAAATCCACTCCATCCACAACTACAGCTATCCAGAGCTGGTCATCAAGCAGGAGGAACCCGAGGATTTGGCAGAACTGGATGGGTTGGAGGACAGTGACACTCATTATGAGCCAGAGACTTTTGTAAATGATTTGGAAGTAGAGAAGGAAATAAAGGTGAGATTTATCAATTACTATCTTATTATCTTGTATCAAACGAGCAATTCTTGTATAAATTTAATTTTGTGCATCTCGGAAACAGCTCGAAGGATTTGGATCAAATTTTATATTTAGATAAGGTTTTGCTTTTTAAGTTTATCTATATAGGTGTCTGCTTTAAAAAAAATCATTTTTTCTATGTTTTCTGAAATATGAAGAGCGTGGCTGGGTTGCCCAGATACTGTTATTTATATAATATCTATCATAATGTGCCAAAGTTGTATCTCTATAGAGCTAATCACACTATTATTAATGTTGTATGTATTTATATTTGTTACCCCTTTATGTTGACATGGTGAGGTGTTTTTTTTTACTGCTCGGAAATGCAGTTATGATACCACACATACATAGACCTGGACCTGGACCATGTAGCCTGGAATAATACATGAAGTAAATTTAGTTATATAATTTGCTTTAAGGTGACCTCTACATTCGTGGCCATAAGGTGTTTTAACTGTTAGTATGAAATAGACAGTTGATCTCTTGCTCTGTGAAAAACAAAAACAAATCTATCCCACGGGAATCCTACGTTTTTCCGGGATAAGATGTGCCTATGTGCTATTCCAGATTACATCTGTCTCTGTGCCAAATTTCATCCAGACCTGTTCCGCCGTTCTGGTGTTTGAGTAACAAACATCCATCCATCCAAACTTTCGCATTAAATAATGAGATTAAATACAAAAGGTAACTAGCATCCAAGCTAAGTGACAGTAAGTCTCTAGTTATAATATAATGTTTTTTTTATCAGGCAACGAAAAAGAAGCCAAAACAAAAGGTGAAATTAAAAAAGAAGAAAGCAAAGGAATGTCCAGAGGGAGTGGAGGAAGAGCCGTGCCTCGCTGTGGGGAGTAAGAGGGAGTTTGTGTGCCAACAGTGTGGGGAGGGTTTCACTAGTGAGGAGGAAATGGAGAAACATGTAGAAAAAGCGCATGTCCAAGTTAGTCTTTGCTTATATTTGATTAAATATGTATTTGTATTTGATTGTTTTAGGGTTCCGTACCCAACGGGACCCTATCAATAAGCCTCCGCTGTCTGTCCATTTGTCTGTCAGCGGGCTGTATCTCAGCAAGTATAATAGGTAGATTTGAAATTTTTACATTGTGTGTATTTCTATTGACGCTTTAACAACGAAAAATAACAAAACAAAGATGGCGAACTTCAAAATGGCCGTCATTCGGTTAAAATAAAAACGATAATGCTGGGATCGGTCATAGTAATAGTAATCTTATACTATTGTACGAAACTTTTCGTGTGCGAGTCGGACTCGCACTTGACCGGTTTTTTAATGATTTTTGAATGAGCGAAGCTAGGGTAAGTCGTTAGCGTAAACACTAACTAATATGGTTTATTAAAATTTAAAATATTAATAATTTCAGATACCACTAAAACAAAATGGCGTCAAAAAAAAGACAAAGGAGCAGTTGCCAGAGAAGCCGCAGTGTGTGGAGTGCGGGAAGATATTTAGTTCTAAAAAAACCTACAGATACCATCTAAAGTATGTATAATATTTAGTTTTCAAGTAGTACTACTTATTTGCTTATGCCTTGATTCGAATTTCTTGAGCACTCAAATATTCAATTTTTTTTATATAGGAGAAATATAAATATTATAAATAACTAAGTTAAAACATCATAAAAAAATAAAATAGACAATAATAAGAAAAATTCTTATAAAATTAATAAAAATATCTCTTGTGATTCTAAAACCTAGAAAAATTTTAGACAAAAGGTTTTAGAATGATATAATCACACTGTTTAATATTGTAAATGCGGAAGTTCGTATGTGTGTGTCTGTCTGTGTATATGTGTGTTATTCTGTGTACTAAATCATAAATACACACACAAACATAAAAGCTTTCGTTTCTGATTATATACCTATAACGCTACCTAGTGGCATTTATTCATACTATACCTATAACGCCATCTATCGACATTACTTCGCACTATACATTTAACGCTCCCTATTGACATTTATTGAAACGATACACGCAACGCCATCTATTTACATTTATTCCCAATGTACATGTACCGACATTTTTCCATACAAAACGTGTAACGCCATCTATTGATATTTATTCATACTATACCTATAATGCCATCTATTGTCATTTATTGATATCAAGCCTCGTAGCTTACCATGGAACTAGATGGTGCTGCGTTAATGTCAAGAAATATTTATTTATTTACACGATTTATTGCACTATACGTACTGACGCCCACAGCGTGCTGCACAAGGGGCAGAACCGCTACCCGTGCCCGCGCTGCGGGAAGGTCTACCAGTGGAAGTCCAACCTCGGCCGCCATCTCCGCACCCACAAGGTGCGTGTGTGTATGTGTATGTCTGCTCCTCTGTTACACTAGAGCAGAGGTTCCCACACTTTTTTTCTCATAGACCATTTTTAAAATTTAGCGGGTTCCGGCGGACCCCCTGCAGCTACATTTCTATCATATTCTGTCCCCCGTAGGCCCTTGTCGATCCCTGGGGTCCATCTGGACCATTTTCCGAATTAGTTCTGGTTATAGGAGATATTATGTAGTGTGTATGAGAGAGAGAATGGATACAAGTGTACTCTCTATCTTTGTCATTCTCATCTCATACTGCGACGAATGACAGTTCGATACGACTGATAAGAGATAAGGCGCAGTAAAAAAATTAAAACTAAATTTGATCTTGCTTGCGAATTGAACCCAAGACTTTACGTTTGCAGTTATATGTTTATTAACTAGATCGATTAAAATATAAAGTAAAGTATACTTTTGACTAACACTATAATGTATGTGACTGGATAAAAGAAACTAAAAGAGACTTAAACTCTATTGTGTCACTAGTAGTGGATTAAGAGTTTCTCCACCATTAGGTCAACTCCTGGCTCCAGCATCAGATCACCTCGGTGGTGTCAAATATCAATTTGTAAAGTTTCAAATCGGTTCGACGATGACAAAGTTTTTCATTTCTTTTCGTTTGTATTAATTATAAAAATTTAAGTAACAAACAGGATTATTAAAATATCGCAATAAGTGCCGTGATATTACATTATCGATACAGAAGTCGAACCTATGGTTTTTAGGATTTTTGTCTGTCTGTCTGTCTGGGAATACATGACGAGGAAACCACTGGACAGATTTTGACGAGATTTAGTATGACGACGCCGGCCCCCGGGTGTTGCAGGCGCGCGACGCGGGCGAGCTGCATTGCGGCGCCTGCGACAAGCGCTTCGCGTCCGTCGCCACCTTCCGCCAGCACCTGCGCGTGTCGCGCCGGCACGTCTCCGAGACGGACTTCACGTTAGTCGGCTTTTTGTGTGTTCGTTTTATCAATATACACCGTGTATTTATGGTTTTAAGGAATTAAAAAAATATATGTTATTCCATATTTGTCCGTTTGTCGGATTGTTTGTTTGGGGATAAATATTTTTTTGTAGTAAAATAAGCTTTATTAATGTATTAAATTAATAAAATCATAAAAACGTTGATTTTTTTAAGTGAATTGCCAGTGAATATGTATGTATGTACGTAGGTTCATGTGCAACGAGTGCGGCAAGAAGTTTGTGAACAAGACGCGCCTGCGCGACCACATCGACTGGGAGCACCTCCACAACATCAAGTTCCGCTGCCAGCTCTGCGACAAGGTGCGCGCACACACACACACACACACACACACACACACACACAGACACACACACACACAGACACACACAACATAGGCACACACGGACACACATTTTGATTTGCATAACGGCCATTTTAAAATCCGCCATCTTGAATTTTCATTATTTATTGTTATAGCGGAAATAAATTTAAGAAACACACACACTATGAAACTTCAACTCTATCTATTACGATGCATGAGACACAGCCCGCTAACAGATGGACGAACGGACAGAGGATTAGTGATAGGGTTCCGTTGGCACCCTTCGGTTACGAAACCCTATAAAACAAGATTACGGAACCTTAAATTTATCAATTTATTTACAGCCATTCAAATGTCACACGTCGTTGTATGTACATATGCAGAATGTTCATCGCAATAAAGAGAAAAAGGACAATTTGTGTCACGTCTGCGGGAAGTCGTATCAGGTGAGAGGTTTTACCTACCTATACATACATATAGTAAAATTCTAATCGAGTCGAATCTGTACATTAAATATTTTTTGGAAAATCTTATTGAATCAGTCATTATTATCGATACAGAGGCCGAATCTTTAGTTTTTAGGATTTTTGTCTGCCCTTTGTCACGCCGTCACGTAAAAACTACGTAACCTATCGGTATGGAAGTTTGGCCAATCGACGCGAGTATGTCTGTACATGATTTTAGCTTATATATTTTTTTTTGAATTCATGGTTTTTGATCATGGTCAGTCTGTTCTGTGACCATGAAAACATTCGAAATGTCTAGAATCAAAAATCGAATTAAATCCAGAAAAAAAATATTAATTTTAAATGGCTATCTATTGAGATTTATTTAAAACAAGAAAGTATCATTACTGTTATTATGGGTGAGTGAGATTCAGGTCGAATTCACATGACAGAGTAAGATTATGTAAAATATGCGTGTATAAATATAATTCATAAAAAACAATCAAGTGGATTGCCGACTGAAGTGAAAACTTAAAACTATAAACAAAGAGTTGTTACTTTTGGATATTCAAATATTAGTGGTTTGATCTTAAATTAAAATGTGTACATTAAAACTCTGAGTGTTAGCGTTGACACGTCACGTGACCATGTCGATGATGACTTACATGAATTTACACCCCATACAAACAAACCTGTATCTACAAGTTTTCACTTTGAAAATGCGTGACAAGTACATAATGTATGTCCGTCCGCGTGTCGTCGTCCCCAGAACGCGGCCAAGCTGAAGTACCACATCGTGGCGATGCACACGCGCGAGACGCCCTACGCCTGCGCGCACTGCGGCGCCGCCTTCGGCTGGTACTCCTCGCTCTACCGCCACGTGCGCGAGGTGCACTACAAGGTGACACGCACACACACACACACAATCACTTGTCACCGCTCTACCTATACGCTCCTATAGACTAAAACCCCCGTATACCCTATAGAATATGATAATTCAACTCTTTCATAACGTCCCACTGCTGGAAATGAGTCCCTAAATACGAAAACGATGGTCCGATAGCCAATGTCCACCGCGCTGGCCAAGTGCGAGGCAAATCGAGCATGTCTTTCGAGAATCCACTGTGATCTCTTAACACATATTCCACAATATTTCATCATACTCACGCATATATAACCGTAACCACTCAATCATCCCCTCCACACATACACATACACACCAACAGACAAACACTTTTGTCTCCCATCACACTAAACCTAGATACGCACGTTATATTTAGATGAGAAGTAATATAGCATCGATCAAAAAAGTACTAGATACACAATCCCATGCAAAAGTTCTCTCAAAACTGTCACCAATTGTGCTTAGGTAATTGTTCTAGTTAAAATAAATATACGACAATATAAATTGAACCTTAAATGCAATGCTTAAAGTTATTTTCACAAAAAAATATATTAAAAACGCACTCAAATGTTCAAATGAGCACTCATTCAGTGAGCACATTTTTTGTCGCTGATTGTATATCTAACATATTTTTGATTGATGAGTAATAGTATCTGTTTGTCCGTAGATGAAAGTGCAGCCGAAAAAGTCGAAGAAAACGAAGAAGCCTCCCGGCGACGCCGCCATCCCGTAGCAATAAAGTGTTTTATTATATGTGAATTGTTTTAATTCTCCATTTTGTTAACCGACTTTGAAGTGGCGAGGTTGTTTGTACGTGTATGTTTGTTTGGAGAAGTTGAAACTTGTTTTTGGTCAAGGCTAGACTTTATAAGGCATTTTTTAAATTTATATTTATTTACGCTTTTTTGCATAAATGTGTGTGTATGTGTGTTTGTTTGTTATAAAGATGTTGGTACATTAACACACAGCACTATTTAGTTCCATGGTAAGCTTCGAATCCTGTGTTGTGGATATCAGAAATATATCCATATTATAAATATAAACACCCATGACTGGAGTAAAAACTTCTTTGGCGTAACAGAACAAACAGCTAACTTCATCATGTCGCTTTTTGGCTGTCGATGTACGCGCGCATCGTCAAAATTTTATTTCGAATTTTACACCTTTCTGAGGACACTTTTGAGACGCTAATTGTGTATCTTGAGATTTTGTATATCAATTGAAGATATCCAATCATTCTTGTTCATCGTGAAAATGGCATTAAAGTGCCAAAAATAGTCCAACTTCTAGCTGTTACATGTAAAGAATGTGAAACCAAAAAACGTATTCTATCACATATTTATTGCTACGGACCGTGGCAACTTAAAGCCGAGCGCTGATCCAGCTGGCAGGCCGATGCGGCAGCCGCTCGCTGACGAGAACGAACTTACTCCGATCTTGGAAGGAGAAGAAAGAGATTACACTTCTATTCCTAGTAGTAAATTAATGTTCTCAAAAAAAAGAAATCCGGCGCGGACCAAATGGCTTGGTGGGGGCCGCTCGTCGAGGCCTTGAGCCGAAAGCTTTGGCCGAAGACCGGCAGGAGAGGGGCCGCGGCGGGAGTGGAGTGCCGGTATTCCGGTGCGCCGCTCTCCCTGCCCTCCGCGGCCTCGGCGGGGCCGCCACCGTTAGATGGCGGACGCGGTGGGGCTGCAGGGGAAGAGGAGTGTCGATGTGTCGTTGCCGCTCTCTCTATCCTCTGCAGCCGGATGTGGGGTGGCCCACTTCGGTGGGGGTGAAGGTGCCAGAGGGCGGTCGACTTGGGGAAGTTGGCCGTCCAGTGTTCTGGCGAAGGAGGCCGTCAGGGGTGGTCGAACATCTCAGCCCCTCACATTGGGACGGGCCTAAACAGGCACTCGCCGTCGGGGTCACGGAAGAGTCTTTTTGGTACCCGTGGCCCCGGCTTTAAGGCGAAGGAGGTGCTTTGTCAGGTTTTTTAGTGGGTAGGCTGCCGCGCGTTCACCACCTTTACACGGCAGGAGCCCCACATAACCCGTCTCGCGTCCCCCATTGGCGAGCGGGTGTCCGGGAACAGGGTTTTTCCTGACAGGAAAAAAGAAAAAAAAATAGTTGAAACACTACTCATATATAACTAAATATATAAGTCGGTACATATTATAAATATAAACACCCATAACTGAAGTACAAACACTCATTACACAAATGAAAACCCTCAGCGGGACTCGAACCGCGACCACTGGCACAGCAAGTACAGTCACTACAAACTGGGCCAGTCGTATCGTCACGACTATAAAACTTAACATATGCATGCATAACATGCATACTATACGTATGTATACAACATATTTAATTAAATTTCTATATATTCTGCCCTTTTTAACGTCCCACTGCTGGGCAAGGGCTTCTTTTCAATACGAGGGGGACCAGGCCACAGTCCCCCACGCCGGCAAAGTGCGGGCGGACTGAGCATGTCTGCAGACAACTTGCTAGGTTCTCTCAGAAATGCAGGTTTCCTCACGATGTTCTTCTTCACCGTAAGACAAGTGGTAATCATGTTGTGAATGATTGGTACATGAAAATACAGACATGGTACATGGAAAGACGGACAAACAAACAAACAAACAAACACACTATCACATTTATAATATTAGTATGGATATTAGATAGACTATGAGCTGGAGTAACACATATACTGTTATGCATAATTATAAAATACAAAGCCACTACCCCCTATTTAAAAAAGCGGTTAAAAAGGAATTCAAATAAAACCCATATATTATATAAATAATTTATTTCTCTCCATTATCATACATATTTCGGAAAATCCTTAAAAGTTCGCTTAGATTGAGTCCCGTTTTCGCTGAAATTCCAACAACTTCCATCTCCTGTCTCGCTTCCTCGTAGTTCTGTTTCGCTTCAGGCATTTCTATCTTATTGATGACGACACAACGTGGTTTTTTGGACAAAGTTTCACTGTATTTTGTTAATTCATAATCGAGAATGTCGTACTGGTTCAAAGGGGAGTCGGTGCCGTCTAACAAGAAAATGAGACCGCGGCATCTTTCCGCGTGTTGTAGGAACTGAATTCCTGTAAATTAGAGAGAAAATTAGCTTGAAACACATATAACAACTATATTTTCTTACTAGGGACGTTACGGTATACGTAACGTTTAGTATCGATTTCTCAGAGATGAAATATTTTCCCGCAGTAAAAAGTATCCTATATGGTGAAACGGATAACTAGCTATCATCATACCAAATTTCATCAAAATCTGTCCAGTGATTGATGCGTTCTCAGACAGACAGACAAAAATTCTAAAAACTATAGATTCGGCCTCTGTATCGATAATAATGATAATTTCAATAATATTTTCCAAAAAAAATTTAAATGTCCAAATTCGACTGTTACAATTTTATTATAATATGTATAGATAGTTACTTTATAGTTTGAGACCCTGGGAAGGACATAGAATATTTTTTATCCCGGAAATCATCCCTTATGGGGGTGAGTATGGGGATGAAAGTTAGTATGGGGAAACAATCATTTCTCAAGTAAAGGATATAAAACTCATCATACCATCTATATGATGATGATGATGTGATGTTCTCCTAGCCGATTCCGGCCACGGCGGCCAATCTCAATGAGATTAGCCAACTGCGCAGGAGATATTATAGTGCTCAAGTGTACGCGCAGACTCAAGTGCACTCTCTATTCCTATCACTCTCATACTCCGATGGGACGACCACTCGATACGGCCGGTGAGAGTGTCGGCGCAGGACCGACGGCTTTACGTGCTCTCCGAGGCACGGGGGTGACACACCGCCAACTTCCCTGCTCCGGGCTGTTACTGAGACTTACTATACAGGAAGAATAACTAAACTTGGCCCGATCCGGGACTCGAACCCAGGACCTCCGGGTGTGCAGCCGTACATGCTAGCCACTACACCACCGAGGCAGTCAACCATCTATATGTCATCATCTATATAAGTATATAATAAATGTATAGTCTATCTATTCCATACTTACCATTAAAACGCATCTAGGGACGAACCCGAGCGAAGCGAGGTTGAACCGCTAGTTTTTAAATAACATAGCGAAATAGAGTTAGAAAAATTTACAAACTCACCAAGTCCATAGTTTTTGTGCGAGCCAGATATCAAACCCGGTAGGTCCGCTATCGCCACCTGCTCGTAGTCGTCGTACGGCACCATGCCTGTTGGGTGGAAGAATCGCATTGATAAAGATACAGCCAACACTAGACTAAGGTGATATAACACTTTAAAATTGCTTTAAGTACTATTCTATAGAAGTGGAATTTTACTTGACCTCTTTTCTTTTTTTTTTTTGTATAAAAAAAACGTGTATGTGTGTACTTATACGCACGTAAAAAGTTATACTTCTTTGGCGTAAAAGAACAAAAACAGCTAAAGATTTCATCCCGCATGTCACAACGCTGTTTATAAAAGCAATGCAGCTAACTTCATCATGTCGCTTTTTGGCTGTCGGTGTGCGCGCGCATCGTAAAAATTTTTTTCTCATATATTTTTTCCAAGCGTGTCAAAAGAGGTATGTATAACTTCAAAAAATATATGGCGGGCAAAAGGAAAAGTGAGATTTAAAAAAATAAAAATGTATACAAAACAATAGTTTGCCGTGTATTTGTCTAGCTTTTTTGTCTCATTCTAATTAGACTCTCTTAACATAAAATTTTCCCACATAAAAAACCTTACAAATATACTTAAATAAATAAAAAATCTAGCACAAACACTAGAATAATCGTAGATCATTTTAAAAACAAGACATTTGACAGAGGAAAAAAAATAACAAAAACCCTCACCTATATGCGGCCTGAGAGTAGTGAAGGGATAGGGCGCGACGGTGGGGCGTGCCCTAGTGACGGCGCGCAGTAGGGTGCTCTTGCCGGCGTTGGGCAGCCCTATGAGCCCGAGGTGGGCCATCGACCTCACTTCCAGCATATAGTGGTTGGTTTCCCCTATAGCACCATATTCGGCTACCATGGGAGCCTTGAAGATGGCAGTTTTTTTTTAGTTATTTTGAGTATATTTGGACCACACGCTGAACAAATGCTTTTTTAAATCAATAATGGAAAAAGAAAGTATTTAATGCATGTATTCAAATAAAAAAAACTATCCATACAAAGAATTAAAAAAAACAATCTATACATATAAATAAAACTGAAGTGTCTGTCTGTGATTTCAAAGTAACTATGCTTTCTCAAGCACATAATAATACCTAAACAACCGTTTTTCCTGTCTTTCTGTTTGTCCGAGATAGCCTTTGGAACGGCTTAATCGATTGTAATGGGATTTTCACAATTGTTTTGAACCCACTTCAAACGGTTTCTTAAGCGAGCGCGTTACCACTGGGCTACAACGGCCCTTTAATAAACATAATTACGATGGATTTCCATTAAATCTGACTGATCAACAGACAATTACTTATATTTTTTTTATTATTACTGACACATTTATTTTAATGATTCCGCCACCCACCTGCTCAGTGTCAGTCAAGAAGAACCTGTTCCCATGTCCCCCCGCGCCCCCGCGTGCCGCCACGAACATGGTTCCCTCCTCCTGCAGGTCCCCCACCACCCTACCAGAACTATCTCTGATTATTGTACCTGGTGTGACATTGATATATATTATTTTATCATTATTTATTATGTTGGGACATTAACACACAGCGCCATCTAGTTCCATGGTAAGCTACGAGGATTGTGTTATGGATACCAGATAGTTGATACACTATACATATATAACTTTAAATACATACATATTATAAATATAAACACCCATGACTGGAGTACAAATATTCGTGCTCATCGCACAAATGAATGCCCCCAGCGGGACTTAAACCCGCGACCGCTGGCACAGCAAGTAAGGTCACTACCAACTGAGCCAAACGTGTCGTCTTAAAATTTAAAAACATACATACACATTTCCTAACAAATATCTCTTCAAAAAGTGTCGTCGATATGTGACGTTATGTCAGCGCTGGATTTACACTAGGAGCACACGGGGCTAGTGCTCAGGGCGGCAAATTTTTAGGGGCGGCAAATTCGGAGGGTGGGAAAAAAATTTTCTTCGCGTTAACGAAAATGCTATTTTTATCTTACAAAAAATGAAAAATTAAAAAAGATTAACTAGTAGGTACATTCTTCGAAAAATTGATATCATATTTTATAAATTAATTTTCTGCATTTTTCATAAAAAATGATAATTAAAAAAATTTAAACTTTATCAAAACTTTATGCAGTTTTTGCAAAATTCCGATAATCGGTGGGCATTTTTTACTATGCCCATGGGTGGCGCTAAGGTTACATCCGGCACTGCGTTAAGTCATCTTTCAAACCAAAGAATAACATTCAAAGTTTCAAACATCGAAAGTCCTATAATTGTCTAAAGTCTAAACACAAATTCGAAATTACGCACACCACATAAAGTACTTTTTTAAACGAAACAACGAGCCTTTTAATTTTGTCATCTGAAAAGCTATGAACAAAAGAAATTTTAAAAAAGCGCACTTTTGAGAGGCTAATTGTGCATCTTGAGTTTTTTTATCAATGTGTTATGAGGACCAATACACACCCACACAGTGAGATATCGCCTTGGATTTTAATAAAAATACTGTCACATGTAAGGTTTGTCAGAAACATCAATTGTTATTTAAGGATATGAAGAACGGAACCACTATGTAACATTGTATTTTATAGTGCAAAGTAATCTGTGCTCAACTGGCGCTTTGAAGCCATTAACAAAAGAATTAAATAACCACATAACCTGTAGACATACAGGTGGTATGCATAAATGCATTTCCCAATATTAAAAAAAGAACATATCTCAGACCCGCTATAGTTTATTATAAGACAGGTATGTTATGGAACAGACATACCTAAAGGAACTTCAATAACCATATGCTGTGCATTTTTCCCATTACAGTCTTTGTTGCCGCCTCGCTCACCATGCTTCGCTTGGATCACTGAGTTACAATGATTTAAACTTTTTTTGGTATGAGTTGCCTGTAATAAAAAGATAAAATAATAAATATTATATATGACGGCATGTTTGGCTCAGTTTGTAGTGACCCTATTTCCTGTGCCAGGGGTCATGGGTTTGAGTCCCGCTGGGGGCATACATTTGTGTGATGAGCACGAATGTTTTACTCCAGTCATAGGTATTTATATTTATAATATGTATGTATTTAAAGTTAAATATGTGTAGTGTATCAACTATCTGGTATCCATAACACAAGCCTTGTAGCTTAACATGGAACTAGATGGTGCTGTGTTAATGTACCAACATATTTATTTATTGGTATTTTAAACAAATAAGCACTGAGAAGAAGATGAAATATATGATGAATATAGTATGTTCTAATAAAAAAGTACTGAATTACTGGTAATTACTTGTTGCAAATTAGATACATTATATAAGAAACTACTAAAAATATAATCAAATTATACTGTTATTATAAATACTATTGTCACACTGAAATAGCTCAATGCATTTGGTTATTTATTTAATACTAGTGGCTCACCCTTGCTTCCCTTGGGTTCACCTCTAGGGAAATAAATACAAATGTATATCACACTTTTTCCCGTTATAAATAGTAGCCTATGTGTTATTCCAGACTATAATCTATCTCTGTACCAAATTTCACCCAGATCCGTTCAGCCGTGAAAGAGTAACAAACATCCACACTGACAAACTTTCACATTTATAATATTAATACGGAAGTAACCCAGATAGTCTATACTCTATAGCATGAAGTAAAATTTGCTAAACCACATCTAGCCACACACTCGAGCGAGACTGTAAGTAAAGTATATTTTAATTTGATTAAACACCACTTTTAACTAATTTCCGGTAGTAGCTTTCATAGTTCACTGTGATATTAATATTTAGCATGATTATTACATACACTGACGTAATATATTATTTGAATAATAAAAAAATCTGAGCTACAATCGATGTCACGGTTAAATATTATTCACATTTATTTTTTATCTCTCATAACTAGAAATTAATCTTTTATAATGTAGAACAACCTTAATTTAATGTTTGATTTTGAACTCGTTTTAAAGGAACTGCTAGTATAGAAAAATATTTATTTTAATTATCTAGAAGAGTTAAGGAATATTTTACCTGAAAAATAACATGTCCGCCATTCCCTCCGTCCCCACCATTAGGCCCAGCTTGGTCCTTGCACCACGCACTAAGAAAGGAGACGCACCCATCACCCCCATTCCCAGCAACTGCCCTAACTCTACATGCATCTACATAGAACTGGACGTTATTTCGCGTCGACTTCGCTTTTAAACTTCTTAGAGGCTTAGGAGTAAATTCCTTCGAGAAATTTCGGTTAATTTGAGAAAATATAACTGTTTTTGTATTTCTAAATAAGGTTGCGAGGTTCATGTTTGTTTTTATTTATATTAATCATCTACGGTGTTTCGAACTTTGGGGTTATTTTTCATTGTTATGACATATGTCAAAGTCAGGTGACTTTTAGAACTTCGTTTTGAAATAGCCACAGTTTATTAAATAAAATATATTCTCTTACAAGGCACGGAAGATATAAAAAAAACTTTTAATTTGCCTTGTTTGAAGCCATTAATAAGAGAATGAATTGAATTACATCTAATATTATTCAAAATATTTCCATGGCATCGCCTTAATACAAATATAAAATAAAACTAGTCTAAGTTATTCCCTATAACATCCGCTAAGTGCCAGTGAAATTCCCGTCAAAATCGGTCCAGCCGCTTTAGAGATAAGGAACAAACAGACAGAAGTTTTTAAAATTGCTTTCTTCTCGTAAGTATATATTTATTTGCATATGTATTGAGTAAAAAACTTTTGTCATTATACTTTATTTTATTTATCTGTATTTGTATATTCAAATTCATCTGTATTAGAAGTTGCGTTACGGTGGTAAGCCTTCAAAAGCTGTTATTCAAACTTTAACATGGTCAAATTATAAAAAAGCTAAACACCAATACTTAATGTTTTGTACACCAAATGGTTTGATACTTTGGTGAATGGAGAATTTTCCTGATGTTGTTAATATAATATTTAACGCGATGTTATTGTAATAAAGATCAAAACTAATAAAAAACTGAAACATTTTTGAAATTTATCAATAAATGACTGAGAAATTAATATAAATTTCGGTCATTCAGGTGTGACGTCACGGCATTGTTCTTACAAGCACAACATTATAGTTTCAGAACTTATTCATTTGTTGAGATATTTTAATATTTTTTTCATATTTTTGTAAAACATTTTTTATTAAATTCCAATTTGCTATTTTTACACATTTTAGTACATACGTATTTGAAAAATAAAATCGTTCAATATTTTGCAGATCAACGCCATCTATCGTCTATTTAGGTAAAAAATAAAAAAGACAAATATGTTATTATTTATTATGAATGTTCACGTCGTCTGTTCACTGGCGGGCTGCGGCTGCGCGACGCCGGTCCACTCTGCCGTGCGACGAGTAGACTGTGATGGAAATTAAAAAATAATAATTATTATACACCTGAGATATCTCTCTCTCTTTCTCTACATAAAACAACCAACAGATCAAAACAGGACATTTCTAAGAAACACCTAACAGTCTAAACTAAAAACACAGCTTCTCTTTCTCCCTCTCCTGACTGACTTGTTCTCCCTCTACCAGCTTTTGTGCCGTTTTACTTTTTCGCTCTTTCCTTCCAATAACACCACTTTTAATTGTTATATTTTCTAATATACTTTAAATCAGGTAATTAATTAATACATGCAAATTAATTGCAGCTGTATTCACACTTGACCAAGACCACAGATTAAAACGAAACAAAACGTAGAGCAGTAGTAATTTTTGGACGAGCCGAAGCTCAAAAAAACTAACCAAAACAAGTTTCCAACACTCTCCCTCCATTTAAGTAAAAGAAATTGTTTTTTTTTCTTCTTCTTATTCTAAATTCTGCCATTCCAGCAGTTTTTACCATCTATTATGACTTAAATAAATGACTCAACAAACCGTTCTTTTAACTCATTTGTGGTACAGTATGGAGAGAGAAAAAGATTGTTTGACATCAGACGCATCTATTTCTTGCGCTCTCTTTCTCTGTCTCTGCCCATCTCACTCACCTTAGGCTTGAGGTGCACCAGCTTGTTGTGGTTGTAGAGCGCGGCCTCGTACCCGAAGGCGGCGGGACACTTGGCGCAGCGGAAGGGGCGCTCGCCGCTGTGCGAGCGCAGGTGGCCCTCTAGACATTTCTTAGTCTATGGCATGGGACAAATGGACGTACATACTCACTGATTCTCTTGTATACATATAATATAATTTTGAGTGGAATCTGTACATTAAATATTTTTTGGAAACTCTTAAATAGACATTATTATCGATACAGAAACAGAATCTATAGTTCTGCCAGTCTGCCTGTGACCGCATCATATCGTATCTGTGGCGTAATTTTTTTTTTGGAAATTGTCTTGATTGGATGTTCTTAAGTATAAATTAACAAAATCTGTTCAGTAGTTTGCAGGCTCTCAGCTGTTTTCTAGACGGTTAAAAGATATGAACTTTCATAGATTTAACCATTCGTAACTCGGTGTCCCGTTACTACAATGACATTGCAACGATATGGTGACCTTGACCTGATGCTGCAGCGTCACCTGGAGTCTGCAAGATACTCAATTGTTTACTAAAACACTGCAGAGATATCGTGTTTTGGCTCGTTGAAATGATCTCAATTATTAGGTTATTGTGTTTGGATGTTATTAAAATTTGAATTTTACAGTGTGTGTGTGCGTTAGGGTGGAACGAAAAAACTTTTTTTTCGCGTTTTTGAAATGAAAAAATAATTTACTTAACATTTTGAGGTGGCATATTGATTTTTAAAATAATCAATTTAAATTTTTGATTGGAATGGATTTTTTTTTTCGCGAGGTCTCTATCTTTGAAAACATTTAAGAATTGATGAATATAGTCATTTTCTACCTAACTTTCACTGTATTATAATGTAATTATATTATAGTCTCACTTCAAAATGTCGAGTAAAAAAAAATTAATTTTTACCTACATATTTTTACTTTTTTTTTACCTACAAATTCTAGCCCAAGTTAAGAAAAAAATATTTTTTTCCGCTCCCCCAGCGTGCGCGTTAATGTGAGTGTAGTGTGTAGGCACTCACGGTGTAGGCCTTGCCGCAGAGGTGGCACACGTGGTTGCGCAGCAGCCGCGCGGCGCGGTGCAGCATGCGCGTGTGCGTGCGCAGCACCGTGCGCGACGCGCACGCCTGCGGGCACGGGGCGGGGTCAGTGGGGGCCTTAGCTGTCGTTTTGTCTTTATACTATCTACAATATTAGGTTGTACTAGATGGTGTTAAAACAAGGATGTTGTTTGGTTTTTAATTGATCTTAGTGTCTATGTTTTATTATTTTAGACATATTTTTAATTTTATAAATTCACTAAATTATTTATTGTTCTCAACAAGGGACCCGTTATGTCTTAAGGGCCCTGGGGTTTCAATTTTTTTGAGCGGAACTCTAATCCTTTAAATAGAAGTAGCCTTAGTTACTCCCTATAACATCAGCTATCTCCCAATGAAAGTTCCGTCAAAATCAGTTCAGCCGTTTCAGAGATTACTTGGTTGATTGCTATTATTTTAACATTAAAAACAGACACTTCAATTTTATTTATCTGTATAGATTATAATTGTGTATGTGTATATATGTATGTGTGTGTGTATGTGTATATATGTATGTGTGTGTGTGTGCGTGTGTCTCACTGACGAAGGCGCAGCCGGGGTGGGCGCAGCGCACGGGCGCGAGGCGTAGGTGCAGCGCGAGGCGGTGCTCGCGGAGGCGCGACGCCTTCGCGAAGCGCTTCGGGCACTGCTGGCACGCGTATCTGACACCGAAGGGGGTTTTTTATTTATTAAGGGTTTTTTTGGTTTATTAAATATTTTTTTTAATAATTAATCTTTTTTGTGTTGTTTTTTTTTGATTTCTCAAAAAATCTAGTGGGTAGCAAGCATGTATGCCTAAGACTATGATCCTGGGTTCAAATCCCGAGCGAGGTTAAATAAGATATTAAATTTAAAATACTCAGTAGCAGCACCTAGTTGAAAAATTAACACAGATTGTTGAAATGTCAGGCACCTCACTGTCTGTCATCTGTCTATTGTCAATGTGACAGTATATATACGTAGCAATATACTCTGTGTGCTTCCTGCTTTCTTCTAAAAATGATAGACCTAGACGACCATTGTTCAAATGTTTTATTTTGATAATAAACGCCAACACGTTCCATAAAATACAACGTAGTTTTTTTTTTAACACAGATAATCTCAGTGAGATTGGCCACTATAACCAGAATCAGTAAAAAGGACATTAAATTACTAAATGGAATCAATTTCGTTAAAAAAATTCCACAGACAATAGCAACGTTACCCATAACTAAAAATCCTCAAAAAAAAATAGCGAAAAAGCAACTGACAAATACTAAAAGCGATAACCAAACATATACTCACTTAAGTTTCGCCGGATCTATGTGTTTTAAATTGTATTTCATGTGTTGATTGTACGACATTTTGTTTTTAAAGTTTTTGTCACACTGAAAAGAAAATATTAAAAAATGAAAAAATATTATTTTTCATTTCAAACATTACCAACATTCTTTGAAAAACTCAAATAAAATTAACGTTTTTAAACCTTACAATATATCTTCAACTAGCAACTTACGCTGACTTCGCACCGGTGCGTCCTTAGATTATAAATTTTTTGAGTGGAACCCTAATTCTTTTTCTATAACAAAAGTAACAACCCATCAAAATATAAATAACAAACTAATCTCAAAATTTCTCGTATTTATAATATTAATATAAAAAAATCAATAGAAAAACAAGATAAAATTAACAAAACCTTAAAAAAGAAAAATAATGGGTGCGTGTAACCTTTGCGCGCGGTTGAAGTGAAACTTTTTTGGCAAATATCGTAATTAAATTAAAACAAATCATTAATTAAATAATGCATATTAGGCATATTACAATCATATATTTATAGAATATCATATACGGAAATAATATAATATTATATATTTGTCAGACAATAACAACGGTTACCATGGCGACATGACAATGTATTCTATCTCATTCTCTCGCCGGCTTAATCCTATATATGTATGTGTTTGTCTCTTTCTAGTGTCGCATTTCCGTTTCACAGAGTTTCAAATCACAACGATTATAAAGAAGTTTCACATAAAAAAAAAAACAAATCCTACCAAATGGCAATACAACAGCGCGCTCGCGTCGTGCGTCACCAGATGCACTTCCATTGCCTTTTTGAACAAAAACTTTTTGTTGCACCTCGGACACTCGTACTCCTTTTCGCCTTTGTGGATGCTGGAATGAAGAAAAAAAAATTGGCTCGAAGGACCAAAATCATTGTACTTACATTAATAAAATACATTTTAAATAAAACTATCTTTTCATATTTTTCCAATTAAAATTAGGCAAATAATATAATCAGGCCCCCGACCAATTAGGTCGCATAAAATTATAATGTCAAGTATATAATGACCAGTTAAAGACAGCCTTTCTTACGAAATAGTTGTGTCCTTGTGCCTTACCACAATAAATTTTAAAAATTAATACCTCACCTATTCTTAAGAATAAAAATGGATTGATAATTCATTCACAGCGTAGAAAGACGAGGTATTTACAATGTTTTTAAGTACTTTAACCTTTTCTATTGAAATGATTTTGATTATTTTATAATAAATACAAACGAAGGTTCTAGTGATACTGATTAAGTATATTAATAATGATTATTTTGCTTTGAGGTAAAGTTGATTTTTATCCATTAAACTTAATCTTTTGAAATATATTTGAATTGAATTTTTACTCCACTGTGAATACACCTTTACCTGCCGTTGCACTTGATGACTCACTAGTTTCTTAACGTGAATGGACTATATATAATGGCTAATTTTACGAGCTAAGAATTTGACAATATGACAATTTGACGAATTCAGTATTTGACAAACTACCAACCCCTAATTTGATCAATCTAGTATTTGACGAATGTTTGCGCAAACCCGTGTGGAATCTGCCACCAGCTCGGAAGGCAGTTCTGCTGAGAAAAGCTCAACAGAAATTCAACAGTATACTCACAACAAATGAGTCCGCAGCGAGGTCCTGTCCCGGAAGGACTTCCCGCACAGCTCGCACTCGGGCCTCGCCGCGTGGTCCTTCACGTGGTTCCTCAATTTCGCTAGAGTCCTGGATAAATCGGTAAAGTGGATGGTTGTTTACACGAATATTTGACATCTATACAGATATATAAAATTGAAGTGTCTGTATGTAATGTCACAATAACAGCTGTTTACTAAATGCATTTGAAATTATATACGGTGCTTATAAGAAAAACTCAATTTTTTTTTATTTTTGTCTGTCTGTTTGTTTCGGATAATCTCTGAATCGGCTGGACTGATTTTGACGGGACTTTCACTGGAAGATAGCTGATGTTATAGGGAGTAATATAGGATACTTTTATTTTAGAAAAAGAATTAGGGTTCCGCTCAAAAAAATTAAAACTTACCTAGGGACGAACCCGAGCGAAGCGAGCGTGAATCACTGGTTTTAAATAAAACTATCTTTTCCGATTATTTTGCGGGATTCATTTTGGTTGAAAGTTTCGAATGCTTTACAGCAATCATGGTCATGGGAGAGACTGAGGTGTTAGTCTCAAAGACGTTACATATTTGTTATAGAAAAGCGTTATATACAGTCTGTAATGTAAATAAATTCGCGAAATAATTCGAAAAGATATGTAGTTTTATTTAAAATGGATGGATGTTTGTAACTCTTTCGCGAATTCTATTTATTTTTTCTAAAATTAAGTTAGCGTAAGTTATAACATCAGCTATCCGCTAGTGAAAGTCCCGTCAAAATAGGTCCAACCGTTTCGGAGATCAAACGAAACGAACTGACACATAGATACATTTTTTAAAAGTTATCTTAAACTATTTTTATACTTAATATATTCATTTTTGAAGATAAAATATTTTTAATCCTTAAAGAAGATAAAATCTAAAGCTTAAAGCCAAAGGTAAGGGATATAGCGTGAAGTTATGTATGTATGTATGTATGTATGTGTGTGTGTGTGTGTGTGTGTGCGTGTGTGTTGTGTGCACTCACGGCTCGTCGCGTCCGCAGAGGCGGCAGCGGTGCGTGGGCGCGGGCCCGCCGTGCGCGCGCGCCACGTGCTCGGCCGCCAGCGCCGCGCGCGACCACGCCGCGCCGCACTGCGCGCACCGCCAGCTGCCGGCCCGCTCGCTCATTTACTCTTTATTTTAGTTTTGACCCACCCATTCGTTCACTTTCATCCATTCAATCACCAGTTGTCCCTATGTATAAATGCATGCATTCACTCGTGCATTTATTTATTTCTTATCATTCGTGGTGCATTATTTCATCCATTCGCTTACATATTCATTCATTCATCCGTGCAATAATAGTTTGGTCATTTTTTTATAAACAGCACTAAAGTAATATTAAAAAATTAAAAACTTATTACTCTCTTTGTAATACTCAAACAAAAAAATTTCAATAAATTATGAACTAATCACAAAACTAATATTATTTTGTTACGTTACAACTTATATAGTATCCACAATATTTTTGACCGTCTTCAAAAAAAAAAAGAAGGCAACTCATTTGCTAAATATTTTCTTATATACACATTGTGTTATTTTCTCCAAATGTTCTCCGATGCAACTCTATACCTATATAACTTACCGGAGCCGGTGCCGGCGGCGGTGCGCCGCCAGCGCGGGCGCGTCGCGGCAGCGCACGCGGCACACCGCGCACTCCTCGCTGCCTTTGCACTGGACATATACATACTAATATTATATATGCGAAAGTAACACTCTGTCTATCTGTATGTTACGATTTCATGTCTAAATAGCTGAACTGATTTTGAAGAATTTTGGTTTAGAGATAGGCGGGACCTTCGAAAAAAACACAGGTTATTTAAAGACTAGCGATTCACCCATAAAACTTTCATCTCCATTTTCACCCCCCTAACGTATGATTTCCGGGATAAAAACTATCCTGTGTCCGTCCCAGGGTCTTAAATTATCTTCTTACCAAATTTCATCTAGATCAATCCAGTACTTTCAGAGCTTATTCGGTACAAATAAACAAACTCAAAAATCCTTATTCTTTAAAATATTAGTATAGAAGTATAGATAAGTTATATGAACGAAGCCAGCGAGGCGAAAGTAAGATTTATATAACACTAGCACAGTATAAGCCACACTGTAAAATAAAGCATAAAACCAGTAAATAAATGCATAAAGTATGCGATCGCCTGGTTTTATGGGAATTGCTGTCAAATGCAAGGGTAAATAAAAATACAACTCCTTACAACATCAGCTATCTCCCAGTGACAGTCCTGTCAAAACCAAAAATCAATCCAGCCTTTGCGAAGATTAACCGGAACAGACAGACATATGGACAGACAGAAAAATATATTGTAATTGTGTTTTTCTTATAATTACCGTTCACACTTTCATATGCATTTAGCAAAAAGCTGTTATTTTAACATTACACACAGACACTTCAATTTTATTTATCTGTATAGATAAAGTCGTTTTTTTTTATTTTTTTGCTCTTTACACCTTATAAAGAGCAAAAAAATAAAAAGAAACTACAATTCAACCAACCGGATCATGTTTCTTCATATGGTTATCCAGTTTACAGCGATGGTTGAAACCGACGACGCAGTCGTAGCAGCGGTACTCGTGCCGCTTGAAACTCTCACTTTGCAACGCCTTCTGTCTTTCTTCCTCCACCTGGGAATAGAACCCATGATATAAGACACATGTTAATCTAAATCTAAATAAATAGCTACTGCTATAATAATTGAAATAAATTTTATTGAAATACATTTACAAAGTTACATAATATTTACAAAATAAATGACCAAGGACACAATACAATTTGGAACCTACCTGAATCAGGTTAACAACCTGTGTTTCAGATTATAATTTTATCATGCATTTCTCACTGTGACAAAGGTTTAGAACAGTGCAAATTTTAAAACTTAGATAAATAAGCGCAGACTGTCTATACATATAATAAAATTGTCACTAAGCCGAATCTGTACATTAAATATTTTTTGAAAAATGTTATTGAAATAAACATTATTATCGATACAAAGGCGGAATCTATAGTTTTTTGAATTTTTGTATGTCTGTCTGACTATTACCACATCACAGAAAAACCACTGGAAGTATTTTAATAAAATTTGGTATGGCGATAGCAGGTCATCCGGGTCAACATATAGGATACTTTTTACCGCGGGAAAATATCTTATTTTTGGAAAAATACAAAAACTACAATATAAGAGTATACTAATATGTAAATCCTATGAATTTGGTTTTTGATCATCTGAACGCGGGCGGAGCCGCGGGCAATGCTAGTATAATATATATTCTTTTAACGTTAGATTTAATTATGCCCTTCAGTTTAAATGAGATTTTACTAAGCCCACCCTTCCCCATTTTGAGCTGACGTAATAATTAATGGATATTCCCTAAGGGCTGAACAGATTTGATTGAAATTCATAATGGAGACAGTTTATGTATTGGATTAAAACATAGGCTATGTGGTTACTTCAGTCCAAATCCATGGTCAAAATGTAACACCAGCTCTCAGACTATTCCAGCATCTCACCTCTTCCCAAGTGAGCAGAACCATTTGCAATCTGTCGCTCGCCATATTCAACTTTTCCAGCTTCTTGTTTATCCTCTCATTAATTATTACACCGGAGGTCTCACGTTGATTTTTCATTTCTGTATCTGAAATATGAAAAAAAAAATCATTCCTACACTAAAAAAATGCTTGTGGGACCAGATTGTGTGAGATTTACGTTTATTTTATTTACGTTTTAAGGTTAATATAAATTTCTCAGAGATGAGATATTTGTCCGCAGTAAAAAGTATCCTATATGTTGACCCGGATAACCAGCTATCATCATACTAAATTTTATCAAAATCTGTCCAGTGACATATAGACAGAATCGAATCTGTAAATAAAATATTTTTTTGAAAATTTTATTGAAATAGTCATTATTATCAATACAGAGGCCGAATCTATAGTTTTTAGAATTTTTGTCTGTCTGTCTGGGAACACATCACGAGAAAACCACTGAACAGATTTTGATGAAATTTGGTAAGATGATAGCTGGTTATCAGGGGTCAACATATATAATAGTTTTTACTGCGGGAAAATATCTCTGAGAAATCTATACTAAATGTCCAAAAATATCCAGGGACAAACCCGAGCGGAGCGAGGCTGAGTCGTTACTTCTAAATAATAACTCACTTTTTCCCTTCCGTGCTTTCTTCTTTTTGCACACCACTCGCCTAGTAATAAGGGGTTCATCATCAGATTCATTGAAGTCATCCTTTGTATTGCCATGTCTTTCCTTCTCACTCTCAAATTCCATGTCATGTTTTGTATTAACTTCATTCGAATCATTGAAATCATTGTTTCTATCATCTCTTCTTTTCTCACTCTCATTTTCTAAATCATTTTTTATATCTGCCTGAAAATATAGAAATAATTTCACGGGTTTTTAGAATACCTATGTTATATTTCAGCTGTGAAAGTTAAGTTAAAATGTCATAGTGTTGAAAAGTGGCACTACACAGTACACCATCGATCAAAAGAATACTAGATACGCAATCCCATGCAAAAGTTCTCTTAAAACTGTCAGCAATTGTGTTTAGGTAATTGTTCTAGTTGAAATAAACATACAACAACGTAAATTGACCCTTAATTGCAGTGCTTAAGCTGTTTTCTAAAAAAACTAATTAATTAAAAGCGCACTCAAATATTAAAACGAGCAATCATTTGGTGGGGACGAGAGGAGAAAATGCCTCTTTTAAAACTTATCTCTATTTCAATTCTCTATTTATCCTGTTTTAACCTACACAGATATATAAAATTGAAGTGCACAGACATTTCAATATTCTTATAATATAATAATAATCTTTAATGTCAAAATAACCTTTACTGAATGCTTAGAAGAACAGAACAAACAATTTTTAAACCTGCGCAAAAAAATTAAAACCCTTGAAATTGTGAACAAAATTCGGGTATCCTGATGCCCTAGAGCGAAGCGAGCGAGAGTCGCTAGTTATAGTTAGACAAAATATTATATCATATGTTTTAACCAACTAAAAAATATGAAGGTTTTAATTCAGTTGTAGTTATTTTAGTATATATGTATATATATTATGTAACATGTATGAACTAACAATCCTTTGTTTATATAATTTATGTCTTAATAATATATAAATTACCTTCTATATTTGACAAAAATAATTTCAACATAAAACGAAGAAGACTTTTTTTATATAGTTTTAAATTAAAAAAATGATAAGTTTCATTTTTTAATCTAAAATTTAATATGTTAACTAAATAGTTTTCTCGCATTCATTTAAATAAAATAAAAAAATATTACCTTCGAGTATCTATCTTCAGTGTCCGACATTATAAAGTCATCGTCAAACTGATTAAAGCTCATTTCATTTTGATTATCCTCTACCTTAATAAAAGTTAATGGAGAGAAATCAATATCTATGGGTTCTTTGCTATCATCATACACAATTTTTTTTATTTGTTCACATTTTTTTATGATTAAACTTGACAAAGACGGTACTTTGTGATGATTCTGAAAAAAAAATCTTTCAGTTAAATTTTATTATGCCTTGTATTTTATTGTTTACAGCTTTTATTTGAAATAATTAAATAAATTATATATACATATGTTTTGTTTTCATAGTGTCTAATGTTTTTTTTCAATTGCAAAAGTTTTGAGAAATACTTGGAAAATTTACTCTCTTAATAAAGGCTTTGCTAATATGATTCAATATTATTTATTTAATAAAAGAATAAAATCGAAAGAGTATACAAATTATTTATTTTACAAAGATTTGGTATAAAAAAATTTTACAGTATATTTATACACTTTACAATTTACTATAAAATTCATAAATAAATCTGTAAAAATTAAAAAATAAAACAATAGCCTATATATGTCATTACACATTAATAAACAGTTCTCGTTAACTTGTTAACTTTCATGAATGAAAGGTTTCACAAATTACTTTTTTTAAATATTCTGAATGACAAGTGGTAAATTCGTTTTATTTTCTTGTTCGTGTTGTCTAGACATAGATTTTTGATTTACATAGCAACTCTACTTTTATTATAAGAATTCATCAAGTTTGTTGTTAGCTAATGCCAATAAAAATACATGTAATACATAAAAATACAATATTATGACTAGATAATATATTATTTACATAATAAGCAAATATAGTCTACATGTATAGCGATTATATATATTTTTACAATAAATAGGAAATAATTTACTACTATTTGTATGAAAATGATTTTTGTTTAAATATTAAAGAGCCTTACATAGGTATTGAGAATAACATGTGCATGTCTAACTTGTTGCTTGAACTTTATAAACTTTCTTAATATGGCTTTACATTCCCAACAGAGTTGTAAAGTATCATTCTTTATATCCTGAAAAAATAAAAATAAACTATTGAAATTTGATACAAATACAATAGCAGTTAACTTTAATAAACAATGTATGTTATTTAAATAGTCTATTATAGAGATGATACGTATTTATTTAAACAGTTAGTGGTAAATATGTTTGCTTTTGTAAAATAAAAGCACATATTATATAATAAAAACTTGATAAATTACTTACAATATCAGTGAAACTGTAAAACATCTTGACTTCATATTCATCTAATTCTAACAAGCTGCGATCAATGCTTAAGCAGCCCTCGCAGACTCTATCCGATCTCATTTTACTATATCTATCCATTTTTATTTAAACTACATTAAAAATCAAACTATTGTTCATTTTTTGTTTACCCTCCAATCTTCCATAGTTTAAAAAAATCCAATTCCAATCAATAGACAATATTTTGCCTATTTGACAGGTGACAATTGACAGTAAATATGACATTTGTTTATTTTTTAATTATTACTTTTATTTGTCATCCATGATTATTACGCAATGATATTCATTAAAGTTGATTAATATTTACGTGGAGGTAGCATTGTAGCAAACAAAATGGGCCATTTGCAAATTACAATAATATCGGTTTTAATAATTTGGTATTTTATAATTTTTGCAACAATATAATTCTTAAATTTAAAGAGATTTCTCTAAAAGATTTTGAAACAAATAGAATGGAAAGAATATTGTGATCATCTTCTTGTCTTATTTTTAACCTGAGATATGAGTTTAAAGGTTTTTTTTAATTTATTCCATTTTTAGTACTGGAAAAAATTAAGATAATTTTTTTGTTTCTCGTAAGAAAAATTAAAAAATCGTTTTATTGGAAAAAGGGGAACCTGGCTATTATGAAACAAAGTGAACAGTTTAAAGCAGCAGAAATGAAAGTAAAAAGTGACTAAACGGGGGTTTTCATTTAGTATAGATACCTAATTACATATTTTCTAAGTCGGTGCCAGCCAATGCAAAGCAAATCTAATATAATTTGATACCTACGTAAAATACATCTCGAATTGATGTATAATATTGTAACTATAATTAGAGTTCATAGCTAGTCATAATATTTACTTATTAGATATTCATATCTTAATATTTTAATTCAGCTTGCAAGATTAACCCCAAAAAAACCATACTAATTAACAGGCATTCTAAATTAAGTAAAAGCTTTTATTAGAAGATTATAAGGATAAAAAACACACACATAATATTTGTACACTTTATTATTCGTTTCCACATGCTGAAAAACGACACTACTCGAATCAAAAAAATAAATAGAAAAATGCTAAAATGGAATAAATTACGTTAAATCTAATATTATTGGTATAAATAAGTTTTACAATATATGAAACCACGTTTAACAATAATTTTTTAAAATATAAATGCTGAAAACTCACTACGTAGGGTTTTCATAAATACTGATTTGCTTAGCTTAGTTTCATTAAGTACCTAAATGTTCACTTTTTGAGTAAAAATGTCGCTACACGAAGTATTTTTTTAATGTTATTTATAATAATAATATAATAAAGTAAGAATATTAATTTGACTCAGTGAGTTTTAGATTTGCACCTCGAACAGTTAAGATCGGCAAATAATATAAAGATGGCGACACAATTCGACGGGCAATTACAAACGTTAGTTTTGTGGTTAATTTTTAAACATGTCTAATAAAAAAAATACCCAGTTCTTAAAAAACGTTAAATACACAAATATTGAATGAGATTAGTTTTAGTGACGTTAGTGAACATTTAAGCGTTTCTAAAAAACATGAATTCCAAAAAATCATCTCATCGTTTTTTTATACAAATAAAAAATATATACATGCTATGCAACAGTTAGGTCGAAAGACTAATTTGAGCTGAATAGTCTTTAGTCTATGGAATGTTGAAATAGGGAATATGCGTGATTATATTTTTTATGCAACAGCTAACATCGTTATATAATTGTAAAAAAATATCCAGCTCCAAAAAACTAAAATTTAGTATAATAAAAAGTTTAAAATATCATACAGATACGCCGATAATACTTTAAACGCCCGCCATTTGGCGCGCTGGACGTGATGTCACAGTATTCCCTATTCAATTTGAATTATGGCTAATTTTGATATTATTCATAAAATTATATAAATCAATATTAAAGTATCCAGACAATAAAGTTATTATTTACTATGAAACTAAGGTGAGACAGTATCTGTCTTACGTTAGTTCAAAATCAGTCACCATAGAAATATTATCCGCCAATTGTAAATGTCACAAAAAATATATTCTTTACGCAACTGTCCAAAGGAGACAAAACAATTTAATCAGTTCTCAAAAACATGATTCCATTTATTGTTTATGTTTAATATTATATTTATTCGTAAATAAATATTTAAAACGCGTCCATCAGTCTTGAAGGATGTATATCTAAATAGATCGTTCAAACCGGGACGGGTTCTAAATCGATGATAGATGGCGTTGAACTATAACTAATGCCTCTAATGGCTCCAGTGACTTTTTTATCTGTAATCGATTTCCAAAAATGTGTTATTTTAATTTCGATCGCAATCTGCTTAAGTCACTGGTTAGACTAGATTTGACGGTCACGTCTTTTTTATTTTGTCACCGAATTCCGGTGTTTTGTGGTCTGTGTCTTCACTTATACTGGTTGCTACTGAAATTTCTGTTACAGTTTCATCTTTATCTTTGTTTTGACCAAAGTAAATTGCTACATCGTTGTCTTCGACTTCATCTACTGCTTGTATTTTGTCGACATTTGGCGGAGGCACCACTATCGTGTGAGTTACCGAGTTATCTGCTCTCAAATCGCAGTCGCTATGAAAGCTGTGTTTATGATTTATTGCCTTTTTCGAAACTTGCTTAAAATCATTAGAGCTTTGGACTGTTTGGTCGTTTTTTGATCTGTCGATTGGTTCGTATCCGGCTGGAAGGACCAATCCGTCTGTATAGAACGACTGGTAGTTTAAGTTTTGATTGCTTGTTTGATATTCGCTGGATTTAAACTGATTTTGAACGTTTGATTGATAGGTGTTGCTATTTTTGATTTGGTTTTGGCCATTCAATTGATAGATGTCGTTATTTTTTAATTGATTTTGCCCATTCGATAGATAGACGTCGCTATTTTTGATTTGATTTTGGCCATTCGATTGATAGACGTCGCTGTTTTTGATTTGGTTTTGCCCATTCGATTGATAGACGTCGCTATTTTTGATTTGGCTTTGGCCATTCGATTGATAGATTTCGCTGGTCTTCCCTAGGTTTGCTGGTTGTTCGATAGCCTGTAGTATACTTTGTAAGAGTCCCTCAGACAACAATTGTTCGTGTGGTATCGACGGATTTTCTTTACCGTCGTTGGCTGATTGGATTTGCAAAGAATATGTCGCTTGATTACCCTTTAAAGGTATTTCAGATTGAAAGAAAGTTTGACCATTTTTATTTAAATGTTGATTCGCTGTCACAATTTTCTGTTGCAACTGTTTAGCTTCTTCGCTTAAATTCTTAATCTTTTCAGACGTCTCATATATCTGATCTGACACGAGTTGTAGGGAGTTTGATTTATATAAATCTTTTGTATTTAATGATTTCCCTTTTTGGGCGCTTGATTTGACTGATTTTTCACCTTCTAATTGATTTGGTAGAATTGTCTGTACTAAAGTTTGAGATGCAATTGATTGATCTTTCGTGTTGAAATCATTTTGCGACGTAAATTCTTGGCGATTTTTATGGAAAGCTGATCCTAAAGAACTCAGACTGGCGACATAGCTTGATGCCAATTCTGATGGTATTTTCTCTCCCGACCTAGCCGCTTTTAATATAGCTTCATGATAGGGACAATGTTTCAAAATGGCTGCCACTTCCAAGTTACTTAAATTTGCCAAAATAGTTCCGTCAAGTGTTGCAGCAACGGCATTGCTACTAGAGCCAGAAGCTGTGTGATCTCCAACAGTTAAGAGAGGCGAGGAATATGAGTCTATGGGTGATCCATATAAATTGCTAGGTTGATTTTGACCAAGTTGGAAGTTTATGGGCTGTCCACTATGCGGTAAGCTATACAAATTCGTAGGCTCGATGGATAATGATAGGCTATCGAAGCCTTGGTTTCCGTGCTGTGATGAATGTTGATTCATATCTTTGACTTCTCTAATCGGTGGAGGCAAATATGCCGGACCCTGTTTGATGTGATCTAAACCATGGAAATCTTTATGATGAGATATTTGACCTATTTGCTGAATAAGTCCTTCTGGTACGGATTCTCTGAATTTTATGGGATGTCTTGGTGTGTGACCCCCATTATGAATGGAATAGCCGCCCCCGGATACAGATCCGTATGGAATCGGTAAGTTTGTTGGCAGTTTTGGGCCACCATATTGATTGCTAGGTATCGGTAATCCATATATGGGAGAGGGTGGACTCAACCCTTTAGCACCTTGCTGTCTAATTGAAGGTGGATATGGGCCATTTGATAGAGATTCCAAAGGAGGTGCGCCATAAGAATCTATGGGTTTATCAGGAATATTAGCTATGAAGGCTAAATTATTTTGAGGATTATTATTTTCTGTATAATGTGCTTCAAATACGGTTTTGGATTGGTCAATATGATTTGATTCACCTCCGACAATGGCACTTAAGTCAATATCGGCAAGAGCGTCTTGGTGGACCGATGAATATCCAGTTGTTATTTGAGCACCAGAAAATTGCTGTTGTTGGTTGAAATTTGGTAACGAATGCCCATCTAGATTAATGCTAACTTCTTGGACTATAGGAGGAGGTGGTCCATATTGATCTAATGTTTCAATGTGTCCATTATTTCCGATATTTTGAATACTCTGAATTGTGTGGACATTGTCAATGTTTTCAATCAAGGGTTTTGATATTCCAGGAATTGGTTTCCAGCCGTCGTATAACACGTGTGGTGGGGTTGGAGGGGCCGGGATACCGGGATGGGGTGGACGAGGGTTAGGATCTGGTTGAGGAGGTCCGTAATGACCTATACTACCAACATCTTGGACCACAACTTGATCATTAGGTCCAATCGGTCCTAGAGGCAGACCGGGTGGACCATAAGTGTCAGACGGTACAGGGAAATTTGGTTTTAAGTTTACAGGTAAACTAGAAATCGGGGTTCCGTATATAGGAGCGGGTAGGTTTAACCCTAAGTCAAGATTGGTTCCTATACTTGTACCAACACTGGTTTCTAATGTGCCAAAGTTGGAACCAGTACTAATTGTGCTAAAGCCTGTACCAATATTACCAAATGATCCGAAATTTTGGGGGAATGAAATCGGTATTTCAGGTAACTGAATATTTTGAATATTTACTTGTGGTGGTCCATATGTGGCTTTTGGTGGCCCATATACAGGCTTGGGTGCGCCATAAACTGGTTTTGGAACGCCATAAACTGGTTTTGGCGGTATTTTTGATATTTTAAACGGGACCCCATAAGTCGGCTTTGGAAGAGATTGCTTGGGTGGACCATAATTTTTTTTTGGTGGACCATATATTGGTTTTGGTGGACCATATGTTTGTTTTGGTTTGGATGGAAAATGGAATTTTGGTGGGCCGTATACAGGTTTAGGTTTGCCAATAGGAGGAGGTGGACCTTCGTAGTTTTGGTTAGGGAATATTACGGGGGATGGTGGTCCATACGCGCCTGGGGGGGTATCTAGGAAACCTGGTGCTTCAGGTACACCGTATACAGGTACAGGAAGTTCTGGCGCTGAAAAGAAAATAGAAATATTATTGTATACTGTATAAAAATAATAAGTTTTAAAATAAAACTTTTTATTGGATTTATTTTGATTTTTGGTTCCTGACGTTTCGAATGCTTTACAGCAATCATGGTCACTAAGGTTATAGACGTCTCAAACACATACTTGTTACAGTCATTGCCTACCCACTATTTTACAAAAATGATTTTAAAAAATTCAAAAATGGCAATAAAGTACCTTACAATATTTGTTGATATATATTTGGTACTATTTAAAAAAAAGTATTATAATTAAATATAGCAATATTATTTATTTAATTTTAGCTGTTATTATTATAAATATTGCAATTAAAAAAAACTTTATTAATTACTAATATTATTTAGTGTTGCTATTATTATATAATGTATAACCATAAATTATATTAAAATTTTAAATAAAACTATCTTTTCGGATTTCTTCGCTGATCCCCTTCTTATAGGAGGGAGGTTCGTGCCCAACAGTGGGACGTTAAAAAGAGCTAAATATTATATATAATATATTGCGAGCAAAGCCGGGGGTAACAACACTAGTTTAAAATTAAATGCTAATGTAATAAACGAGTGTAGTACTTACCACTAGGTATGTTTGACGGGGGTCCGTACGCGTCTGGTGGCAGCGGTTCTCCGTAGGAGTTAGATAGGCCAGCTTCTCTCTTTTGTGCCTGAGCTCCTAAAAAAAGCGAATAATAAAAAAAAAATAATTGACCCTTGTGATATAAAACTTTTTGATATATAAATAAAACTAAAAAAATATATGGTCTAACAAACAGACACATTAAAAAGTCCTGAAACTTTTAGCCGACTTTAACATGAAAGTAGGTGCTCTACTACACTAAAAATATACACATATATTTTTAGTGTATGTTAAGCGATAACTTAGGAAATTTATTTAATTTTTTTTATATTTAAGATATAATATACTGCCGGTCAAAAGTTTGAGGGCCACTACAAAAATGATAAAAAAATAAAATAAAAATTTTTAACCGACGAAAACAGGAGGTTCTCAATTAGACACGGATATTTATGTTTTTTTTTTGTTCATGTTTGACTACGCATAACTTTTTACAGTGTAGTCTCTAGTATCTAGTTAAATTAAAAAAAAATCTCCCCTAAGTGTAGTAAAGAGTGGTGATTGATTTTTCACCAACTGAATTTTTAAAATAAATTCTTCTTATTCTACATGATGATTCTGATAAATAAATAAAAATAAAATAAATAAAAAACATACATTTTGGAAAAACAAAAACTTAAAAAAAATCGAATAAAAAATACGCTACAAAGTTAATGGTGTCAGCCGATACAAATCAAAGCACACCGACTTCGAAAATATCTCATTAGGTATCTATCTATATAGTAAATGAAGACCAATGAGTTATTTTTTACTATTTTATGTATTTTTAAAGTCGGTTTTTATTTTTTTTATCCATTAATAATAAACAGAACTGAATTAAAATCGGTTTAGTAAACAATAATATATACATTAAATTGACTATACCTGATTGTGTCGCTTCAGCAACCAGATCCTGTTCGGTGTCCTTGCTGACCAGCCCCGGCGGACTCTCCTCGGCTGATACTGCTGTGATGAGGAGTATCAGCGCAAGCTGGAACACGAGAAGTGCGATTTAGTATAGAGAATCGTTTCCATATTGTACAGCATTTGTCTTACGGTGAAGGAAAATATCATGAGGAAACCTGTATGTCTGAGAGAACCTAGCAAGTTTTCTGCAGAGATGCTCAGTCCGACCGCACTTAGTCAGCCTGGTGGACTGTCGCCTGATCCTCCTCGTAATGAAGGCAGGCCCAGGCCCAGCAGTGGGATGTTAAAAAGGTATGTATCAGTTAAATTAACATATTTTTTTTGCAATAAAATATAACTTTTTTAAGGTATAATACTATATACTTTTGTATTTTTTAAGCATTAGTTCTCTTCTCCTTGAGAGAGAGATAGAATAATATTAACATTTTTTTTTATTTAAGTCAAGTGTCTCTTTGGTTAAGTGGCAAGTATGTACAGCATCGAGGTTTGGTATCGGTTTGGGCCAAGTGTAATTTGGCTTTTTCTCATACACGTGTGAAGAGCCGTCAGAAAGCCGTCGGTTCTTCGTCTGATCTCTCGCCGGGCGTGTCCAATTATTTTTTTACCGGCATTTCAAAGTGAAAGGTGTATAGAGTACCGATGTATTTGGCTCAGTTTGTAGTGATACTTGCTGTGCCAGGGGGTACGAGTTCAAGTCCCGCTGGGGGCATTCATTTGTGTGATGAGCACGCAGGTTTATACTCCAGTTATGGGTGTTTATATTTATAATATGTATGAATTTAAAGTTATATATGTGTAGTGTATCAATTATCTGGTATCCATAACACAGGCCTCGTGTAGCAGTATGCAGGCATAACAAAGGCATGAAACTAGATGGTGCTGTGTGTTAATGTCCAATATATATATATATATAATTTATTTGTGCACTACAATATCTCCTACAGTTGGCTAGTCTGAGTGAGATTGATCGCTGTCGCCTCGGCAGACATCGGTCGAGAAGACATTTTTATTAGAAGGTTAAAGAGAAGGTTAAAGCTACACAATATCACGCTACAATTTTCACTTTAATATATGATACATTAATATTTTACGGGAGTTATGTAACCCAACATATGGTCTCTTTAGATATACCTACTTCTCAGAAAGATTTGTTTATGTAACATGTATCAACTCTTTAGATATCCTTCTCTAAAGGATCTGGTTATTGTAAAATAACTGCACATGCAATACAATTGAAACCTATACATATATTCTGAGTCGAATTTATACATTAAATATTTTCTGGAAAACTTTTATTGAAACAGTCATTATTATCGATACAGAGGCCTAATCTATGGTTTTTTAGAATTTTCGTGTCTGTCTAGGAACGCATCACGAGAAAACCACTGGACAGATTTTGATGAAATTTGGTATGATCATAGCTGGTTATCCGGGTCAACATATAGGATACTTTTTACTGCGGGAAAATATCTCTGAGAAATCTGTACTTAACGTTAAACCTAGGGACAAACCCAAGCGGTGCGAGGGTGAGTTGCTAAAATATAGAAAAAATACGTATTTTCGGTTTTAGTAAATTGTATATTTAAAAGTCAATAATTATAACTAATCCTATAACAAAATTATATTCTACACAAAAAAAATTACATACAAATATCCACAAATCGAACCTTGGACCGTCCCAATCAATGCGGAACAAAAATTTACAACACACATAGACAACCTACAAAGTATTGTTTATATCGACCAGGTCATTCCCACACAAAGATAGTCCCACGGGTTATTAACATGTATTCCCACACTTTTTGCCCAATCGGAAGCGGTCTGATTAATTTTACTTAGAATTCTTGTTGGCTAATAGTAGCACATGGCTTTACTCGCGTAATACTTTCTTGGATTTACGCGAATATTTGATATCTATACTACAATATAAAGCTTAAGAGTTTGTTTGTTTGTTTGAACCATCGATCAAAAGTTTCTTTTGAAAAAGTTCATTTTAAAACTTTTTGATCGATGGTTTGAACGCGCAAATTTTTGGATCCACTGGTCCGATTTGAAAAATTATTTTTTGTATTACTTTCTTAGATTTACGATTTATTTTTCTTATTTATTTATTTTTTAAATAAAACTATATTTTCGGATTTTTTGCGGATTTATTTTGATTTTTTTTTCTTGGTTCGACGTTTCGAATGCTTTACAGCAATCATGGCCACGCGAGAGACTAAGATTTTTGACGTTTTAGACCGTAGTGTAGTGCCCTTTGAATTTAAATTTTCATAGAATTAAAATAAAACATAGAGAAAATCCAAAAAATTTTTTATTGCTCTCATTTTATTTAGCCTATATTTATACGCTGTCTTCAAAAAGAGGTCTTGAATTCGATTTCGTCTAGTATTTGATTCTGTACGCATGTTTTTCGTTACGTGATATTTTTTCCCATTGAGGGATTTTTTATTTTTAAGTAAAAGGATGGTCCCATATAAATTTCAACAAAGAAAACCGCTCCTAAGGGTGGTAAAATTATTTTGATATATTAGTGTAGTATTTTAATTATTTTTCGTTGGAAGAGACACATATTATAAAGAGATAACATTTGTCAGTTTGTTTGTAATCGATAAACTCCGAAACTACTGAACCGATTTTAATCATTCTTGCACTAATAGATAGCTACATTATCCCAGAGTGTTTTACTATCTTTATATATATAATTCTTCTGTGAGTGTGTATGTCACTGAACTTCTCTCAAACGACTGGACCGATTTTGATGAATTTTTTTCTGTGTGTTCAAGGGGATCTGGGAATGGTTTAGATTCACAATTTGAATAATAATTTTCATCAAAAAAATTATAAAAAAAAGTTTGAAATTTTCAAATTAAAGACGTGTAGACAGGACAACGTCTGTCGGGTCCGCTAGTTGATATATAAGAACATACACATTTCCTAGCAAATATCTCTTCAAAAAGTGGCGACGTTAACTCAAACCAAAGAATAAATCAAAAATCAAAAGTTCTAATCGTCTAAGATACCATATAAAGAACTTTTTTAAACGAAACAACGTGCGTTTTAATTTTGTCATCCGAAAAGCAATAAATAAAAGAGATTTGAAAAGAGCGCACAATTTCGAATTGTGCACTTCTTTTTGAGGACACTTTTGGCACACTAATTATGTATCTTGAGTTCTTGTATATCAATTAGCAATGTGTTTTACCCGAAGTCATATTTGTATTATAATAAGCCAACTCTCAACTCATAACAACAAGCGATAATCGAACCTCTGACCTTCTCATTGTCACGGCCTTGCTTTTGAACATACAGATACTAATAAGTAATAGCATTCCCACAACTAGTCAATGCCATTAGAACGTGTGAGTGAAAGTGACCTTTTCATTACGAATAGTGAACTCAGATCACTAGGTCTGTCTTATCGCTATATAGAAGATAGAAAATTGATATATCAGTTTGTATGGAATTATTCTATTACTAGCGATTTACCTTCGCATCGCTCGGGTTCGTCCCTAATATGCTTCCCCGATACAAACTTTCATCACCATTTTCACCCCCTTAAGGGATGATTTCCGGGATAAAAACTATCCTATGTCCTTCCCAGGATCTCAAACTATCTTCTTAACGAATTTCATCTAAATCTAATTAGTAGTTTCGGAGCCTATTCGGTACAAACAACAAACAAAAAATCAAATCTTTCCTCTTTATAATATTAGTATAGATTAGTGTACTCGTAGATAAATGCAAAAGTTTGTATGTGTATATGTTTGTTACTCCTGTATGTTAAAACGGCTGAACGGATTTGTATGAAATTTAGTAGGTATACAGATAGATTATGAGCTGGAGTAACCTATAGGTTACTTTTTACAAAATTTGTCAAAATATGGCGTATGTATTTAATATTAGAAAAAAGATATTTAGGGGCACACACAAGTAAAGTATGGGTAGGCTAGTGCATATGTAAATAATATTTTTTAACTATGATTTTTATTCGGCAAACGTATTGGAGATATTCAGATTGTTATAGGAAAAAGCAAGATTTTAGACTTTAATCTGTTTTCTATATATTAAGTTCTGAAATCAGCCGTAAGAGAAATTTTATGTACGTATTCAGCCTTTTTTTAACGCCCTTCAATACGAAGGAAATCTGGCCATAGTTGACGCTGAGCAAGTACAGAGCGCACTTCACGTGTTCTTCTAAAACTACACTAGCTAGGTTCTCTCAGGCATGCAGGTTTCCTCACGATATTTTTATTCACCGTAAGACAATTAGTAATCATGTTGGAAATGAAAATATCAGACTGAGACCCAGGATTTGAACCCGCTTCACTCGGTTTCCCAAGCACTACTTCTAAGATCAATTATACCACCGCCAATAAAATAAAAACATGCAAGCAATGTCAAATGTAAGAGCCAGTATCACATTAATTTGCAAATATCTCACGAGTTTTGAATGCTAGAAATATTATGTAAATGCAACTGTTTTATGAAAGTAGAAGTAAAAGTTTGTATTTAGTTCAAAAGAAAGGTTATTGGAATGATGCGAAAAAGAATGTCTTGTATCATACTTTAGTTATAGATGCTTTTAATTAAAAAAATATGATTCTAGCAAAGAGTGGTTTTTTTAATTTTATGGGTGATCTCATAAAATATTAGTATGGAATAGATAGATTATATATATATATATATATATATATATATATATATATATATATATATATATATATATTCTATAGACATAATAAAATTTTAACTGAGTCGGATCTATAGAGATAAATATAGATTCTCATAAATATATATTTAATATTTTTCATTATTATCAAGTCTATAGTTTTTAGAATTTTTGTCTGTCTGTCTGTCTGAGAACGCATCACGAGAAAACCACTAGGCAGATTTTAATGAAATTTGGTAAGATGATAGCTGGTTATCCGGGTAGCTTTCTGTTAGTGAAAGAATTTTCAGAGCCGGATCAGTAGTTTCAAAGATTACCTCTTTATAATTTTAGTGTATATATTCTCACGCGGCCCTCCTCGCATTTTATATTCAACACCAGAGGCGAACCGTGAATTTGGGGGGCCCCCGGCTAACACTTCTGGAGGGTCTAAATTAATTGTCATTTTGTCTTCATAAAATCTATAATCATAGATAGTACTAGTAACTAGACCATAATAAAATAACGCTATTATTTGGTTCTTAAATGATGTCATGATGGTTGTAAGGTTAATATTTTATGGCCTTATTTTTTTTATTTTAGATATTTTTTTATTTTGTAAATTCACAATATTATCCATTGTTTCCAATAGATGGCCCCTTATATCTTAGGGGCCCTGGGTTAGGGGCCCAAAAAACGAGATTCGTCCCTGTCCAACACACTTTCATTTACTTTCAAAATGATATTAATGAAATAAAATTAAATATGTTTGAGTGATCTAGAAATATTTTAAATTACTTATATTTAATTAACAAATCTACATTAAAATTTCATTAGATGCAGTGTATACTTATGTAATTACTAATTAGATATAACTATTAATTACTTAATGGTTAATTATCTTTCTTAGCCTAACATAAAATTAAAAAAAATGTACACAGACGTTCAAATTTCTTTATA